CTCTCTCTTTTACTCATTTAAGTAAATAAAATCCATTTAGGTGTTGTACAATCATTTTCTGTGTTGAAATATTATTTGGAGGTGCACTATATATTATTTTGCCTGGGATGTTTCACAGTTAACTTGTCTATCTTGCTTTTGTTCAATTACGAGTCTTGTTTAGGTGAAAAATACAAAACATTTTATGAGCGAGATTTGCCTCTCTACAGAGGATAACTTTTGACTTCTTCTAATGGTGGCACCTGGGGGATAAATTTAATTCCATATTATGGAACATTCTAGGCAGAGCAATTACATCTCCACAGAGTCAAGTTACATAGTGCACTTTTAATATAGTGAGTAAAATATTACAAAACAGACCATATAGCACCTTTGTCACTGCACTATACAAAGTATGTTATCTTAACTGCTATAGTCAAAATCTAAACTTTTTATTAAGGTTGTGTATGGAAGAAAAACAATCAGCTATTTCTCACCAGTTATTACAATACTTTTAATGTAGGAATGTTGTAACTTCTCTCTAACTGGCATACGTAACCATTTCCTGCTACCACTGATTTAAAACCAGGGCTGTCTTAAATACCACCTTCAGCTCAATCCAGTCTGCACAATTACAATTTTCTCACAGACACAATCTCACAGCTAACACATTGTTCTCCAGCCACACAATACTTTATCTCCCCCGCAGTTGTTCCTTCTCTCCTCACCAGCAGCAGCCCAGCCCCACACTGGCTCAGGGTGCAGTAGAGTTATTAATCTGCACAGTCTGTAATCCTGAGTGCAGGAGGCTTTCAGAAGGCAGAACAAGGATCTGAGCCCAGAAGAAAACAAAAGAACCAGCCCAGACCAACACTGAATAAAATCATAGTCTATGAGGACCTGTATGTCATGTTCTCTAGAAAAATACTGGCACTATAAGGCTCTGTATTGTTGGGTTTAAGATGACACTGAAAAATACATCTTATGGCCAATGATGTTCCTGGATTTATTGAGAGGTTTGAGTCTTTCAATATCATACACTATTCTTCAAAAGCAACCAGAAATATCTTGGACAAAGCATTCTTACTGTGGTTTGACCGGTAACTGGACCTGGTCGTGTGACTTGCTTCTCTCCATGGAGATAGATATGTTTAATGCCATATTGTGAAACATTTTAAACAAACTAGCTTCAACATCTCCACAGAGGCAAGTTAGTGGCAGGCCCTCCACCTGAGAAATTATCTTTAAAAAAAAATAGCAACATGGTCATAATGTTACAGCTCATTTGTGTAAAGGTTTACTGAGCAATCAAACCAGTCCAACTGTTTTGGAGAGAAACTTTCATAAATATTTTTTATGTAAATAAATACAACAACCCCTCACCATTCAGGACTATTTTCCCTAAAATGTCTGACTAAAAGGACTCTCAGTTCAGACTGAATCTCCCTCTGTAGTTTTGGCCTATACTGATTGATCTACTCTAAGCTCTACATGGAGAAAAGTCAGATTTCAAATTGCATCTGAATTATTTGGGGTAAATACAAGAATAGGTATAGCTGGTGTCCCTGGGGATGATCTGATAGACAGCAGATTGAGCATTCATTGGGTCTCAACAATGAGAAATGTCCTTGTTGTTTTGGAGCACAAACTGGTCCAGATTAGTATCAGAATGGGTGATTGGACTGAAAATAAGTGGATTACAGATTTCAGTTAATGTTAATATGCCCATGAGATTGAGAAGGTGAATAAACAGAAACTAATTCAGAAATATATATGGGCCCTTATCAGGGCTCTCTGAATTTTATAAATAAACAAAAATCTGCCAAATGTAAAAAAAAAAAAAAAAAAAAAAAAAGACCAAAAAAAAGACCAAACTAATTAAATTAAACTGAGGGAATTTTCTCACAAAGTAAAAAAAAAAAAAAAAAAAAAAAAAAAAACTTATTTCAGGTTCATATAAATAAAAGAAAATATTCACAGCCATGCACTATAACTTTTTTCTGGTGTACAAAGTCTTCTGGTCCAGGCTCATATACAGGTGCAAAAAGCTTGAGGAGCTGTTGCTGTGTCTCTCACTGTGTTAAATGAGCATCAGTCCACACAAGTCTCTAATGAGTTCTGAGAGATGTGATGCCAGTGGAGAAACATTGAACACAGCTGTTTTGAAGAAGGATTTCTTCAAAGAAATGTGAAGGGTCAAAGTTAGCACACGCAATTCAGAGCAACACTGCTGAACAACTGCTGGAAAAATAAGAGTGTCTGCAGGCATCAACAAGAATGCATAATGGACTTGAGAAATAACCAGAAGTGGCCATGAATGCTGACAACAAGCCCACCAACACCCTAAATATATCACATAAAATGGAACTTAAAAAATGATGTGGCTGAGTCAGTATTCTCTTTCTGCAAATCCTAGTCCTAAATAATAGTTGAAGCCTAAATGTACCTAACTTGGACTCAGTAACTTCACCATGCAAGGCAATAAACAAAGTTAAAATAAAACAGAAAGCCTTCATTAGCATTACATCAAAAGCATCCAACAGAATTTGTTGGCTCCTCTAGAATTTCCCTCTACACACATTCATTCAACTGGGAAAAAGTGTATTAAAATTGCATTAAAAGCGCTTGTCTCTCTTTTCCAAGTGTCATATGAATCTCATTAGTGACTAAATAAAAAAATGAGTGCCTTGTAGAAGGGAATACAAGATATAAAGGATCCACACAATGCCAGGATATTTCTATTTACTCAAATACACATTGCCATATCCCAGCAACAGTGTGTATATAGCGAGCTGGACATTGGGAACAGTGAATAATGAATTCGAATGTACTCATTTGCAAGCAACCTGTCAAGCTTTAGCTCTGATGGCTGCAGATTGGTTTAATAAATTATGAGTTAATTTCTCCCAGGCTGACGCTGTCAGGAGCGGGCATTGAAATGTAAATACAGGCTAACATATATACTACATAAACTTGATCTATTTGTTTTATTTATTTATTTGATTGAGACAGAGCATGTTAATGAACAAACATGGTACAATATGAATGTTAACACACCAGATTGTAACCTAAGGCTAATTTCCATCCATTGTCCCAAAGGGCTGAGGTCACAGGGGGTCAAACAATAAAAATTGCACACCCCATTTATTACACAGTTCCCATTATTGCACACTCCATTCATTGCACAAAATATTACACAGTCCAGTCATCGCGCAGTTCCCATTATTTTGCTGTCAGTTTAACCACACATTCAACACATGCGGATAATAGGAGATCAGTTAAAATCACAGTGCAGCTATACATGAGAACATGTTTGGTTTGACCATAACCAGTTTTTCATTTGAGCTTTAAAAGAGCTGTACATAGGGCATTCTCTCAGCGTTAGTGGAAGACTGTTCCACAGATTTCCACCTTGGACAGCTAATACATTCTGACCAAAGGTGGTTCATCTCTGGGGTATGACCAGGTCCCCCCTGGTGGTGGCTCGTGTAGTCCTTTCTGAAATATCTTTGAGTTTGATGTACTCCTTTAATAGTGGTGGTGTGGGGGAGTGTAGGACCTTAAAAATCAGACAAGCAATTCTAAGTTTAACCATGTTGCTAAAATCCAGAAGCCTGTGCTTTTTCAGAATGTGACAGTGGTTGTAGGAAATAGGTTTTTTATCAAGTATTTTCAGACCTCTTTTATAGAGGTTTTCAATGGTGCTTCAAAAAAGTGTTGTGGGGCAGGCAAGCGACCAAATAGTTAAGCAATAATCTATGTGAGAGATAATCATGGAGTACAAATAAGTTTTAGCAGCATTCATGTTTAAGTTGTTCCTGATATTATGATTATTGAGCTGGATTACCTGGGACATGTGATGCAAAGTACATTTTAAATATTAATAAATATTAAAACTTACATTACTTTAGAGTTCAGTATAGTAGTTTTGTCTTCATATAAGCTATATTGATTGAATCACCATCCCAAAATATCAGAAATATGGGATACATATGAATATGTTTTTTTTATTGTAACTGTGACTTTAATTGTGAATCATTTTTGGATGCCATTTTCTAGTAATATATTTTACAGTGTAACAATACTTCCCACTGTGAGTAAGTTTATTATTTGGATCACTACTGTTTACATATTTTATTTTGGAGTAACTGTGTTCTTGAGTACATATTTTGGCTACTCTACCCACCTATAATAATGCATATAATTGCATAATGGTAGGGAAAGAAAAGAGTACATAAAACATTCTGTCTACAGTAGCAGTAGTAACAGTGTAAAAGTAACATTATGCTCAGTAATGAAGGGTCTTTTTTTTTTTTTTTACAATTCTTCTAGGATGAAAGATAATAATAATAATTTGTCCAGACTCTTGTCTGTAGACAGATGGAGTCAGTCATTTCTGAAAATGTCACAGCATGTTCCAGTGACAGAGGCTATTTGTAACTGAGAGTTTCAACCAGAGAGGACATTGTGAAGAAATGTAGAAAAACCACACTCAAATCTCCTCGGCATGAAAAAAATGCATGTAAATATATCAAAATCAGTCGCCTTCGACAATAAAAAGTGAAGAAGATTAAACATTAATTTTAGTTATATTAGTATATGAACCCCCTGTGGGTGAAGTCATAAAGTGAATCTTTCACATGTTCTTTAATCAGTGATCAACTAGAAACATCACGCACATTAATATATTCTTCCTGTCAGCCATAAAAACAACCATTAGGCTATGTTGACTTATTTTGCTAAAATCACCAGGTAAATAAACCAATGACATAAGTTTGTGTTAGTGGGGACTCTACGTTGTGAACATAATCACCATGCCATATGATGTGTCAGAAGCTGACACTGTCATGAGAATTTACAAATGTGTGAGAGGCAGAGGAAAGAGGGGAAGAAAGAGAAGATGGCTGCTGTGCCTGGGGGCAGAGAGCACACACAAGAAGACATTTTAACAATTATTCTCAGGTGAAGGTGTGAGAGAGAGGAATAGCTCTCTGAACATCAAAGCCCGCCTCTCAGAAGACATGTTAGATAACTTCAAAGTCCTCAGACTGCAGCCAAGAGGTGCTTTCCTATTGTTTTATATGCCAATATGTTTTAAGGTCTATTGAGTCAATAAGAAGAAAACAAGTATCCATTACCCCAGCACCAGGCCTTGTCCTCTGCAATATTATCATCTCTCGTATGTTCAATTATTGGGCAATAACAGCAATGCTTTGCATGCACTTTATAGTTGGCTATTTCATGCAGCCTCACATCTATGTCATTTTGAGAGCCAGAATTAACTTTATACTGTACTGAACATCTAGTCTGTGCTCTCATCTCTGCTTGTCTTGGTGAGTTAAGTCTGGCTGTTATTTGAGGGACTTAACAGAATTAAGCCCACTTAGTTTTTCCGACTAAATTTTTAACTAACAGTATGGTAGACTTTGGGACATGTGTCATGTGTCTCACAGTTTTACTTGGTTGAATACTTTAGATTTTTGTAGAGCATGGCCGGGTGAATGTGACATCATGCTCTAACCGCCATATACCGTAGGCCTATATGTACAGGTAGTACAGGTTACTGGTGGTGTGCCTCGAAGAACAGGCTTAGTGAAAATTGATGAGCCAACTGAAATATCACCTCTACAAGTGCAAGAATACAAGTGTCAATGCTATTAGGAAAATGTTTTGTTCCCATTGAAGGTAAGGCTGCACTACGCTGTTGCATCGTCAGAGTCGCCCAGAGTCTGATCCGTGGCTTCCATATTGAGGTGGTAATTTGATAGCCATTGTCCCCCACAGAAGAGACAATCGAAACCTACCGGCACTACTCCTCTTGCCATCAGTTTATAAGGACTTTGCAACTTTGGGAACTTCAGGAGAAGCTGCTGACAGATTCAAATGAAGAATAACCTCTGAGGAAAACGACGCGCGTGGGATAAAACGCAGTGTCCGAGGAAGGGCTACGGTCTGTTGCGATGCTTTTAATTGTGTTAATAGGAGTCTTTCTTGACTATTGTCGTGCAGCTGTCTTTACACATGAATGGGCCATAAAAATCACTGGGGACCAGACGATTGTCAGTGAGATTGCAGAGAAATATGGCTTTTCAAACATGGGTCAGGTAGGTTCAGCCCTTGGGGCCCACACCTGACACGGTGAGCTACTTCTAGCCTTTATTTATTAGTTTAGTTTAGTTTAGTTTAGTTTAGTTTAGTTTAGTTTAGTAATGACGCCGTCTGACTCTGAATAACGTGCGACAACAATGATTTCACTTTGTCACACAACGAAAATGCATATTACTAGAAAGGTTAACGTAATCAAAAGGCAAGATGAAATAATAGGCTAAATGTAATAACAATATCTTAAAATAATAGTTCTAATAGGTCTATATAGAATATAATAAACCTAGTAATAGGCTATATGTAGGCTTACATCTGTGCTATATACTGAAGTGCGGCACTGATTATAGTTTAATTTACTGTGTAAATTAATAGATTTAGGCAATTATTATTATTATTATTTTTTATATTAGTCTTAATAAAAAAGTAGGCTAATATAGGTTTGATTCTACACTGTTAAATGTAGCCTACTTTGAGATTATGCAAATGTCACAGCTTTATTAAACATAGTATTTCTACACATTACGTCACTGTCATTGGACAGGTGTATGCATAAAGCCACAGACTTTGGCAGCTTCCCAAGTGGCTTGTGTTGGGATCAGGTTGCTCAGTCTAAAAACCACCACAGGTATAGGGTAGCCTTCTGTGTGAAAGATAGCAAGGACACTTTCATAATTCAAAGGTCTTTAGTACAGTAACAGAGCAATGACGAGCATTAACATGCCTTCAGCTAAAATTTAACTCAAATGATGTCTTTGTTGTCAGGTTGGAGACCTGACGAGTTATTACAGGTTCTGGCACAATGAGACGGCAAAACAATCCACCATGTCCAATGATGGACTCACGTTTGCTGTCTCCAAGGAGACTAAGGTAAAGTAACCTGATAAAAGGAGGACGAGAAGACTTGGCTGCATTATTAATTTACTTTGTGTCCCCACGTTCCCAATTAATGACACACAAGCAATAGTCTCTACACCATAGACTGAATGTATATTTTATACAGTCTGCGCTCTACATGTGACCAGCATCTTACCCTTGACACATTCACAAAATTCACATTAGAAATACAGTACTGTAGACGCTTTGGTGAAACGTCACATGTGTCCCAGACACAGTGGATTCAGTGTCTAATAGACTTGTTTGGAAAGAAACAGGAGAAAATCTTCCAGTCATTATGTGACTGGCTTTTCAACCACAATTCAATTGCTCCTTTCTCTCTCAGGTGGAATGGCTCCAGCAGCAGGTTGTTCAGAAAAGGGCAAAGACGGCCTCTGGGGTCAGGCAAATCTACTCTACCAAACACTTCTCCTCTTTCCATCTGCCTTCAAAACAGACGACGCCTCTGCACCTTGACGACCCAAAGTGGAGCAGCCTGTGGTTCATTGTAAGTCTGATTTTCCCTTTTAAAATCAAGTATGAAGAAACTCAGACAGACAGGACCTAAAATAGAGAGTTATTCTTATCTAACGGACAGCTTGCTTTTTGCTTCACAGCATTGCAGCGACAGGGGCACAGGTTGTCGCTCTTACATGAACATTGCAGGAGCGTGGAAAAGAGGCTACAGTGGGAAGGGTGTTGTAGTGTCTGTTCTAGATGATGGGATAGAGGGAGCGCATTTGGATCTCAAGTCAAATTATGTGAGTTTCCTGAGAGAACACCTTTCTCCTAAGAAGGGATATTAATCATAGACAATTTGGCAGTGCTGTGAGTGTGTAGTATACAAATACTGCATGTAGCTTTTGGAACAACAGTCTGGACTAAGAGAATATGCATGAAATCTATCATCTACTTTACTGTAAGGTGCCATCTACTTTATTGTAAAAAAGACGTTTGTGATTTGTCTTACAGAAATAGACGCTGCTGATGTCTCATTTTGTGATGTTACTTGTTTCTTTTGCTTAGGATCCTCTCGCCAGCCATGATGCAAACAGACCTAAACAAACACATCACATCTCTAACTAGTAGGTTTTGATATCTACCTGTTCTGCAGTTTTCTATAATTAATGCATGCTTTTCTTTCTGTTTGGTAATTACATGCAGATATAGATGCAAATTCTCTATTCTGGATTCTGTCTTCTCAGTGTCTTGATGTAACAGAAATAGCCCATCTTTCACTCATACATATGCATCTAACCTCACGTTCTCCATCTTTCTCTAAAGCCATGGGACTCAATATGCCGGAATCATTGCTGCTGCAAACAGCTCACACTGCACACTTGGAGTTTCTTTTCATGCAAGAATAGGCGGTGTGTGTGGAAGTATCAAAAATGCTGTAATAAAGGACATTTGAAGGTCATAACATGTCTGCTGCTTTTCTTTGCAGGTATTGATATGTTAAGTGAAGATGTGACAGACATTGTAGAAGCCCAATCACTAAGCTTCAAACCACACTACATAGATATTTACTTGGGCACCTGGGGACCTGAAGATGATGGCATCACTCTAGAGGGACCAGGGCCTTTGGCAAAAATGGCACTGCAATATGGCATCAAAACAGTGAGAGAATATTTTGTGACCATATTTAGCATGAACACATTCTTGGATTGTCTTCCCGAGTGTGGCAGAAAGTAACTCCAGATTTGTAAATATGTTACATTTACAGTCTGTCTTTTGTACTGTCATTTTCATTTGGAGTTGTCTCCATCTAGATTTTGAATTAGCAGTCAAGATTATTATTATTATTTCTTGTAACTTTATTTGACTGGACTATCCTTTATAATAACATTTACATTTTTAGGGTCGACATGGTAGGGGCTCAATATTTGTTTGGGCCTCAGGGAATGGAGGACTGTCAGGTGACCACTGTTCCTGTGATGGCTACAGTAGCAGCATCTACACTGTGTCTATAAGCCCCACCATGTGGAGCGGGGCCAGGCCTGGATTTCTGGAGCGGTGTCCCTCGACTTTAGCCACAGCCTACTCTGGGAGCGAGGTGAAACCCATGGTGAGAACTGAAAAATAATACATCTACTAATTGTACTCTTTGTATAATGTTCTTTATCAAACTCTTCATAGATGACTGCTGGTGAACATCAGACATGTGTTAAGACACCCCCAGCATCTTCCCTGTCTGCTTCTGTGGCAGCAGGTGTCATTGCTCTCACTTTAGAGGCCAAGTAGATAACCATCCCACAAACCGGTACATTACATGAGGACAAAATGGCATAGATAAATATATATTGTTTTTTTTTTTGTCAGTCCTTTGCTAACCTGGAGAGACATCCAGCATATTATTGTTCGCACATCAAAGACGGAGCATCTTGAAGCACCTGACTGGAGAATAAATGGAGCAGGATACAGAGGTTCTCCAAAAAGCTATATACTTGAAGTGTATTTAATGCAAGTTTGACTGTTATTTAGTGTCTTAATATTTAATGTATCATACCTTAGTGAGCCATCTGTATGGCTTTGGGCTGATGGATGCAGAGCACATGGTTAAAGAGGGTGAACATTGGAAACAAGTCCCTTCACAGCATATGTGTGTAGAAGAGGCTCCTGTGCAGCAAATCAGGTAACATGCAACAACAAACGATCCCTGCTTTGGGCTTCTCCAATCCCTCCTCGCCTTTTTTTCACACTTTATCTATTTCTGTGTTGACACTGCTTTATGCTCACTCTTGCTCCTTTGTTTTTATTCTTTTGATTTTGCAGGTCTGTGTTTGTAGTTTTTCATTCTCATTGTTTTTCATTCTCTTTGCTTTCCTTTTCTGTTGACAGGACTATTTACCCAGGCTCTGTGTTGACATCTGTGTACGAGACGACAGGTTGTGCTGGCAACCCTCTGCAGCACGTGGCTTATGTGGAGCATGTCATTGTCCGTGTTACCATCAATCACCACCGTAGAGGCAACCTCTTCATCAGACTCCTGTCTCCCTCTGGCACCATATCAGAGCTGCTAGCACACAGGTAGCTAAGAGTGGGATCTCAAGAGCTGTCCTTAATATTTTCTTTTTGTTTGTGTTTTATATATTCACATTTTAAGATTTGGATTATGATGTTACAAAAATGTACAAGTGGTTGGCTCATCATTTCTGATGTCAGGTTTGAAGTGTTCTTGGAAAGCAACGTGTTAGATACCTTAAATTAACATTTATTTTAATATTTATAATATCTTTATTCAGGCCACTAGACACCTCCAGTGAGGGCTTTCAGAATTGGGAGTTTATGACAACTCACTGCTGGGGAGAGCCTGCAAAAGGAAAATGGACCTTGAAAATAAATGATATTTCATCCAAATCACACAACATAACATATCTAGGTTTGCCCTATCCCTTCACTGTATTTTAAGTTACATTAATACACAGTAGAAGTTTGAAACTAACTGTAGTATGTGTGGTACTTCTAGGGGCTTTAACAAAATGGTCTCTGGTGATTTATGGCACAGCAAAGCATCCATATGTGCCTCAAAAGAGTGTGCGTTCAGCAGAACCTATTGATAATGATCTTTTGGAAGAATATAATGGTAAGTTATAATCTTGATGTTGTTGCTTTGGGATGACAGTCCCCTAAATCTAAAATGTAAGATTAGCTATTCATGTCTTTTACAGGACCCTGTGATGCAGAATGCAACAGTGACGGTTGTGAGGGACCTGGCCCACAGCAGTGTGTAACATGCTTACACCTTTTTCTCAAATTCAAAAACAACACTAGGTTAGTCAAAATTTTTATGTAATTATAATTAGATAGTTAGCTTGTTGTTAGTCTACATGTTTGAGGAAATACATACATTTCAAAAAGATGTCTGACATAATTTGTGCTTCTCGAGGCTGTGTGTATCAGAGTGCCCAAAGGGATTTTGGGGTGACCGTCGTCGTTGCAAGAGGTGCTATGCGACTTGTGAAAGCTGTACTGGGAGTCGAAGTAACCAGTGCACAACTTGCCAATCTGGGCACCACTTAACTGAGGGCACAAACACCTGCACAACCATCTGTGGAGAAGGCTATTATCTCGACCATGGTCGTATTTTCTGTTTGATCAGTTACTATCTGAATGTTTGTGTGTTATGAACTGCAATGGAAACACTCTCTTTGTTTGAACACCTGGACACCTGTTGTAGGTTTCTACTTGTGTGAAATGTCTTATGGGTGTTTAAATCTGACAATTGTAAAAGATAGATTTATTTCTAAATATTTGGATAAAAATAACAAGAGAAGCACTATTCTCATGTGAAGTATGTGATGTGAATGGACTGTTGGCTAATAAAAGAGCAGTTGAAAGCTGTGTGAGTGAAAGATTAATCAGACTGATGTGTGTTCTCATTTCTTCACAGATGCAAATATGTGCAGGAAGTGCAGTGAAAACTGCCTCAAGTGCACAACCTTCAGCATTTGCACAGAATGCAAACAAGACACAAGGTAAACCCAATCACCTGATGCATTTGATACGTTTAATTATTTGAAAACTGTGCTTCTTTTGTAATTTTTTTTTTTATAATCAATTATGTGCAGCACAATTACAAACACATTTACTTTCTTATGGCGTAATCTGTGAAGAAGGAAAACATACCAATCATAGCCTTTTTCTGTGCCCTCAAGACCAGACTTAATGAGTCATTGTTCAGTGATTGTCTATGTCACCTTTCTTTTCACCTTCAGTCTGCAGGGAAATCAGTGCTTGCGGAGCTGCCCAGCAGGATTTTACCATGACAAACAGGAAGGCATATGCAAGCCCTGTCACAAAGCATGTGCTACTTGTGCAGGTGGGTGTCAAAAGTCCACCTATGTTATAAATGTTAAGCATTGTACATTTCATTGATGTTTATGGGTTGTGTGAACTTGTGAAGTGACTTTAAAAATGATGTGTCATTCGACTACAGGCCCAGGGGTTGAGTCTTGCAAACGTTGTGCAGAAGGATATTTAATGGAGGAGTGGAGGTGTGTGCACTCCTGCAGCGCTGGCTTCTATGCCACAGAGCCAAGCCCAGAGATAGCTTATGGGCAGAGGATATGTAGGAGGTGAGCATTGGTGTGTGTTCAGGTGTGGGTGGTTTGTTTATCTGCTGATTGCAGCCCTTGGCCTTGGCTCCATTGCCTGCGTTCATGCTTGTTTTGATGCTGGAGTTTGCTTTTGGGTGGATGGGAGGAGTTTTAATCCCTTTATGGACTTCTGGTCTTTTTGGGGTTGTGTGTTCTATTCCTCAGGTGTGACGCCAGCTGTTCGGCCTGTGTGGGACCAGAGCCGGAGAACTGCAGCAGATGTTCCAGTGGTCATAGCCATCAGGGCGGAGTGTGTGTGCTCAACACAGAGTGTGAAGAGGGTCAGTCAGCTTGTACCTTTTATGACATACTGCACTGAGTTCAGATATACAGCAAACTCTCAGAAGGGAACTGAAAATATGTTATTCTTTAAAGTAACTAGTGTAGCCAAAAGGAATGTTGTTAAAACAAATAGTATGCTATGCTTGTTATTAAAAGGCTTAATTAGTTTCAGGTTAATTCCTAACTTTTCATCTTGGCATGTTTACTAGGCGAGTATCCAGACAGTAATAGGAAATGCCATGCATGTGATGCTACATGTCTGAAGTGCACAGGACCACAGAGTAATGATTGCATCAGCTGTTCCTCTTCACGGTGAGTTGGACTGATTCAGAGTCTGAACAGTGTCCCAACAATGTCCCAATGCAATCCATATTTTACTGCATTTGAAAAGAAATGGACAAAATGTAATATATACATTTCCATTGAAAGTTGTGCTGTGGTAGCTAAGATAGTATTTTGTGTTGTTTTGGTTATAGATCTCTGGATGAAGGTCACTGTGTTCTGAACTGTGCAAAAGGCAAATACCAGTCAGGAGGACAGTGTCACATGTGTGACCACACCTGTGCCACCTGTTCAAATGCAGGACCCGCCAACTGCACCAGCTGTGACACCGGTAAGGACAAAAGCCTATGCTCACATTATGTTGGTATTGATTGTCTGTTTAGAGCAGTTTCAGAACATCATTTTCATTTTGTATAGACAAGTTTGGTATGGATCGATACCTGTTCATGGGCCAGTGTGTGGATGTCTGCCCTGAGTCTTTTACCACACTAAAGAGAAAAGCTGCGAGCCATGCTCTGACCACTGCAAACTGTGCTCTAGCCCCACCCACTGCCTTAAGTGTAACTCCTCCTACTATGTTTCTGATGGACTGTGCAGCAAGCTGGAGTGTGGAGAAGGTAACCAATGTGTTCATCTGAGTTATTTTCTTGCGGTTATCTGACTTGGAGACAGGAACATCAGAGTGACCTTAAAAACATTGTCTTCACCTGCCCCAACTACCCCATACTCACACCATCTTGTCTTTTCCATGCTTGTTTTCTCAGGGGAGGTGGAAGATCCAGATTATGAGGACTGCATGGCCTGCGAAGAAGGCTGCAAAAAGTGTGTCTTATGTAAGTCACTGCACTTTAACCTTCAGAAAGTTATGAGCTTCAAATCATGCTCCTACCTTGCTTCATGATTTAACATTGTTGTTCCAGTCTGATGAAGAGTTTGCTTTTGTCTGCATTTAACAGATAACCCTAGGCATTGCCTGTCCTGCATAGAGGGTTTTTACAAGTAAGGTTGTGTGCCCTCCGTGTGATCCCCTCAGAACATGCTGTACCTCTTACTTTATTTCTATCTTTGAACTGATGAACTGGTTCTGTGTGTTTTGGATGTGTCTGAAAAAGAAATTCAGGGTTTCAATGTTCAAGCATCTGTTATCAGTTTTCAGGAAGGTTGCTTCAAAAACTGTCCAGCAAAGACGTACAGTGTGGAGGAGGAGATGACTTGCATCCCATGTGATGAGAAATGTGTGAGCTGTGACGAACATGAGTGCTACTGGTGTGAAACTGACCTGTTCTTATCAGGTAAGACCACTGCCTCAGGTTAGATGGCCATATGTTGCTTAATGTTTGATGCAACATTTTATAGTGAATTACACAAATGCAGTTTCAACATCAAAATGTATACTGCCCTACATGCTTGCCATGCTTACTAATTAATATAAAGAAAAATACACAGTATTACAGTATATAAAGTAACTCAAAACAAACAATTTGTCCACATTAAACATATTTTAAAAAGCAAATATGCTTACTTGTTTTCAGAGGGTAGATGTGTTGAAGTGTGCCCTGATGGTTTCTATGGTGATGAGGACTCAAATGACTGTGAGGAGTGCCATTCAGATTGTGTGAGCTGTAGTGGGCCAGAGGAAGATGACTGTAAATTCTGTGAGGAAGGAAAGACGCTGGAAAATGGCCTGTGTGTGTTTGAACATGAAGCCTGCCCCATGAAAACCTATCGCAGTGGTAAGAACTATATATATATGTCTTTTACTAATCCCACTGTCCGACCATAATGAAGCAGGGATTTGGGCACTTTCACAGGTGCAGCAAGAAATCATTGAAGGTAATTGGTCTGCATGACACTTCCACTGTCAATTTTAATTTCTCCAAAGAATTATTTCAAAACTTTAAACAACAAGAACATCTTAATTAGTGCAGTTAAACTAAGTGTAGAGTGGGAGATGTCCTCACATTTTCATCTGTTACATTTTATGATTAATGTTAATTTTAAATCTTTACTTTAACAGCAGCACTTCCTGAATGTCCATGTTAAATTGATGATGATGTGTATGATTATGTTAGATCAATTTAGTTGTTGATTTGTAGAATAATATAATGGGGGGGCCTTATTCTCAGATGATGGGGCATGTGAGGATTGCCACCCTTCCTGTGAGGCCTGCTCTGGAGATGAGAAAAATCAGTGTACAAAATGTGCAAAAGGTATCATTATATTTTTAATACAATGCTGTGTTGTTGTGCAAGTTAACAATTGGACCTCTGGATATGCAAACCGCCATACATTTAACGAATGTTTTCTCGTGTCAGGCCGTTTTCTCAGCCCACAGCAGTCATGTGTGTTGAAGTGTCCAGGGGGATACTTTGCAGATCGGATATCCAGTGTCTGTGAAGAGTGCCCCTTTGGCTGTTTGACATGTATGGACGCTCAGCACTGCACACGCTGCCAGAGCACCCGAAATGCTCCATTATACCTTCAGAATGGCCAATGTGTTGAACAATGTCTCAGGTTAAAAATCAACAAAACATTCAATTGCACATTCTTTTACTGTAGTGTTTAATCCCTGTCTAATAATATTTAAATTTTTTCACAGGGGTTATCCTGCTGGTTTAGTGTGTCGAAGTTGTGAGGCAGGATGTGCTTCCTGTTTAAAAAATAGCACCCACTGTTTAAGCTGTGATTCTCCTCTTCTTCTGCACAAACACCTCTGTGTGGAGGACTGTCCTGCAGGCCATGCAGTCCGAAATGGAGAATGTCACCATTGTCCACCTGCTTGTGCAGAGTGCAATCCAGTTGGACAATGCATTGGTATTTTAAATATTTGAATCTGTTTTCATTATGATTATCTTGTAACTTAGCATTAACATCTTTGCACAGAATGTGAAGAGTATCATTTTCTGCTCGAGGGACTATGTGTACTAGACTGTCCCGATGGGTTATTTGCTGATACGGAGCAAAGGGAGTGTTCCCATTGCCACCCTGATTGTAGACTGTGTGACGGACCAAACAGCAATGACTGTGATAGCTGCATGGACTCTCAAGCCACGCTGCACAATGGGGCATGCCTAACATCCTGCCCCTCACACACCTATCAGGATGACATCTCAGGAGACTGTAAAGGTGCCACACACAAAAATAACTGTTTATCTTTCATTCTGGCAATATTATCTGACATTTCTCATGCATTTCAAAATCCTCACCTTGTTCACTACAGCAAATCAACAACACATTCACTGAAACTGCATTTCATGTTTTATACAAGCCAATGTCCTTCATACATTCTCTTAAACTAGAACTTAAACTGTCTGCACCAAAAATAACACTCTATTTGACAGCTGTCAAATCTCACTCACTCTGCACCAAACTCATGTGCAGTCTGATCCCCAGAGAAATACACACTGTTCTGCAATGCTATCCAAAAGCAATTGAATTTAAGTTTCATATAATGTAAGCACATGTTAGAAGTAAAATAGTATATTTTAGTGAAGCATGGATGAAGCTCTGTCAAAGCCCTAGAAGTTACAAATATTTTCATCAGATAATCTATATTATACTCAGACTAATTGCCACTTGACAGCTTTAACCTTTTGACTTTTTGAAACAGAGTGTGATGCCTCTTGCCTCACTTGCTCTGGGCCATACAGTGACTCTTGTACTAGTTGTAGAGATGACTACAGACTGGAGGGCCATAGTCACTGTGTTCCAATGACCCACTCAAAGTGTACAGATCAACAGTATGTGGACCAAAGCGGGGAATGCCATCCATGTCATAAATACTGCCACAGGTGCTCTGGGCCTGGTACAAATCAGTGCCTGACCTGCAACCAGGGTCATCTCATGCTCGGTAAGTCAGTACTTGAAAACCACAGCACTTCCTGTGGCTGAGGCTGCTTATCTGGATAATATCTCTGCAGATGGTACCTGTTTGGATCGATGCCCAACTGGCTACTACCAGGATGATATGGGACTAAAATGTGAACATTGTCATCCCTCTTGTGAGTCCTGTGTGGGAAAACACAGCCACGAGTGTCTTTCCTGCAAATCCAGTCTTTTCCTTGAGGCCAAAGAGTGTGTTGAGACCTGCCAGCATGGGTAATTCAATCCTCACACTGTCCATCTGTTTTATCCGTGCATCGTGTTTTGAGTGGTCATAAAGATTTGACCTTGAAAACAACGTCTTAAAAATACCCCAACCTTTTCTGATGTGCTGTGGTTGATTAGGTTTCATTTGGGAAAAATCTAAATTAAGTTGTGTCAAATGTTACAAGCCAGTGGAACACAATCAGTAAACTTCTAAACTACTATACTACATACTACTACATCTACATCTACTACTAATGTGGCAGGCACTATGGAAACCCGGCCTCCAGGATGTGTGAGAAGTGTGACCCCAGTTGCAGTGAGTGTCTTGGCGCAGGAGAGGACAGCTGCCTTACTTGTACTGTGGGCCTAGTTTATTTGCGCAAAGCTGGACGATGTCTTCCTGTGTGCCCTGAAGGATACTACAATGATGCTGAGCACGGGACCTGCGAGCCTTGTCATGCCACTTGCAAAGCTTGTTCAGGTTTGTAAAAGATAGAAGTGATTAGGTGACAAACTATAATACAAACCAGAATAATAGAATAATTTAAAGAATAAAAGAAAGAATATATGATAATTTATTGCAATAATTCACAATAATGTTGTTTGTCCTCTTTAGCAAAAGAATCACATTCATGTCAGGCATGCCATGTTGGATACAGATTGACAGATGGGATGTGCGAATCAATGTGCTACAGGGGCCAGTATCCTGTAATAGAGGTAAATTTACTAGTTACTAAAGTTCTAGTATTTTATAATTAAACATATGCCATTATCCTATAGCATATAACTATATAGACATAAGAACCTGTAGCTTGACATTTTTCTATTAAAATTTTTATGTATGCCTGTGAGGAATTAGACAAGCAAAAAATGACAAAGTTCAAGAAGCAGCACATTTTTATTTCAGTAGCTGATAAAATAGCCTCATGCAAGCTCATTTGTTCTCATTAAGAGCATGGAGCTGGCTTGTGAAGACTGTGATGCTTCGTGTTTGGAGTGCTGGGGCCAAGGTCCAACCAGCTGCACCTCATGTCCTCCTAAGGCTATGCTCGAACCTGGGGGGCGCTGTCTGCTTTGTTGTAGCCATGACAACAAGGATGGGGCAGATAATAAACGGCAGCAGGACTGTTGTAACTGCACTGAATCTCAAGGTATGAAGAAAAACTGTTTGGCTAATTGGTTTATTGTACATGCAGGGCAAACAGTTCTAAGGTGAATAAATTAATGTACATTATAGTATGATTATACATTCATTCATTAATATATATATATATATATATATATATATATATATATATATATATATATATATATATATATATATAGTTACTTTACAGCATATAATCTGTTGCATTTTTTTCTAGGAGAGTGTATCGTCAGCACGAACTTACCATTCAGAAATGATGAAGAAGAGGAGGAGCGAGGGAACTTAGCTGTATTCATCACTGCTTGTGTTCTACTGGTGGTTGTACTGGTGGCTATTGTCTTCCTCATTAGACACTCGCGGTCAAAAGGTGCAGCCCGGGACATTCCCCTTCGTGGCTATGAGAAGCTGGGCTCAGGCGGGTTTGGAGGGGGAGGCAGCAGACACGGCTATAGTCCAGCCTCCTCCACCTCTTACAGTGGACATGCAGGCTCATGCAGTGGCCGCTTCCAGGAGTCCCAAATGGTGGACTTCAGTGACCGACGCTTGGGGAGTAAGAACAACGATGACGACGATGATGATGAGGACATAGTGTACATGGGCCAGGATGGCACTGTGTACAGGAAGTTCAAATACGGACAGCTGGGAGACGACAATGAGGATGAGCTGGAGTATGACGATGAGAGCTACACTTTTCGATGAAAGAGGAGAATAAGTCATACATCTTTGTGTGTCTTTGTGTCTGGCCCGAGGGAAAGGCCTCTTTATCCCTCATTGAATGTGAATCTACAAAATGAGGCATGAAAGGCTATTTATATTCTGTAGTAACTGTGTACTCGAGATGCAATACACCTCACTGTATTAACCTCAGAGTACTATTTTGCAATATGGTGGTGAAGTTCACATAAATTATATTTTTCCCTAAAATAAAGTCTCTATATATATTAAGCATTGTTACACCAATTGTTTATAAAGTTTGACCTGTCATGGTTGTTCCATGACAACTGCTTTTTACTATGCAGCTGCAACAAAATAATTCATGGAGCTTACATTTCAATATTTAAAGAAAACAAAACAATGGCGTGACTTAAAATAGCATTACCAAATGATATGGCTGATATTGTTATATTGCTATGCACAATTGATAAGTGATAAGCTTAAATATTCATATGAAGTGTTGTGATGTGGTGGGTTATTGTTTAAATAGTGAGTTTTTGTTTGTGTGTTACATTTAGTCGTTTACACCTTCAGATGTCCCTGACAGTATGTAAATGCTAACTTTCCAATAGTTTAATAAACAAACGTCATCAGACACACAAACAACATAGTCTTGGTACAGTTGCTTGGTGCAATTTTATTGAATTACTCGACTCAACTCTATTTATGTTTTTGCACCTCCTCCATACCTTACAACAGTAAAACAGTGAAGAGACATGCACGGTTCTACAGAAAACACACGCAACAAGGAGCAGAGATGACATTGTGCTTTGCAGTCCCTGTGTTTCTTTTTCATTATGAGGTCATTTCTTAAGTTGGCATTATTTTATAAATAGGTTTAGGAAATGACTAAATTACTAACATCATTTAAATGTGCATTATAAAAAATAAATTAAATAAATAATTACAATAATTTGATAGACCTGTGTTTGTTTGGCCACAATCACTAGCACAAAGTTATGCTACGCCTTGTGCTCCTCTAGAGGCTACTTAAAACTTTATACATGTCTAACTGAAAAAAAAGTGTCATTATTGCTCCACAGCTTCACATGCTCACAACCAATATATTCTAGATTTGAATGAGTCAGTGCAACGCGCTGTCAAGTCTACAATGTTACTGTTTTCAAACACACATCAAACAACAACTGCTGTGGCTGATACTGAGATGATTCTACTCAGTGTGGTGACTTACAGATATACAGAAGAACTACATATAGTGCTACAGCAGCCATAACAATGAGACAAGATGTGTAAACAGGCACTATTAGTAGTATATGGAACGTTATTTAGGATGCCTGGCTTTGGGAGTTGCTAGTTGCAGCTTCCTCTGCCCTGAGAATGAGAGAGAGCAAGAGACAAAGAGAGCATGAGGAGAGATGAGGAAAAAACAATAATGACATTAAAAAGTGGTGAGTGACTTTAGAAACAAGAATGTTTGTCTTGTGTGACTGTGTTTAAATGTGTCACAGGAGGACTTACTGTGTCCTGTCAACTGTTGGCTGGGGTCCCAGCAAGAAACTATTAACTCTTGGATAAAAGAGAGAGATTGTTAGAGGAGGATGTATTGGTGACAAATGTTGAAATTAACTGATAAATGCTATCACACATGCAAGTTATGATTTGTTACACAATAAGTCAGTCCATTAAATATCAGGGCAGTGGATCACCTGATAATAAAGATAGTCTTATTTAAGTTCATGATAAATGAGGCAAAATTTGTTTAGTTAACATTTTAGAAACTTTTGCTCTGCTCTTCCAGTAAATACAACTAATGACAAATTAAGTTGGTCAAGTTCCAGCCAAAGAATGAAAAAATGTGCTGTATGATAAATGAATGAATAAAGCAGCAGCAGTGACTAATGCCATGAAGAAAAGATGAAACAGAAGAGTGTGCTTACTTGGAGTTCTCTGCTTCCTTCAGCTCTTTGTCCAATCTGAATGAAAAGAGTTCAAGAGACAAGAAAATTAACTAGGTTTGAAACACAATTAAAGGTTTTGAGTGGGCTCACCTGATGATGCACTCTGGGATCTGTATTTGTTCCATTGGGATTAGCTGCTGCAGCTCATCCAGACTGCTGACATACTTTATCTTACTGCTGAACTTGGCACTGTTTGGGCAACATAAACAGAAAGCTGTCTTTACAGGTATATTAGATCTGCTAAGCTATAGCTTGTTGACAATTTTAAATCTAATGCTGCATAACATGTATAGAAGGAAGATAGTAGTGAGCAAGTTAACTTGCTATGCTATGACATCTATAGCAGGTAAGGGATTTGAGTGTAAAACTAATCTCCACATATTGCACAAGTTGTCTGAAATGGGAAGTAACTATTATTGAAATCTTATACAGAAGCAAATGTTGCTAAAATCAATAAAAACAGTTTTTGACAAAAATGTATCAAACAAACAAAAAAAGAAAGAAAAAAAGAAAGAAAACAAATAATGACAAAAAAGGAAAAAAGAGAAATGCCAAAAATGTCAGTACTTTACCTTATGAAAGGTTTTGTGATGGCTAAAACAGTCCTGATAAACCATGATGGGTGGAGAATAATAAAGGATTTCAAGTTCTTTCTGAGCCTATTGAAAGAGGATATAAGGCTGTAATTTTATTTTTTAATAAGTGTGTTTGTCTAGGCACAAGTAAACACACCTTCTATCAATCATCTGATAGCACTTCTTGAGCCAGCCCAGGCCCGGCATTCTCCTGTGTGGTGTGGCCCCATTCAGATACACAATCATGTAGTCCTCTGCCACCATCAGCTCCAGAGTGCTAATGACATATCTGTGCAAACGACAAAGACATCATGGCTCTCAATCAGCTCACAACAAAGTGTCCACCGAGCAGAGAGAATTCTTTATGAGCCTAAGAGAAACTCTTTTTAATAATTCATTTAGGAGAAAAACATACGAGTACATTCAAAATCCAAATGATAATGAAACAAAAAGTGACAAGTGCTGACAATTAAATTTACTATTCAGCTAGCAATATTTTTTCATGTGATGTCAGTTGAAGAAATGGTAAAGGTGCTGCTGTATGACATTTGTCTCATAATCTTTCTAATTTCAACTGCTTTTAATTTCAAAGCACAATAAAATGCTAGTCTTTAACTATTTTGCCTCAAATATTGAGATCTACTAAAACTTAATTATATAACTAAACAAACAGTGTTCACATAACCATATTCCATTATTTTCTTCCAAAATGAAACAGCATGCCATTCGAGATACAAGATACAACAGTCTTACTTATATATTGGCTAATTCTCTCTTTTTACTCAGCATACTAAACATTACATCTGCACAGTGCAACAATAAATATTCTAGGTAATACTTACAAAAATAAGTTTTCCATAATTTCATGATAGTCAGGTAGATCACTGTCTGGCAGGAAACAAGCAGCAAAAACTATGATGGCATTGACTCCGTTTCCATAGTAACCTTAATAAAAAACAAAGACTTTATTTCTTCACTCATCTTACTATTGCAAACCAACCAACATTTTTGCTGTTTTTAAGAAATGTCATTGTACTTATTTTTCATTAACTCCAAACTACAGAGAAAAAGAACAGAGGGCATAAGCTGCTTCATCGGGCCCCAAAAAGAAAAGGCACTGGTGACATCAAAGACCAAAAATATTTACATTCAGAAAGTTCCTCAAACAATAAAACATGTTTTCAGAAGGTTTTTGGTACACTTTTAAGCAAAAAATCTTTAAATTATATCACTCAGTTGTATAAAGTTGTATAAAAGTTCACCTCCATGTGATATGACTTTCATATATTGCTCAATGATCTTCATATTAATGCGATGCTCTTGCTCTCCAATGATGACAGTTCGCCACAGTTTGCCATCCTGACGATCCTGACGCTCTTCCTCAGCACTGTAAGTGGGGATTGTGTTATAGGCATCACTTGTTCCACTTTGAATGTCCACCTTAGGGTCTAAAAATATAAATAAATAAATATAAATACAATAGTACAACATAATACACTTTGCACACTGGTATTTAATATTAAATTATATAAGGTGCTTCTCATGATTTTGTACATGACAAGCCATAATATTGATCTAAAAGGTCTTAATTATAGTAGTGGGTTCACTGATTCAGATTTTTGTCTTTCTTGTGTCTGAAAAATGACTTATGTGACATTTTTGAAATGCAAATATAAATACAGTGTGATGAGTGGGTCTGGGGGTTAGATGTAAACTGAACGTACTCAAGCCTTAAATAGAGGACAATGCAGGATTACGCAAAAATGCAACACAATTACAACAAGGTTAAAAGCTCATAAAGGTTTATTGTTTTTTTAAGATGTCACCACAGCGTCGTGACTGACCCACCTTCCCAGTCCATTTCGTGGTCTGTGTAATCGAGGTAGTCTCCTTCTTCTGGAGTGTCGATGTCATCCACATTAATGTCCAGATCATCTGGAGTCTCACCCAGGTCATCTTCACTCTGGTCCAATGACAGGCTGATACGAGGGGCTGACAGCTTCTTCCTCTGACTCTGACCTCCTTCTAGAGGTAAAGAGGTGGGAGGCACTACACACATGCACAGAAGTCAATTAAGTGCCATGAGCATTAATGGGATTTATTAATAAAAAAAAATAAAAAATAAAAAAGTTGATGTATCCTCCTCTATACCTGGTCTGCCTTCAGCTCCTTCAGAGTTCATTTTAGCAAAGTCTGTCCACAGGACGACCTACAGGTAGTAACAAATAAACAATCATAATTATTATTATTATAATTTGTGGCTCAATACCAAAAATCATGTAGTCCACTTGACTATGACAATTTGTTTTTATGTAATATATGTTATGTATGGTGCACAATTGTTATTCAAAGCAATAATACAACATCCATTATTAATATTATACATACAATTATGCTGCTACTTAATCCACCAGTCTAACAGTCTCTCTCTGTAGGAGAAGGGCCATGCAGGGCAGTTGAATGGAGGCTGGGAGCAGTGCAGGATTGCTTCCATGATCTGCACTGTTGCCCTCTTCACTGCCTGCTCATTGCTCTTTGTGCTGACTGAAATAGAATGACTACAAGCTCGCCTGTGCACAGATCAAATGATGCAAATTCTCTGTGTCATGTGCACAGACACGTTCGCATGGAAATGAAAACCTCTTTTTGACTGAAATGGGCTATATGGCACTTACAGAAAATAAAAAAGCCCACACCATAAACAGTCAAACATTAGCCAAAAAGGCCCTATTTGAGCATCAATAGGAGTACCACTTTAGAGGTGATGACATGCGCCCGTCCCTCTCCCCCTTCCTCTCCCCCTCCCTCTGCCCCTGTTTCCTGTGCGCAGGCTTAGGAATAGGAACACATTTCATTTGTTTTCTTCCTTAATATATTACCATGTACTTACCGTTGCTGAGTCACGTGAATCTGCAAGTCCGTCTGCGTTTTAAACCATTTGTACTTGTTGTCACCTGCTTATTTCCTGCTCTCTTTTCCTTGGAGGAGATGCTCGACTTGCAAACAGCTCACAGCTTCCACCATTTTGTGGTCACGTGATCACGGCTTCTTCCAAATAAGGACAATAACCTGCTACGACAGCTCTATGCCATAGAGTTTGTGCGCTGTGCACAGCAGTGTCCTCCGGGCAGTGCTACACTCAAGTGCAGGAATGGCTAGCGCATGTATCCACGACATGATACAAGAACATTCTAGCCTTTAATCCATCGTTATGTGGACGAATAAGAGTAGGCCTTTAATAAAACAAATGTTTAGGTTTAATTATGTTATTATTCGTTCATAAGGCATAAGGTTATTTTCTGATCTATGTTATAATGTTGTTTTGTCATCAGCAACAAACTCGGAGTTGTGTTTTGCATGTAACCCTGCATATATAGGCTGTGCTATTCTCTACAATAAAAAACAACTCTATTCCACCTTGTGATGTCTTGTGGTAATACAGGAAGTGCTCGACTCCATACAGTAGTTTAGTTAGCCCTGGATTAGTCCATCTCTATTATACAAAAGGTAAAAGCAAGGAGTTAACTTAAGAAATAAAGATTTGTGACATCACAAGGTGGAACAGAGCATTTTGAGCTTTACAGATGTAGACAGACTAAAGAACAGTGCGATGCAATGACAATGTTTCAGTCTCAGAAGTGTACGTCACAGGCTACACTAGAATCATGTACCAATAAGTGAAATACCGTAATATATCATTATAACAGTCTTCTCTGTGAATACAATTTCGTTGCAGCAACAGCAAAAGGAGGACAATGAACTAGACTAGATAAGAATTTTTTTGCCCTATTTCAATGCACACAACATAGGCCTTTTGCAGCCTGCAATTCTTCGGAATAGCCTGTGACTAAGGTCATTTAAAATGAAAGTTCTTTAGTTCTATTAGCCTGAGCGTAATATTGCAAATAGGACTATTGCAGGTGAAAATATTGCAATGGAAAACTGTGATAATATCGTACCGTTAGATTTGCGTATGGTTACATTCCTATTGTACACTCGAAATTGCCAGGAAAACAACAAAGCCTCTGTGCTCTTCGCCTATAGTTTGAACAAAGGTTAAGGCATTCCACAACCCAAATCACTGTGGCCACACCTGGCTTATGTTAATGACTGAAATGCATTTCTGGTTACTCATCAACTTGGACAACTACAAACATTAAGGCGAGACACTGCAGATAAATAGGAAAATTATCTTAAATTTAAAGGGATCACTTTGAAACGTCTTCTGTAGTTTAATTAGATTAGTGCCTAGTTTTTCATCATGTAGGCTAACTGTAGTTACTATTTGTCAACGAAAACTAACAAACAAAAGAGGCGACAAACTTAGAATTAAACATAACTCAAATAATCACCTTTGGACACCATAGGTATGTTTTTTACGCATAACATACAACAAACTCAATGTCCAGATCCAGAGATGCATTTATCAAGATTTATTCCAAGTTTAACAGGCAAACAACAAGCATACATATTCAGGCCTACTTGCTGCCTCTCCTGTTAGCTGATAAAAACCATAGGCCCACCCAGGTGCATTCTGGTCCTGCTCTACCAACCTTTTTTATCCCCTAGGTGCCATATGGATTATACCAAAAACAGAAAAGGTGCTAAGGTATATTATAACAAATTAGACTAAACAAATTAGAAAAGATATTAACATAGCAAAAATATATTCTGCAAATTAACTAAATTAGTAAACTAACTGACATAAACAGAAAGCAAGTTTTTGAATGAACAAAATAAGCAAATAGCTCATACAGTAATGTTTTCATTAAGTCAATAAATAAGTTTCACATATTTAATTGGGACATAGGCCAGTAGCTAGGCCATATGAAAAATTATTAAAGCCCAAATAAAACAGCAAAATCAGTTAATAACCAAAGCCCTTTCTTTATTTGACATTTATAGCCTATAGTTTGCCCATGTTCCCACTCACTGAGCATTAACAGTAAAGGTATAGCCTATAGCTTAAATAACATTAATAATCTATGACTTGATGTATCTAACACAATAACAACAAATATAATATTAATAAGGCATGAATACCACATTTAACTTGCATGTGCAGCATAGGTTTCAATTTTACAGTTTTTTTAAACCAGTCAAGGCCATTCATCCAAAATATAGCCAATACAAATATCGTATCATATCATAATCAACATGAAATATGTATAGAAATATGTATGCATACAATTAATTAATCTTCACCAGAATTAAAAAAAAAACAATCATATAGCAGAACCTGTTTGACGGTAATGGCAAGTGGCCATGAGGCAGCACCAAGCAGAGCTGCAGACATGAGGAGTATTCACAACTCTTTCAACAATAATTAGTCAGATCTTAAAGCAAATAGCAAATCCTTAAAGTGGGATGAAGACCCCCAAGACATCTTTGAACAAAGTGTGTTTCACATTTTTAAACACCTTGTCAATGTTTCCAGTGTCGGTCGCACAGGTGTAATGTGTGTAAAAAGGTTTATCCCGTTTGCCATGGCTATCCACAAACATTTGTCGTATGAATGTTTTTGCTGCTTCAGCATTACAATTTGGCCCTGAAAAAAGACACATATGAAAAGAAAAATACTGCAAGAATATTTAATCTGATTTGAATAAGACATTCATCACACTAAGGGGAAAACAAAAGTGCATAAGCCTACCGGTGTATTCTGGGAAGTATGCCTTCAAATGGGACTGGGCAATCTTCTCTTCTAGTAAATCGATTTTATTTAGAAATAAGATGGTGGAGGACTCTTGAAACCAAGGATATGAAAGAATAGTATTGAATAAGGCAAGACTTTCTCTTAGTCGATTCTGTTGAATAGAAGACAATATTAGGTTAAACTTGTGGCATTTAGAGTTACAATGATAAATTGTGTTGTTCTATAATGTTGTAGTAGTCAAGAATTACAGTAGAACTACAAGTCTGAGCTTACATCATTTTCACTTTCATAGAGATTTTGGTCATATTCACTTAATGCAGTCAGGAATATAACTGAAGTGACATTCTCAAAACAGTGAATCCATTTCCTTCTTTCTGATCGCTGACCACCCACATCAACCATCCTATACCAAAAAACAAAACAACAGTATTGGCCCTAATTAAAGAACATCCTGTCACAATAGTATAATTGAAATGCTCTCACTGGCCACATTATTAAATTAATCTGCTTCTAAATTTGAATCACCATGATATTCACAAACATATCTTTATGTGCCTGTCTGGGATCAGAGCTCCTACTGGTGAAACTAAAGCTGGGGTTAAAGTTATAAGTTATGGACCTGATATTATGTGTTCTTAATAAAGATGAAATTGTTATTTTTTGTAATGGTTTGTTTTGGTTTGTGTAATGTATTTCTTTTAAATCATAAATTTTAATGTAGGCTACATATCTAATAATATGACCAGTGAGAGTCAGGTGTTTGTGTAAAAATCACCTAAAGGTAACTTTTAAGAAGTCAAAGGGATACTCTATGATTCCTGTTGTGGACACTCGAACTCTCAGGATATCTTGGACAGATGGGATGTATGAAGGAGCCGCGATCCTATCCAAATCACTCAGGTAACTAAAACATGTTTTGAAAACAAAAACAAAATAATATTCAGTACATGTAAAAATTATTAATATTGTGACTACTGTGGCCTAAGTAATACAAACATAAGATGGAAATCTTACTATTTAGCGTTGTCATTTATCTGGTATTCTCTTCTGCGGTCATAGCACATTTGAACCCCATGATCATTCCACACTTTTCTAATGGCCTCCGCCTGCCAGGGCTCTAACGTGGACACTGTGTTCATCTCCACTTGGGACAGTCTCTGTGAATATGCCTGACACACACAAAACTGTCAGAAAACAACTTTTTTCATGACTTTCATAACTTTTTTTTTTCTTTTCTTACAATGTTGTTGTCATCGATATAGTTAATTTTCAAGGTCCTCATGGCATTGATGAGTGCCTGGATTGCTGCCATAACATTCTGATACACAACCCGTTTAAAGACTTTCCTATCATCTTCATTGTATCCTTTACCATGGATGATCCTCATCTGTTTAATGAAGGTGCTTTTTCCACTTTCTCCTGTGCCTGTGTAAACAAGAGGAAACAGAAAATACACCGCTAACACCAGCAAAAATAGCAGAACCATAGGTGACCTCAAAATCCTTTGCTAGATTCCAGTTTAGTTTATGTTTGAGGTACATTCAGTTTAGTTCGTGACTGCAAAGAGATTTGGTTCAATTCGGTGTGAATCACCACAGTAACAGACTCCCCTGCTTTGGACCAGGGTAAGATCTGGTTAGGTCCTCATTTTTTCAAATGAATTTGTTAATCAAAGATGAAGAAAATAAAATGTTTTGATACAATACATATTCATGCATTTCATACATTTCAATATATTTAATAACAAGTCTAATTTTGAGTTAAATTCACAAAACTTGTTCAAAGAATACATCAGATGTATGATTTGATTATCATTTGTATCACATAATCATTAGCTTTTCACCTAAACTGGGGCAGGACTGTGAAATATGGAGGTTTTATGGTTTTCAGCTGGGTTTTAAGTTATTTGTTTCTCAAAATCTGTTAACTTATAAAAACAGCTATGTTTTGTTTTGTTTGTTTGTTTGTTTGTTTGTTTTTTACTGTTATCACCTCCATCTGTGTCCCTGGGGTAGTCCCTCCCTCTAGCCTAACTTGTATTGGCTGAGCCGTGCGACTGTCTGCCTGATCTGTAGGCTACAGGAGCAGCTGCAGTCATCAATGGCTCTGGGTTTGACAGAAGATTCATATCCAACTTCTAGCAACACATAAACCTAAAGTTACTCAGTTTGCTGGTTTGGTCTTATCAACTGAGCACTAAATCAATGGGCTCTATTCACACTTACGTCACACGGCACAAATCAGGGAAACATTTGGAAAGATGCAATTACAACTTCCGGTGAACATACCGACTGTGATAAAACTGTAAAACCCATTGAAGTAAATGTCATCAGTGGTAAAATGAAGACTGCATACATCTGTGCTGTTTGGAATCATCTTGAATTTGGCGCCTCATCTCTTCTAATCGCATGTACCCAGTGTGCTCAGAGTTGTGTGTCAGTGGGGAAATGATGAAAACTGAGGTCTGGTTGTAATTGTTGATTAGCCAAACATAACGGAATGCTACATTGACATGTAAATGAAGAAAACTGAGCCATTTCCTAATTTTTCCTAGATTTTGTCAGACTAACTACCGTGAACAGAGCCTGTCGGAAGTCATAATTGCATCTTTCCAAACGTCTTCCTGATTTGTGACATAAGCGTTATTAGAGCCTATTTGAGTCAGGGTTGAATTAATATAACTCTGAGTAAGTTCAACCGGCTTCTAGCAACACGCCTTTAACCATTATTTGACAATAATTTTAAGTAATGTTTGGCACTGAATTATGCTATTACAGATATGACGGAGGGGGGGAGGATTTGGGGGGATGAAACAGAGGAAATTAAATGCAATTGGTTTGTCCCTGAGTTTTTGAAACCTCAGCTGCCAAACAATTTGGAGAAGAGCCATGTTCAGCCAAAAAACTATCTTTAAGAAAACTGATGGAGAAGTCTATATTTTTGTATGGTTTTATTTTAAACAAACACATAAAACATTAAAACCTTAAACAGCACTAATTACACACAGTTCTCCTTGAACAGAACACTGCATCTCCCTCTGCTCAGTCTCTTCTGGTGCTCTGTCTGTCTGGTGCTGTGTAGTTTTCATATGTAAATGGTTTGATTTTGAAAAGGAAACAGGAAGTAGTATGCACATACACATCTAGCTTAACCTTGCGAATTGATGCATAGAGCAGTCTTTTCTCTCACGTGTTGGCATGTTGGTTGAAAAAGAAAGAGGTGTGAAAACCGTCGATAATCTTCTCTTAATCTTCGGGTCAGTTTTTTTTTTTTTTTTTTTTTTTAATTCATGGAAAAGTGGTGCTACCAGTCTTGGTGTCCACTAAGGTTGATTAAATGATGCCTCCCAGTTGGTTGAATTGTAAGCATCTACCACTCCATACAACAGATCCTGGTTATATTTATAGTTACAACCTGTAGGCCTAGTAGACAAAGGACTACATGTTGGAACTATAAATGTACTGTGCATGCTTTTATATTTTCCTAATTTAAAGTTCACATTTAAATACAATTACCTGGGTCCACTGGTTATAGACCTTTTTTACAACGGCTGGAAGTGCTGTGATGTAAGGTCAATGTCACCTACGTTAATCCTTTTCTATGGCAAAATATCTGTGGAAATGTCTTGCGTATTTTCCATCAGCTTCATAAATCTGTCCCATCAAAAAATCTTCATTCAACGAGGTCAACGAAGTACATAGTCTGTCCATGAAAAATGTATCCACAACTATCAAGGTAAGAAAGACAAAAATGTAAAGGCTAACAATGACTAGCATTAGTGACCTCCTGAGCACAACAAACATTATGGTCATGAATAAAACATAAGTAGGCTAACTTGTTAATTCAGACTGATTCTACAATTACAATTAAAAATCAATTTCATGATGTAGATATTAGCATAGACAGAGAGATTTGTGCAGTTTAAATGCGAGACATCTGTAATCTGTAGAAACATCTGTAGCATTCGAACTGCACAAATCTCTCTGTCTATGCTAATATCTACATCATGAAATTGAATTGAATTACTTATTGTTTTTTACTATTATTTTTTTTTCTATTATTTATTATTACTTTGTTAAACTTATGTTTTATTCATGACCGTACCGTTAGTTTTGCTCAGGAGTAGTTCACTAATGCTAGTCGTTGTTAGCTTTTAAGTTTTCATCTTTCTTACCTTGATAGTTATAGTTGTAGATAGATAAATTCTTCAGGGACAGAATATATCCTTTGTGGACCTTGTTGGATGAAGATTTGGTGACGGATAGGCAGATTTATGAAGCTGGTTGACAATACGTGAGACATTTCCACAGATATTTAGCCATAGAAAACCATTAACAGGAAATTCCACCAACCTACAGTGGGGCACTTCTGGCCATTGTGATAAAGGTCTATTGCTACACTCTCAGCTCCTATGAACCAAGAAGTCAAGACATGTATATACTGTATCTTGAATTAGGTTACAAAGTAAAGCATGGCGAGCCAGCAGGGGGCTTTGAGTAGCAATAACGTTAGTATCCCTTAAGTTTGCACTAGTACATTTTCACCAATGTTAAGGTTCCAAATTGTCATTATATCAGCTTTGACAAATACCCTTGTAGCTTATTGAGTTTTTGAAGTAATTTGGGTCTATTAGCAAATTTATCAAGGTTTGAGAACAAACTTGAGAGTTTTTCAGTAAAGTTGTGAACAACTTAACCCCTTTGAAGTGCAGAGGAGCATGTAGTAGTGGAACACATAGTCAATAGTTCAGACCCCTCACGCATCAGCAAAACTCCATTTTCTGGTAGTCCCTTGCTCAAAATTTGTGGGTGACTGTGACACTTGGAGAAGCAATACTGAATGCCACTTAGCTGATCCCACTATTCTCAGTGCACAGCTTGTAAGGTTGATTGTCAATTATTTACTGCCCCCTGACTCGACTATAGTCAAGTCATTTAAAAAGCTTTCCTAGACCTGTTTGCCTCAGTTTATGCTGTAGTGAAAGATCTGGATGCGCTATTTACTCAGTTTCTCAGGTGAGAAACCTTCTAACTATCTTCAAAGATTACAGATACTGTTGAGCTGGATCATGAAAATGAAAACAATTTTCCCTCAAGCTTTAGACAAACAACTCTTAAAGCAGTTCTGTGGAGATTGCTGGAACAATACACTGATTAATGCACTTCAGTTGGAGCAAAGAAAAGATAACACACCCATTTTTCCAGAGTTCCTACTCCTTTTAAGAATAAAGGAGGACAAACAAACTGCACAGGCAAACAAAATGAAACAACATTTGGGGTTTTACAAACCAAAAGCTATGATGCACAAGTATGAGGGATATCTTTCAGACAAATGATACACAGCTGTCCTTCCCGCAAAGGAAAAGAAGAAAGAGAAACAAAAAGAGAAAACCAAAAAGACATCAACTCCAAAATCTACCGCAGAAGCGACACCAGCAGCACTTAAATGAAAATCATGGTACTGTTTTCACTGTGGCAAGGATGGGCATATTGCCATGAGCTGTAATGATCCCCCCCAATCCCACATTACTGTCTGCAAAGAGAACTCCGTTATAAAAAACAAAAAGCTTGGGAAAAAGAAAATCCGACCCCTGACAAGCAGTTAAACTCAACAGTGTTGTTATTGGGGGACAAACAGAAACAAATGAATCAGAATGTCCCACAAGTGAACCAAAAACAAAACCAAAAGCTAAAATCAAAGAACAAAGAGTGACACAGAACAGCATGTTACCAAAAGGTCTGGCTGGAATAAAAGCACTACTAATGTTAAAGTTAACATGCATTGCGTGCTACTGGTTTGTAAGTAACAACCATGTCCCAGTCCTTGCTTGTTCCAATAGTCTCATTCCATTATTAACTGGAACTAATACTAATACTAATAGACCCATTTTGTGATCAGTTCTGTGATGACAGTGCCCTCCAAACCAGTCTGTACTGTGGCTATCACCAAGTCTTGAAAACGATACAGTTTAGACACAAACAGAGTTCACATGGTTATCTGGGACTTATAAATCTCAGAAATTATGAGTGTAATTCCTGCTGGTCAGAAAATAGTGCTAGAGGGATGCAAATATTGACAATGCAACAAATGAAAAATGTGTCCTAGTTGAGCAGCCTACAGTGTCATCCTTTCATTTGCATTGCCTATAGTCTTAGTATAAAAGAAAAATTGGGACATCTGATTACGTGTGAACTATTGTCATTTAAACATACATATGATCAAGGATGCGTATTACCAAATTTTGTCCTTTTCAGCCGTTAGCGGGTCTGAATGTTTTTCTGAATGGATTTGAAAAATTAATATTATTAAAGAAATGACAGAGTGACAAGGGAAAAAACAGAGTTTGAGTGACCTGTCAGGTTTCAGTAAGGCGCCAAGCTTCTTCTTTCCATTAAGTGCTGGAAAGCACTTAATGGAAAGATGCATGGGTGATATTAACTTGCATCTAAGAACTAACATCTAAGAACTTGTGTTCTTAGATGATATAATTGTCTTCAAATACACTAGAAGAACACATAACCCATTTGAAGAATGTCCTCAATCGCTTGTAAGAAAAATTATCACCTGAAAGTGCTTTGTTTTTTAAACATCACTCCGCATATTCTCACTTGAAGCAGTGTTAAGACCAATCCTCAAAAGTCCAACAAACTTAAGACCTGTTTTCACAGTGATTATCGATAATAATCCTTGTGATATGTCCTAACCAATGCCAAGCGAGATGCAACTACTAGTAAGTAGATGATGATGAAACACTTAGTGACCTATCAGACCGTAAGTACAGTGTGGCGGCACTAGCTGCATTGCAGAGCACAGACCCATCAGTGTAGTCATTAAGTTATGTTGACAGAAGAACTACAATTAAACACACTACATTGTTTCATAATAGACAATATAATAATCAACTCGTCTTACCACAAACTCTGAGAAAACCAGTAAACCACAGGTTACATAACGAAATGGACCATGTAGGAGGCAAAAGAACAGTTAACCAGACCTTGCTTCTATTGGCCAAAGATAGCTCTAGATGTTGAATCCAAAAGCGCAATCTCTGTTTTCACAGCAAACACAAACTAGCTATCATGGGAGTCTAGCACTTATGTTTTATGTCCAAAAAAAGTTGAAGATATACCTTTGTACAGTTAGTCCTGAGGATCAAGAAAGGTGCTTGTGCACTCCATCAAGACTTATTGCTCCCTTGCGTATTTTTACCAGAGAAGGATGAGGAAATGGTAAAACCACAACAGGCCTCAAAGCGCAAAATAAGGTACACTCCCATCCCTCCAGTGGAAAATCCTCCTGACTCAGATAAAAATTGAGCCTTGAGTATAGAGAACACAACAACATTATAAACTCTTTAGATTTAAAAATGACAGTGGCCCAAAAAGGATTACTACATACCTTGATGGGAAACAGACGAACAAAAATACTATCCTTGGAGTGGACAGTTTTTACCCTAGTTTAATTTCAAACATTCCATTTGGACAATTCCGACACCTCAGGAGAATATGTGACACAGACAAGGAATTTGACACTCAGGCTCACGACATGTATGCAAGATTCCAACAATAAGGAAACAGAAAAAGAACTCTCAATAATGCATTATTTAAGGCTAAATCCACTGAAAGGTCTTAGCTTTTCAAAAAAGAAGTCCAAAACAAAAAATAACAATAACATATTGTGTTCAGTCAAATATACTAACCTTGCATACACGATCAAACCTATCATTAGGAAAAACTGGGACATTCTCCAGTGACCCCTCCCTTGCCACTGTTGTACCTGAACCTCCTATTTTTGTTATCCGTAGAGCACTAACTAAGGACCAACTGGTAAAAAACTACTTACCTTTTCAACAGAAGCCATTCTTCACCAAACCAGTTGGAACATGCCAATGTGGATCCTGCAATCACTGCAGCCATATAAATAGGTCTACTTCATTCAAAGACTCCTCCCGTAGAAAAACATTTAAATGCAGACATTCTGCCAACTGCAATACAACTCACAGTGTTTTTGTGGAGGGTTTGATATTGGAAGGACCAAACAAAGACTATGGGACAGACTCAATTAACATAAATATTTTGTCAAAACAAAAATCCAAATTACTTCAACATTTTCAATCCTCATATCATATCAACACTGTCCTATTAAAAGTGATTGCCATAGATGTCATCCCTCACATCATCAGAGGTGGTGACAGGTTTAAAAAAGCTCTCACAAAGACATTTTGGATTGAGACTCTTAAATCTACCAAGTTTCCTGGTCTTAATGAGGACCTTCATTTTTCCTTGTAATTATTTACACACACATGGGAGGTTGTGACCATCTACTACAGTCCTGCTGACTTACATTTATTGTCTCATTCACCATGTTGTGAAAATATTTCTTGGGTTGTATTATTAAGTTCTATTATGACTATTGTTATGTAGGTTATTGTATACCCCAGGCGCGCCCACTCTTACTGTTACATGCTCTTGGCCCTATGTAGTTTTAAAGTGGGTGTTTCCTGTTACACCTGTCTTCTATTATTAAATAAGGTGGGGCTATTGTATATTGTTAAAAAAAAAAAAAAAAAAAAAACATAGTATATTTTTTTAATCTGATGTAGTAATATCATGTTGATTATCGTCATCTCACGTGACTGGTGTAAGATGATTCTACTGTTTAAGTCACCTGTTGCCTTTTAGAATCTCCACAATGCCGTGAAGCAGACCTATTAAGTCGAAAAGCGCAGACGTCCCGTTTTGAAACAAACTTCTGACTTTTATGCGCCTTGTCAGTGAGCCTCAGATCCATCAGTACAACTTTTTTAAGGCAAGTTTTGGCTCTCTCTTTGTATATGGTCACGTCATTGAAAAGTACCTGGCGCTTTTTACAGTTTTGTACACAATTCCTGAACCAATAAAGCACGTCCTTGTCTGCCTTTAATTGTCCAAATAAGACTTTGTATTAGCGTACATACTTCTGTACGTTCAGTCAAAATCTCGTTGTGTACAACAAGTGCAACTATAGTACAAGAAAGTACAAGGAAAGTACAAGCAAAGTCTGTTGTTAGTAGGCGCTACTTTAAAATGGGATCCTTGCGTCCCTTGGAGAGAAAAATGCATTTTGGATAAACGGACGTTTAAGTTACAGTGTCGTATATAAATCCATGGACGCAAATTGATTTAATTAAATAGGCTATTAAAACAGCTTTCATTGCAGAGTGGACAATTTTGTTGTTTCCACATGAAAACAAAAAACTGAAAAAGGTTTTGCACAGTGTCTCCCTTATTAAAGTCAAGACCAGCGTGTAACGCGTTAACCCAATCAAACCTTGCCAATTTATAATAATCCTATTGATTACTCAAAGGGGGCATTTGGAATACGATGAAAACGTAATGACAAAAATAAACTGATAAAGAATAGCTCAGTTTAGTGGTAAGTTTTAGACACTGTGATTTGTCTCTCCTGGCAGGTAGAATAGGCCCCCTGGATCCCGGCGGCACCACAAAGGAATCAGATATTTTGTCTCACCTAAAAGTAGCAGCTTTAGCTCTTTGTAGGAGTTCTCCTTATCCCTCCGAAGTTGTCGCTCAATTTCTCGGTGAATTTGAAGTCGTTCACTCTCTTCAGCAGACAGACAGCACTTGTCCATTACGGCCCAATTGAATGTGACGAATGAACGAAGCTGTCTGTGGTACCGTCAAATAAAGGCTGACGGTAACCCCTTTTCTGATCTCACAGTAGAGCGTCCCGGAACAGGTGGAATTCTTCCTTGTACAGGATCCAGTTCGGGTGCATTTCACATTCCTCTGAGGCGGAGAGGCGGGTGCAGTGCACAAACGCATGACTTTTTGAGCACCGTATTCAGTAGCTTTGTCATTCTCTTAGGGATAAGCAGTTTCGTTTGCTCCATTGCGCCCCATAGCCTACTGAGGCGAACTGTCGAGGATGGGACTTGGTCAGACCAAAAAACAAAAAACAAAAAAAGCCCAAAATAAAATAAACAAATAAATAAAACTAATATATATATATATATATATATATATATATATATATATATATATATATATATATATATATATATGTGTGTGTGTGTGTGTGTGTATATACACATATAGTTATATATACATACATACACATACACAAGTAATTAGGTTCTCTCGCTATATATATATATATATATATATATATATATATATAAGAGAACATAATTCATTATAAGTTTGTCTGTCAATTAGAGAAACTGAGACTGCCTCATGTAAGGGGGCACCTTGTGTACGGTAGGCCTACACATACTACATTTTGAGAAACACTGTTGTACACGGAGATCAAGTCAACACAATGTATTAAAAAATAAATTTTAATTTTCCAAAATTAAAGTACCCTCAGCATACAGTCTGACAAATACTGAATACTGGGCAAGAGAGGTGTTGTAAACAGTGTCCCTTAACACCTGGAGCAGGGATCTTAAATTTTTGTTATACATCATGCAGGCCTAAATCATTCTCTACTTTGAAGTTAATTATAAATGTACAATACAGGACAAAGAACAAAAAGTGAAAAAAATAAAATAAAAAAACATCAAACAAACATCACTGAATAGTAGTGGGCGATGTATATCAAAACTAAACAAAATGTGAAATTGACAGCTGTACATATATGCTGCAAATCAGTATGAACGGTGTTATTATTAGTGTTTCTATTACCCTGTTGCACACAGTTAATATTTCCATCAGTATCTCCACTTTAACAACAAAAAACAGCATATATAACCACATATGGAGCTCATCTCTCCATCCGGTGCATGGTGGTAAGAATACAGTGCAATGGGAAAGAAGTTACTAAATAAAAGTTTCTAATCATAGCAAAAACAGTGCAACATACTTAGTAATCTTATCCAACAAAAAATTTAAAAAGTACATTTTTGTTTGCATAACTGACTGCATATCAGGCAGAGGAGAATAATTTTAACCACACCACCTTATTGGAAATAAATGGTACTGGTGCTTGGTTCTTGTACATTTTCCCTTTTACTCAATATTTATGCACTTAGAATACTGAAAAAACATACATTGCATAGTGCATACTATAAGGCTAGCTCCTCATCTTGATTTTTATTAAAGAATAAGGAATGTGAAAAATACAAAGTACATTCATTTTCTGCCTCAGATTATAGTGTTCAGCAGCTACAACATGCAAATGGAAGAAGTTCAGAATTCCCCTACTGACGGTTCAAACTTAAGTAGACTGCATAGCTGCAGTTTTAAACTAAGTTATACACACTAAGGTTGGACTGCAAAATGTGATCTTTCACTACACTAAAGACAAATCGAATATTGTTTGTGTCTGTGGCACAAGTGAAGTGGGAGTAGATCCTTTTCTGATCTGGCTGAAAACTAAGAAACATATTTAGAATAAATTCACTTGCTGCCTTGGCATCTTGCTTTGGCCCTGAAACATAATAGACAAGTGAAATTTATTTTGAAAACCAAATAAAGAAATATATGTAACTTACCAGCATATTTAGGAAAATAGTCAACTAAATGTGAATACATGATTTTCTCCTTCAGCAGGTCAATTTTGTTGAGAAACAACATCACAGAAGCCGAAATAAACCATGGACTGTGCAAAATTGTCTGGAACAGTGCCATACTTTCTTCCATTCGATTCTTAAAAAAACACAAAAGCAAAAACAGCATACACTGATACAAAGACAAGGAGCAATAACATTCAGGAATCTGTGTTAGACAAAAATTATAGACAAAATTATATAGACAATCCAGTTTGAAATCAGTACAAGTAAAGTGCTCCCCCTGCAGATTTAGACATAATACTACCACAATGACAACTGTGAAGCAGTCTGCCTTCTGTGGCCATGTAAAGGAAATGAGCCAGAGGTGGAAAAGGACTGCATTCCATTATCTGTAAAAGTGCCGGTAAACCTTTACAAGCAAAAGTAGTTCTGAGAAATTATGTTGCTATACGAACTACTGTAGTAGTACTGAAAGTACGTTTTGCAAATCATTTTAACTAAGTGATGATACCTCTGAAGTTCAAAAAATAAATAGGTTACTTCCAAGAGACAAGATGCAAATTGTATTTTGGTCCTATTCTGTTCAGTCCACTCTGTATAAATAATATACATGTTGTAAAAGATTAGATTAAACATGTTAAGTTAGAATGGGTACATTGGAAACAAACATTAAATTTGCCTATATTTTGTTTATTAATTATCTACAAAGAAGAATAAGCCATCCAACTGAAAGCTGGTGGAAACTGCATATAATGTTAATGACCTCTAAAAGATGCAAATAACTCTTCCACAAAAGTACTTTTTTAGGAATGCAGTGGAGTAGAAAATGCTGTATTTATTTTTCAAATGTAGAGTACACCACTAGATTCCAGGTACATTAATGCTGTCTCACAGTGTGCCAGCTTTAGCCTGGTAGAAGAATACCAGAGAGCACAGGTGAGCCTGAACAAAGGCCAGGTGAGGGGAAAGGGGAACAGGTTTCACATCTGCCATCTACTTGTAAATTTTTTTATATATAAGGCTATAAGTAAAGTAAAAATTACCCTTATGCCAGAAAGTCTATTTTCTGCATGTTGTAAAATAAAACTAAGTACCTGACTGGACCTGAATTAGGGAAAGTAAACCAGTGTCTAAACAAATGCATCCAGTGATTATAAATATAAAGAGGACAGAAGTGTTGTCTTACCACGCTGTCAGATTCTATAAGAACCTGATCATACTCGCTGAGAGCGGCCAGGAACATGATGGATGTGACGTACTCAAAACAGTGGATCCACTTCCTGCGCTCTGAACGCTGACCACCCACATCCACCATTCTGTTAAAGCATAAATTAAAGGTGATAAAAATGTTCTGGTGTCACCACAAAATCAGTGACTGTTCCTTAAATAATTATTAATGCTGTAAGATGAGCTATTCAACTACATTTTCCCTTGGGGCCAGAGGTGCACAATGTGTCACCACAAAATATCAAACAAAACAAAATATTCCCAACACTACATCTGTTTCAGTTTTAATAACAGTAGCAACATACAGCTATTCTCATTTTTTCTAAAAAATAAATAAATACAAAAGGCTTCACCAATATTATTTTGTAAAATTACCAATCCAGTACTGAACCAGTTTTAAACTAGGTCTAAAGCACAATAAAACAAACAGAATAAAACTAGGTCTAAACATGGACTAACTAAACCAATCAACAAGAGAAAATATTTTAATATTTGGAAAGTGGAGTGCAGATTTGATGGTTTGGAGTGCCTGATCTGGCCCCTGGGTAAGTTAAAACAGATCTGCTGTCACAGCAGCATAGCAAGATCTCACCTGAACACCACTTTTTCCACATCAAAGACATATTCTATAATACCGGTTGTGGGAACTCTGACCCTTAGCACATCCTGCTGAGTAGGCACATAGGCAGGGTCCCCTATTCGGTCCAAATTGTTCAGATAACTATAGGAACACAACAAATAAAAATATATAAACAAAAATATTCATTGAGTTTGTCCCATTTATTTCTTTTACTTATGTATGTAAAAACTTACTATTTTGCAGAGTCAGAAAGTTGATATTCTCTCTTTCGATGATAACATTCTTGAACCCCAGGATCACTCCACAAGCTCTTTATGGCATCTACATGAAGCTTTGAGAATCTGTATATTTTATCTATATCCACCTCAATAATTACTTTTGCATGGGCCTGGAAAAACAAAATATACCAATATATCTGAACAGTGCAGCTCCAGACTCATCCAAGATCTTGATTCAGTGTAATGTATTTAAAGCCCAACTCCCAGTAATTTTAAATGTACCCCTCATAATATTATACAGTAACAAACAATTATGATTATCTGTAATGACCTTTGCTTGTAGCAAAATTTCTCTAAATTTTCTTAAATCTTAAAATTACCTGGTAAATACTTAATTTGATTTGAATGTATGAATGTATATGAATTGAGTTTACAGGGCACATTTAAACACACAAGCAGTAATATCTGAAAGATGAATTGCATTTAAATTGTCAAACTAAAAGAAACAAATTCATTTTTCAATGGTTGGTAAAGTTTAAACTAGATATAGATGCGATATTTGGTTGTTTGTAATTGCGACCTCTGTGATTTGGCAATTGTGATTTTGCTTTGATTGCGATATACTGTGATAGCCCTAGCAAGGCCAGGAGTACTGATTAGCACATAGCATGAATGGTGCTGTCTCACTGGGACTGGTGCTTACTGCTAGAGTGAATCACAGAGCAAATACATGTCACCACATGCCTGGTGTGCATCATTATGTTTCCAGAAGACAGCATTCTCTGTAAAAGGACAACACTGAGAAAGCAACACTGCTAATCTAAACACATGACAGGAGGACTTTGTCACAATGAAATACAGGCTCACCTACAGGCATATAATAGTGTAATGTGTACACAGTGAGGGGCTAGCTGTAAATGCTGTATTTACTGAAAACAGAGGAAAGTACCTTGTTATCCTCAAACATGTAGGGGATGTGGAGTATATTCATGGCCTGTATGATGGTTTGGATGGCTGTGAATATGTTCTGATAGACCAGCCTAGTGAAGTCTCTTCTGTCCTCTTCAGAATATCCTCGTCCATGGATGATTCTCATCTGCTTAATGAAAGTACTCTTTCCGCTTTCTCCAGTTCCTGAAAATCAATAAACATTACCAACTGTAATGCACACAAGGATACCTTTTATTCATATAGACTCAAGGCTTAAAGTATGGCGTCAGTATTACAAAATACTGTAGATAATGGTCTTTTTTGAGGATTCCCTGATAAAAGAGGAAGAATGTCTTCAGAAAGGAAGCCAAAACACTGCATTCATCATGCAACTCAAACATTGCTGAATATGTAATAGGCCTGTCCAATCGCGTAATAAAGCAATAAGATTAGGCCTACAACTACATTACATGAAGAAGCTGTAAGAAAATTGCATATTAAGCTGGAATAGCATATGCACGAGAATGGCTGGTCAAGTTTTAAGCGACTTGAAATTAATGCACATGAGCCAAAAAGCTGATGCGACCCAAACTTGAACTAAAAGACCTAGAGTTAACGGTCTATTCCAAAAAAAAAAAAAAAAACAACTCGCTTGATGTGCAGTGGACACATCTCTGGGCATTAAAACTTCTTATCACATCCTTGCTGTACAACATTAGCTCTACGTTTCATTGAGAAAGAATTTGGGAGAACATGCTTTCGATCTTTACCCAGCAAAAGAAGTTTGAACTCCCGGCGAGCGTTCTTCTTGTCTCTTCGAAGTTGTCTCTCAATCTCGTCGCTGATTCTCCGAGCTTCTTTAGCCTCTGGATTGAGGCAGCAAGCCCAGACACAACTCTGGGTCATTATCCTCGTCGCGCCGAAGTCCCGCAGATATTAAGACTCAAAATCAACACTGCAAAGTGCAGGAAAAACAACTTAGAGCGCTGCGTCCTTTGGATTAGCACTATACGAAGTTGTAAATTGTTGTTTTTTTTTTTTTTTACCTCACTCAGTCGCTCTCCGGGCGTGGTGGATTGTTTTTTAGCATTGAAACTTACATACCTCTAATAACTATTTTATAACATCTTTAGTAATATTCTCACGTCGTTTTCTTCTCCCCAAACATTCAAAGCTCCCGACCAGGTCCTGTGAACGGCAAAAGTGGAGCATGTGACCAGGGCAGCGCGCTAATGGGAAACCACATGGGCTTTTGTTATTGCATTATTGGACGACATTTCCGGGTATAAACAAACTCGACACCAGCGACCAGTTGTTGTTAGAATCAAGTTGAACAAGCGTGTAAGTTCTGAGCGGTATAATCCAAAATGCACTGCGCAACTATCCAGTCCACGCTGGAAAGCTTCTGAACTTTCTGTCAGTTTATGGCAGAAACAGTGTAGCCCACTGCCGCACCACAGATAAGACTGACATTAGCACGGAGCAGCCGATAGAAGGCACTCTAGAAGGAAAAGAGGTGGAGCACAGGCAGTTTTTTGAGGTTCACAAAAAATGTAAAATACCAGTTTCAAGTAGGCCTAGTCAAACGCCAGCCTTCACAGATCATTAGGAAGATGACAATAAACTGTAGCCTACAAAAAATTAAGTGACTCCATAGAGCAATAGAGAAATCCATCATTGCTTTTATCTATTGCTTTGATACATTTGATATTCACGAAACCATATGTTGATTTTAAATTAAATATAGCTTTAAAGGTAACCATTATAATACGGATATATTATTAATAGGCTACAAAAATGGACAAGGCCACGTTGCCTATGTTATAGCCTAATTTGTTGTCTTGGTTCTCAAAGCAGTATGAGCCTCACATGAGTCTCTCATTTGGGTTCACAGTTTAGGCCTACTGTAATCCAGTTAGTTAAAACCTAAAAGGACTCTCTTTGATCTGAATCGTTACTACCTAACCCCAGCACCTATACTTGTTTGAGGCCTGTCCATATACTGAGAATGAGAAAAACTTGTATGTGTCCTCTACATACAGGTTAAGGCAACGTCAATTCAGTTTCTGTTGTGATTGTAAGAGCGCAGGCTACATAGTTCCTTTATACATTCAATGAAAAATCAAGTTTAATTAGGGCTAGTGCTGTTTTAAGCGAGGTCTACGATGTGGAGTTAAGGAAGGTATATTTCTTATTAAAGCTCTAGGTCTACACTGCTCACAGCTAATTTACTCCTTGTTGGTTTGTGAACCTCTAACAAGAAGGGAAAAACCCTGAAAAAAGTTTCACACTGGTATAAAAGCCCCATGCTTAAAGTAGCCTTTTAAAGGAACAGCTTGACTTGAACGTCCAGCTCCGCCCCTGCAGGTATGTCTGATTGAACCACTATTCAGAGCAGAGGAGTCTTGTAAAGCAGAGGGCCTTTGTAGCACACGGGTTACAATGCATTACAATTTACTTATAAAACAAATTTGTTTTAGTATTTAGTCATGCTTAGACAAACACAAATCGGGTTATGTGAAAATTCAGATTGGAAGACTTCTACCCGCCACCAGCATTACCTTTTTTCAGACCTTTTTCTTTGAATCACCACCACTGCCTTGACCCTGAGGGAAGATTCCTGCCTCATATCTAGCTCTGCACCTCTAGTGCACTCTTGTAACGGTTTAAACGCCATATTCCAAATTAATGTATTTCCTTGTTTGTACACATTGGTTTGCTGTGTGACTTTTGTTTTTACTCTTTGTGACTTTTATGTATCCATTTGCTTTAAATGTTGGCCAATAGCACCATATTGGCATGGTTTACCTGTGGGGAAATTGCTACAATAATTTCTACTTAAATGTTCAAGCTGTAATTAAGGTGTCAATTGTTCTGCCACATTGTACCAAGTTACTAACCTGGCTTTTGTTTTCTGTTGAGAAAAAGCAGCAGTTGGGAATGGTATTTGTGAACAAAAGGGTAAGCCTCTGGGCAGTGGTGCCCAAGGTCACAGCATCAGTCCCAAAGAAAGTGTATAATACCTTCCAGGTAACTGTAGATAGCTGTGACATGTTAGGGACTGCTAGATTAGCCATTTCGCTTTGTTCCTCAACTCTCATCAGCATAAAGGTGCAGCAGTTTTCACTACAGTAGTCAGTCCTGGTATAGTGAGATGAGTTGAGTACAGCTCAGTGAGCCATTCCTACTGTTTTAATTCTGCGGGTTGACAGGCCTGTGCAACGGTGGCAGAGGCCACATCCTGTTCTGGACCTGTTGTAGGTCAGCTTTTAATTAAGAGATGTGTGCTCTAAACATTTGCCCTTTTAATGTATTGTTATTTGTAGCAAAACAAAATAATATTCTTGTTAAGGTGGGGGACGAGGGACCCAAAAGCAGAATCGGAACACAGTCAAGTTTAAGCAGTTTATTGTACAAACGCAGGCAGGCTGAGGAGGCAGGGAGCTGGCCAACTTCTCCGGAGGCAAAGGCAGACGACCAGGAGACACCTGGGAGAAAACAGGAGTAGGTAAATCCAGGGCAAACAATAAGCAAGACAGGAATAAATCCAAGAGTCTGGTGACGCTACCGAACAGGACGGAATTATCTGGCAAAGTGGTGATGAGAAGACCAGGGCTAAATACTGAGGTAGATGAAGGGATTGATTGCAGGTGTGTCTCGTCTGCTCCGGAAAAAGCCAGCCACACCCCCTGCCACACTCAAGCTCTGAAACAGAAAAGGGAGGGGGAGAGAACAAAAACACAAATCCTAACAATTCTGTCTATCTGGAGTAACTTTTGTCCATTTGGCAGATTTTTACTTTTTCTATGGATCCCACCTGGATGACTGAAGGATTACACAGACATTGTTATTTGTGCTCATCATCAGGACAGGAGAGGTAGAATATAGCTGCTACTCTCCATTTACAGGTAGAAAACCTCCAGCCTTCTTAGAAATTTTAATTAAATAAATAAAATTAATTGTAATAAATAAATTGGCCTCAGTATCATGTCCCCTGTCCACTTTATGGCATGGCTCACAGGGTTGTTGCTCCTATGGTGAGCATATTGAACACCAAACTGCTGCTTTTTGTCTTTCTTTCTTTGTCAACTTGTTAGCCCTGTTTATTGGTATTTCTTTTGGCTGTTAACATGTCAAAAAGATGCAGAAGCCTGAACTTGCCCACAATGCAGAAATGTATGACATGACTGATAAAGAGCTGGTCTGAAGAGTCATCCTAGCTGCACAGGAACAGGCCTTGAGCACCAGAGCAATACGGTCCCAGATCTACCACACCAGACAAGACCCAAGGTGAAGGCTGTGCACAGGGCTTAAATGGAGCAACATAAGCATTAAGCATAGTGTACAGAAACATCCGTGCAGAGTACAGACTAGAGACCCTAAGGTCAAAGTAGGAAACACCTCCACAGGTAGAGCATTTTTAGCTTTTTAGACAAAGCACAGTAGTAGCCTGTGGAAACTATACTGAAAAATGAAAAAGCTCCTATTCCCATATTTTTACAACACCATAATATTTGCACTGGAAGAGACTTTGGTATCAATATCAAAAGTGTTTTAAGAAGTGATTTTTTTTATCATGTGTCATGTGTCATATGGCTATAACCCAAATGTAATAATTTTCAAATGCAAAAGAATTTACTTGAATAGTCTAAAGTGAAAAAGCCCTGCTTTGATTTTACCTAGACATCAGGATGTGTAACCAAGGAGATATCTGTTGCTAGGCAACAACAGGCCCAGATCTGCACATAAACATACTAATGCACAGCAGAGCACCATCTTGAGTCTGTGCAACAGTCGGTTGCTTTTATTCTTACAAATTCTAACATCCCATTCAAGCTCCCACCCATTTGCTATAGTAACAAGATAATGTTTATATCACATACCACCGTGTTGTAACTTAGTGTTCTTCTCTGTCTCTTTTATCACAAGAACATTTGTTTGTAAATAAAATACGAAATGTAACATTTATAAATTCACATCATCCGATTGTCAGGTAATGTGGTTTCCACTGTCTAAAAACAGTAATATGATATAATATCATATCATATCATATATAATATAAATATCATATCATATCAGTAAATTGGGAAAGGCATTCCTGAAACAACTTGATGATAGTTTCAGTACTTCAGTACAAAAACTAAAACTAATAATCTCAATTGAATTCCACACTAAACAAAATAATAATTTCTTGAATTTCCATGGAAATAGAAGGTTTCCATGGAAGAAACCATACTGAGGAATATTTTCCATGGAGGTGAGTACATTTTATGTGATACTGTGAAAGATCATGGACTGGTGTCATGCATTCAGCCGGTGAAGAATGTCTCATAGCACAGGAGCTCCACAGGGCTGTGTACTTTCTCCTCTGCTCTTCTCCCTGTACACCAACTGCTGCACAGCCAGCCACAACTCTGAACCTGATCAAGTCACTCTCACTGGGCTCATCTTGGACAGCAATGAGCTTGCTTACAAGAGGCAGATGGCCCGATTGGTGCTCCGGTACAGCGGCAACAACCTGGAGCTCGACACTTTCTAGAGATGATCATGACCGCCCCACTCCCTCTCACCTTGACTGACCCCATCACCAATGTGGACTGTTTCTGCTTCATTGGCTTCATAATTAGCCAGGACCTCAATTGGGAGCTGACCATCAAAACTGTTTCTCTGTTTGTGGACACAGTTTTAGACTGAGGCAAAAGCTGAAAAAGGCCACAATGAAGACACAGTGTTAGCAGTTGGCATCCATGCTATTGTATTTTATTTATGAAATGTGGTACAAATGATCTTGATATAGGAGTGGGAAGCACCTAGGCACCTAGGAAGAATTAAATTGTCAAATTAAATATGTTTATGAGGCTGTATTATTAAATGTATACATGTATTTGTTTTTGTTAACCTTTATTTATCAGATTAAAATAAACAATGAGCTGGTGGATTACAGCACTTGTCATAAAAAAGTCATCTAAATTTACAAAAAGACATTTACACAAAAATAAACTATAAAGCATAGTAGAAAATACAACAGGACTACATTTAAAAACCACAAACCATGTTCATTATCAGTCTTTGTTTCTTTTAATTGACCAACAATTTCACAAAGTTTAAGGGGGGTGGGGGTGGGGGAGAAAAACATCCTAGTCTTGCAGTTAACAAGATTTTGATGGATTATACATAATGATTTGTGGTTTACTTTTCTTTTCTCTCTCTCTCTCTCTCTCTCTCTCTCTCTCTCTTTTTTTTTTAAATGAGGCTATAGTAGCCTATTGCACTGCTCCGAGGATGTCTTCACCTGGAAGAATTCTGCGGGAACACTCTACTGAAGGTATTGGACAAGTGTGCCACCAGCTGGTGTAGGAGGAGATTGTCGCATTGGCAAAACAACCCCAGAGAATTTTTTTTTTTCTTTTTCCTTTTTTCTTTTCAACTACAAAATCTATGTCTGAAACAGGACTAATCAGATCTTAAGTAGATCTAACCACCTAATAAAAACATCAATACAATTTCTAACGTTGTATTAAAAACAAATACATTTGCATACAGAGGAATTTTTAAGCATGCTATTTGGTCAGCAGACAACAACAAAATACTTCTAGATTTACCTCAAGCACTAATTTTAAGTGGTGTTCATTTTAGCATTAGCCTCTTCCATGCATATGTTAATGTTTTCCAACCAGGATTTGACACTGTCACTCAGTGGCTGTCATTTGCCAAAAAATGCTTTATTTTTCATATTTTGTGATATTCTGTGGCAAATCCCAATTTCTTTCATTCAGAATATATTTGTTTACAAACCTTTTACAGGTTTTATGTAGGCTATTGCTTAGGATGATGTAACAGTCTACGCATTTCAAAGTGATGAATAATATGCACTCTTGTCAAAGCAATTTACAGTTCAAAAACTCCTCTAAATGTCCCCCTTAAGCAGGAAGCTATATAGGTAACACTAAGTTACTAAACTCTGGAGGGAGCATGTCACCTGCACAATTCCACATAAATGCAAAGTTTAAAAAAATACTTTGGAACTTCAGTTTTATATTATGTGAAATATTAAAGCCAATGGAACGATATTTCAGTGGAAAGAAGGAGGAGGCCCTCTTCTAGGCCAAATAAGACTAAGGTTTGTGGAGATTCAAGCCTGATATGCCTAAAGGTGTATGCTTTTCTAGTTTTTTTCAGTACAATAAGAAACATACTTTTATTTTATAAATTTTTTATGTGACTAGATTGATGACAACAGTCAAATTCAATTATGTTCATTTGATGTCTCGGTAAATCAAATCATCATTTGACTTTGGCTGGTCTGGGTCCAACGATATTCCAGCCTCACTACAATGCACTGAAAAAACGGTCCAAGAGGGGTTGCTCAAATTGCAAAAACAAATTTGACAACAATAACATCACTTTTTTACGTTTCTCTGTCAAGCATGTTTAAATCTTACAAACATCGCTTGATTGTGGCCGATGTGAGACCTGCATGTTTTAATCAGGTTGAGGAAACATGACTTTATTATAATTTCTGGTGAGGCTCCTCCCTCTGGAATTCTCCTCCCCAAAACATTTGGAGGGAAAATTCAAATGTAACAGGACACAGGACAGTTACAGGAGCAGAGGACACACAGTGGGGACCAGGGGGATTATGAGAGCTGATCTGGAGGTGAGACTTTTCAAAGATTTTATTATGTGCTTCTCCGGCCTAGAATGTCGTCATTGTTAAAACATGTTTGTGGTGTTTTATTTGAAATTAGAGTTAATGTAAGGACAGCTTGAAACAAATTGTTTTTGACTGTCCATCTACAAGAGTGTGACACTTGTACTAAGATTTGAATGTGTTGCTTCCAGAGTCGTCTACAAAGAGTGACGTCCAGAGCTCTGCTGGAGCTGTGGGGAAGTTCATGAATGTTATAGTTGATGTTTCAGAAAAAAGGAAGATGTTTGAGAACCAACAAAACACAGACCACAGATGAACAAAGTAAGTAAACCAACTAAAATTATTTAAAATTTTTCAAAATGAACTTCCTATTGAAACTGTTATCGTACTTGTACAAGGTGATGTGGCACTAGGAGACTTTATACCAGATGCCCTCCCTGTTACTGTGTTTAGAGGAAGAAAAGCAGCACATGGTGAGTTTTGTTTCTGCAGATACAGTTCTAATGTTCTTGTGATTCTGTTCCGGTCCATTATTGTAGTAATAAGTACTTTAAGTGTATTTAAACATGTACAACAGAGTAGATCATCAGAATGTGATCATCATGTGTTATTCCTGTGTCCACAGGCAGAGACCAGAGCGTCTTCACTGGAATAAATCTTCACACTGTCCAGCTCCAAACTGTGTATCTCTGTCCCTGTGCTCTCTTTGTGTTTGATTCTGTTAAGACAATACAGAACTGTGGAAAACTTTTTTTATTTTACAGAATTAGATCAATTAAATTACATTATACATACTTATACATTTCATGATAAGGTACCATAAGATAAATATGCATATTCAGCATGATTTGTTCAAATTTCATCAACATGAAAAAGTGATGTTCATGTTCTGAGAAAAATATGTGTAGAGGGGATTGAAAAAAGTTTCAAAGCCTAAACATAATTTTATTGCGTGCAACCGCTGTCCATAACTTTTTACGCAAATCCAGCAACCTTTTTTTTTCAGTGTGGAATTTTGGTGATTATAACCTGCTCATAGGCACGGTATAAAGGCATTTTAAATCTTAAAACTGAACAAAAGCAATAGGTGCACTTTGGGTAACTCTAGAGATCATTTTCACAAGTTATCAAATTATTTTGACCACTATAATACTTTACCTAAAATTGATATTATTTAATTTGAAACAGTTTCTGTCTACTGCTTAGGAGGTTCAAAATGTGTAATTCTGCTGTTTGGTCTGTGGAGTCAAACCATTGGACTTAAAAAAACTGTGATCATGTCACACTGAACAGACACAACTCCCTGACTACTCTACATTACCATGGAGACAAATATAATTTGGTTCTTGATGTTTCTCATATAAATGCATACTCTTATCTGCAACCACTGCAACACTTTCAGTTTCCTGTCACTGGCGCCATTTTCAGAACTTTCAAAAGTTTGATTTTTTTTATTAGTTAATTGCTAGGGAAATTAGCCAACTTTTTCTTCACTCTGAAAACTGGGGATGCAATATTCCTTGGATGGCAAATTTCTAGGGCAACTCTTGGAGGTCAGAGGTCACTAGAGGCACTGTGCTGTCAGTGTTTCTCAAATTGAAGAGAGGACTGAGCATTGTTTAAACACAATCTGATTACAAAAAAACTTATGTAGTTGAAACTAAGTAAGCAGATCAGATCAAATTAAGCAATAGAGTCCTGGATCTACCACATCAGACAAGACCCAAGGTGTAGGCTGTGCATAAATGCTCCTGAACAGTCTAGGACATAACTGCAGGGTATGCTGGAGGGAAAGCACAGGGCCTTCATGGAGCGACATAACCAAGTGGCAGGCATAGCGTACAGAAACATCTGCCCAGAGTATGGACTGGAGAGGTAGTGGTAGAGGTAGTGGAGAATGACCAAGCCAAGCTTTTATTTCTTGACATTTTCATGATTATGGCTTACAGATCATGAAAGCCCAAAATTCTGTGTTTCAGAAAATTTGAATACTGTGAAAAAGCTGAATATTGGGACGTCATAGTTTTACACCTTCATCAGCTAATTAACTAAAAACAACTGCAAACTTTTCTTGAGCCTTTAAATGGTCTCAGTCAGGGTCAGTGTGCTACACAAAAGGCCATTGCTAAAGAAACTGGCTGTTCACAGAGTGCTGTAAGCATATTCATAGAAACTTGAGTGGATGAAAGAAAGTAGGAAAAGGTACACTGGCCAAAGGGATGACTGGAGCCTGGAGAGGACTGTCAAGCAAAGTCCATTCAATATTTTCAGGGAGCTTCATGAAGAGTCAACTGAGTCTTACCTGGGCTGTGGAGAAAAAAAAACTGACTGTCGCTCAGTGGTCCAAAGTACTCTCTTCAGATTAAAGTATGCATATCTTTTGGAAAAACAAGGCCCCAGAGTCTGGAGGAAGAGTGGAGAGGCATTGAATCCATGTTGCTTGAAATCCAGTGCGAAATTTTCAGTCAGTGATGTCTGGGCTGCCGTGTCATCTGCTGATGATGGTCCACTGTGCTTTCTGAAGTCCACAGTCAATGAAGCCATCTACCAGGACATTTTAGAGCACCTTATGCTTTCTTCTGCTGACAAGCTTTATGGACATGCTGATTTCATCTTCCAGCAGGGCTTGACACCTGCCTACAGAGCCAAAGGTACCAAAAGGGAAGAGGGACAATGTTGAAAAATATGTCTTAATGTCACATTTTCTTGTACAGTTTTATTAACAGACGAAGGGACAATTCGCTAGCCCATTAGACCAGTATATACAGGGCCATAAACCAGGTCAAAATCTGTACGTGCATTGATTGAGTTCATGAATTCAACCTGTAAGCCTATACCAACTCATTAATAGTGAAATTCAGAAATCTACTGGTAAGAATGTAACAAGAATTTATGAACGGGATCCAATGCCTTTATAGCCTTGCCAAACATTATAAAATAACGGCAATCTTAAGTTATGTATATTTTTAGCTTTAGTTATTCTGTGTGTTTTCAGTATTGCCTGTTGCCTGATTCTTTACAACTTGTGCGTCAATTGTACTGTACTCAGAACTATATTAGCCTACAAATCGTTTAAAAGGGGCCATGAAGGAAGCAAACGTGGTAAGACATCTATAACTTTACTACAATGCATAGTAAACAAAATATACAAATATAACAATAAAACAATGCAGGTCGTCACTGCGTGTCTTGAAAGCGAATTTGGTGGTTAGGATTAACAACTGCACCAAAAAAAATCTCATAGGCTCACATATAATAATCTCACATATCAGGGCTCAACGACCGTGTATCTCACATCCTGTCCGCGTGTAGGCTTGAGGTGCGCGCGCTTCTCGGTGCATCGACAAACGCGTGCAGGTAGGGCAGGCAATCCACAATCACCTTGCATCTTTCCACCGCTCTGCTCGTATTTTCTCTCCATCTGTCCACATGATATTCACCAGGCTTATGTCTATCGATGTCTCAACATCTGGCGCAATACTATTTGTTTTACGTGCACGCAGGGGGGCGCGCTGAGACAGCAGCAGCACCACCAGGACGGACCACTTGACACCACCTTGCTTCACGGTATCGATATGCAGTAGTGTGATAGCAGCTCTGCGGAGAAGGAAAGGCCGGTCCATGGAAACTTGATATCAAAACCGTGGACTCTGCGAAATCCCCACGACGTAGTCTGTCACGTTATTTTGACCAGATACGGAAAATTCATCTTGGAGACGTTTATACGGATCTTTATAGTGGATCTCATTGGAACCCGCCATGGACTCAAGAGCAGGGGGATATGGCATGGCTCGTGTCGGGTTGTTTTTGGCTTTGATGGGGCTGTGGAGGTTCAGTGATGCTTGCCCCAAATCATGCACTTGCACCATCTCTAAGATTGTTTGCATCGATTCTGAGCCGGGAATCGAGGATTTCCCTTCTCTCACGATAGATGACATGGAAAACATCACAGAGATGTAAGTGTAAATGTGTGTTTTGACATAAGAGGTAACGCTGTCAGTTATGACGTGATTGGATCCTCACGTTTTACAATTATCAACAGGCCTTTAGAAACCACCTCGTGCATTTTTGCGAACATGTGTGTCAGTAATTAGGCATATCGCCTTTTATATTCCTCTTAAATTATGTGGCTTACACCTGTGCTCGTCACAAGTGGTGTGCTTCGTATGTTTGCCTGTTTTTACGTGCGTGAGTTTGTGTGCGTAATTCTGGGGAGAATGCGCGTAAGGCGTTTTTGGATTAGCCTTGGTTTCTTATAGTAGGCTTTACATACAGCCAGTGGAGTAGGCCAAATGTTGAGCCCGTGAATGTTTTTTCTCGTCATCAACTAGACAGAAGTATTTGTCAGAAATTAGAGCAACTATGCCGTGGAAGGCCACAAGACACCAAATTGCCAAAGCTGGCTTTAGTTAAGGCCTGTGTTGTCATTAACTGAATATCATCAGCCTTGTACAACCGGCACCCTCTGTCCACAGACAACTACTAACGACAAGTTTGGCTACACTGAACTAGAGTTGCCTAGATTAGTGTGTGTTATCAACGCACCAAACTTAATGGGGGTGCAGATGTGGAGTATTGTCTAGACTACAGTTGTGTTCATTCAGCCAAATGAAAGGCTAGAAAATGTCCATCTATTGCTTTGGAAAAAAAGCTTGATTTGCATCAACCACAGATAACTCTAAAATGTCAAAGAAAATTACCATACAGCGTCTTTTGTAAAAATGTGAATGTAATGGTGCTTATGTTCCCCTTTTCACAGATACATTGCCAATCAGAACAGACTATACGACATTGAGGACAGCAGTTTAAGGCGCTACATAAACCTGAGAAACCTGTAAGTATGATACATATTAGGGTGAAGTGGCTGAGTAGACTGTGCAGTGCATACTACCATTGTTTCATTTGGACAGATTTGATGCCACACTCCCTTCACTCTGCTGCTTGCTGAGTGTAATTAAGGAGTGAATCAATAATGCACACAATTGTTAAGTGACTTTAAATGCATGATTATGATTAATATTGTTATTATACAACTTAAGATAAGATACATTATTGTTAGTTCTGCCAAAACGTCCATTGCAGGTTGGATAGACAGTGCTGTTTAATGTGGGGTTAGGTTAATCTAAAACTACTAATGTCTTTATTTTTTATAGCACAGTTACAAGAACCAATTTGACCAACATATCAGTTAATGCATTTTATAACAATACCAGGCTCCAATATGTGTAAGTATTATTTTACCTCCTCAGAGTAACACATTTTGGCATCATTTATTTGTTTAAACTTTAATCTTACAGAGATTTAAGGGACAATAACATATCGACTTTATCATGGAGAATATTTCAGAACTTGTTAAACACTTATTCGTAAGTAAAATGTGGTGTTCTAGAGATAACGCATGTGTTTCAGAATAGTGTTTACGAGGACTCATCCATTCTTTAGGCTCCTCCTCTCTGGTAACCCTTTGGACTGCATTTGTGAGAACCTGTGGATTAAACTGCGGCCCCAAGAGGAAATGGAGAGCCAAGAGTTGAAATGTTTTGATGAGGGAGGAGCTCCCCAAGATTTTTTCAACTTCACACCACCTGACTGCAGTAATGTTCCAATGTCTCTATCCTACACAACCTTAGTGATCTAGACATTTTAAACTATTAATGTAATGTACTGGCTGTATTATTTTTTTAACAACAGGTTAAACTAATCTTCAATAACTTTGTCTTACCCAGGGATTCCAAGAGTAGTAGTGGCTCCTACCACAGTGACAGAGATGGAGGGCCATAATGTTCGAGCATTGTGCAAAGCCTCTGGTTCTCCAGTTCCTCAGATAGAGTGGAACATTGATGTTCTTGACACAGACCATGATGTAAGCGCTTTCCCACTTGTCATGGTTTTAGCCTTCTCATATTAATTTAACTCATGAATGAACATTGCTTTGTTTTTCAGATTGAGGAGAAAGACACAGAGAGCAGTCTCACCCTCTCTGGCCTGTCTCCAGCGGATAATGGCCGGGTGATCACATGCAGCGCTCAGAACATGGTCGGTCAGTCAGAGGCCACGCTTCAGCTCAACATCCTCTGTAAGTAGTTGTGTTAATTGTTACTGTAAATGCTAATTTCCAGATTCATGCTTTTAAATTACAGCTGCAGTGGTAAAGTGAAATTATCCAATTGCCTTTGGAGATTAGGCTCAGCACACGTCACTATAATGCACATTTTTTTCCAGTGAAAGCAGTTGGCTTCTAGGTTTATTATTGTTACTGTCATTGCATCTTCCAATTGTGCTAACTCTCCAGACTTCCTGTTTATGTTACCTCCTCCTGTAAAGTTCCTCATTTCTCCTGTGCCCTACGTTTACCAACATTTGTCTTAATTTAAGTGTCATAATATTAAAATGTGTGTCACACTCACAACTAAACCGTTACACCACCAGGCAGTAGATAAAATATAGTAATTTTATTAAATATGAGTTAATGCTAATCTAATGTTAATTGCTTCTTTTAGTTCAATTATTTGTAGTTTAGATTTTTTTATCATCTAGTGCTGTTACTTAAGTGGTTTAAGCTGTAGCACAAATGCCATACTTGGTACTGGCCTCAGCGCAGTCAGATTGACAATTTACTGGATGCCTTCACCGCTTTTCACTCCCATTTCACTGTACTGTAAAGTCAGTAAAGCCTAGGGGCTGGGGAAAAAAAGTTAAGTAAAAGAGGTAGTAAAATGTTGGTAGTGACTTTTGAACTAGAATCACATGACAGCCATAGGTTTTGTTTACACAGTCCATCAGAAACTACAAAATGTTCCACCCACTTCTCCTCTTATTGTTGCCACTGTGTGATCACTCTCCTATTGCCTCCATGTCAGTTGCCCCTACTATAGAGCAGCTGCTGCCTCCTGAACGGGACCACCACTGGTGCATCCCATTCAGTGTAATTGGGAACCCCAAACCAGAGCTGCAGTGGTACCATGAGAACATCCCACTACAAGAACAAGACTACATCCGCACCATGATCCACGAATCCACAGAGAGTGTAGATCACGGCTGTTTGCAGCTAGTCAACCCCACTCACATCCACAATGGTGTCTACAGACTGGTGGCAAAGAACAAATATGGACGTGACGTCAAAAACATCACTGCCCAGTTCATCAAACCACCCAAACTCGACCCTCTAGGTAGGATTTAGCACAAGCTACACTGCCTGACCAGAATCCAATTTACAAGATACCTCTGCACATATTTATAAAATAGAATATTTTGAAAAAGCAAAGTACCAGTTGAAAGCGAAATACGATTTGAAAAAGCAGTCCACTGATGAATATATTGATAACAAGAGACGCCAAACTGGTTTGAACTGAGAGAGTGTTTTAGGCTGTTTACTAATCATTATGGTGTGTTGTATTTCAGATGATGATGATTACTATGGTGAGTACAAAGTGGATCAATCCAAAATATTGTTTATCATATTTTTCTGTAACCAGACTACATTTGTTCTATCTTTGCACTGAACAGATGCCACAGGTATGCTTCTTTGACCCTTATACAATACTAAAATATTGAGTATATAAAATATCTAAAATGTATTTTTTTTTGTATTTTTTGCAGATCCCTCACCGCTGGATGATAGTGTTGCTGTATGTAATTCTTAAATGTATTTGTTAAACATCACAAGTTACCCTCAAAATGATCAGCATATATGTTCAGAATTATAAACTGAAATATACTGTTCAAATATTGTAGTAGTTTCTTGGTGAATGCTTGTTTCCCTGTGTAGAGAGAGGGCAGGTTGGTGCTAAACTCACATGTAGCTTTAGGCTTGTGGCCAACACAGTACCCTGTCAGAGGTCATGGACAAATGTTTTTTTCTCTTCCAGGTGTATGTTGTTGTTGGAATAGCTGGAGTTGCTTTGACTGGTTGTGTTTTGATGGTGATTATACTAAAATACGGAAGAAACTCCAAGTTTGGAATAAAAGGTAAATTTTTCAATGACTGATACATATACTATATTTTACTATTCAGCAAAGAGGAAAACTTTGAAATCACATTAGCTCTCAATAGCGCAAACAAATGAGGGAAATTCATTTGTAGGGAATGGGTTATGGAATTTCATGTCAGAAATACAAAATGGCACTCACTGATCCCCACATTTAGTCAAAAGTACTAATTCCTTTATCTTCAGGAGGTACATACTCTCACCGCATAGAGCCAGATGGACCCCTCTTCAAAGGAGTAATACTGAACAATGTTACAGTTAGCAAACAACAACAAGAAATGCCTCCAATATCCTCACTGCTCTGAACACTGTGCAAACTTTCTGGTTATGGGGTATACTGAGGTGCCATCATGGAGGAGTGATCCTCTGCAAGGTCCAAATATTGCCTCATGGTCCTTGTAGTTGAAATCCATGGTGAACTGTCTAAAACTCTGTAAAATGAGGAGATAAAATTGGTCAGCACCCTCCACCTGTAAAGCACTCTTGACCAGAGCGCAAGTTAATTTCATCAACATTACAGCTACTGAAACTCACCAACAACTCAACACTACAACAGACTTTATGCCATATTCAGATGTAACATCTGAGCAGCATATTTGGGTCACCTTTAACATTAAATATTTTTATTCATAATTTAGCATATTTAATCATTTTGTTGTAAATTTGGTGCACAGTGAAATATGAGTGCCAATCATTTGAAATTACAGGACAAAATATAAATGACTTGTAATCTTGTTTTCCCACTATATTTTCCATTCTCTTCACTTCCCTCCTCCTTTTCTTGTGTCTCTAGGCTCTTCCTCTGTCATCAGTAATGACGATGACTCTGCCAGCCCTCTTCATCACGTCTCCAATGGCAACAACACCCCGTCGTCCTCGGAGATGGGCCCAGACGCAGTGATCATTGGGATGACAAAGATTCCTGTCATTGAGAACCCACAGTACTTCCGTAACTCCGGCAGCATCTTGAAATCGGACACATGTGAGTTACTACCCCATGCTCCACATCGGGTAATCTGCACTTTTTCGGATAAATCCATGCATTGACTGACCACGTATACACTGATGGCGGGTCTGCTGCTACATGCAATAGACAAACAACCTGGCCTTTAGAATGCAAAAATAACTCTATTTAGACTGTATTCTATCTCTCTATGGTAAAAGTTGATGTGTTTTTATGTAAATTTAGCAACAATGCATGTGCAATAGTATAAACCAATAAATTATACTTGCATAGAGACTGAAACATTTATACATAATTTATTGCATTTCTTACTTGATGCATGAATGAATGTTACGTTATCTGATAAAAAAGTTTACTCTTTTTGTCTTGAAGTTGTTCAGCACATCAAGAGACACAACATAGTGTTAAAGCGAGAGTTGGGAGAAGGGGCATTTGGGAAGGTCTTTCTGGCTGAGTGCTACAGCCTGACACCAGACCAGGACAAGATTCATGTAGCAGTCAAGGTATTGCTTAGGATGCTATATGATCCAATTGCCAATACCATTACTGATTTAAGCGTAAGTGCTTTTGAATTGAATATTGTTGCTCTGGTCCTGTCTTCCTGTGGTCAGACCCTGAAAGAGGCCAGTGAGAGCGGTCGAGCAGACTTCTACAGAGAGGCAGAGCTGCTGACCAATCTGCAGCACGAGCACATAGTCACTTTCTATGGAGTGTGTGTGGAGAGTGACCCACTCATCATGGTGTTTGAATACATGAAGCATGGGGACCTAAACAAGTTCCTCAGGTTAGAATTAAACAAAAAGTATCACTATATTGTAAGTGTAGTTATTATGGTGGTCTGAAATATAAATGTCATATCTACACAAATAACTAAAGCCAGACAATGTCGTAAAGTGAAGAAGAAAAATGTATTTAGGCACATCAAATGAAACTTTTACTGTAGATTGTAATGTAGAAAAATGCACAACAAATTTTTACTTCATTTAAGTTGATTAACAAGCAAGTAGTTTCTTGAGAAAGATTTTGTATATAAATTTACCGATGAAAGTATATTCAGAGACATAATAACCATCTGAATGATTGACAATTTGACAATTGACAATTTTGTTATATTAAGAAAAAATATTTTGCGCTGTCTGGTAATAAATATGCTTCTTTACAATGAATATATTATTATTTGATGTTATCTTTATAATATAGTCTAGTGTTTTACTACTTAAGAGTGATAATGAAGTTACAACAGTCCCTGTGATTGATCCCTTCCTGGTCCATAGGTCCCATGGGCCAGATGCGATCCTCATGGCAGACGGTCAGCACAGTATCCTGGTGGAGCTCACTCAGTCCCAAATGCTCCACATTGCCCAACAGATTGCTGCTGGCATGGTCTACTTGGCCTCTCAGCATTTTGTCCACAGAGACTTGGCCACTAGGAACTGCCTTGTAGGGGAAAACCTTCTGGTCAAAATTGGTGACTTTGGCATGTCCAGAGATGTGTACAGCACAGACTACTACAGAGTGAGTACAGTTTGTTCTAATGTGTTGATGTTGCTATGCTTTACATGTATAAGATTATGCTTGTGGATTGAATGTTCTGCCTTGAAGAACCTTCTTTTGCTGCTTAACCTGAATGTACCAACTAGAATATACAGTATCTTCTACAGTTCATATCCTGAAACATTACTTCATTGGCTGGTCTCAGTTTATCAGTGTTCAGTCAGTTAAATGTGAATAGGCCTATAAGTTTCACCTGGTCTTCACCAACATTGTCAATACAGCTAATAGCCAGTACATATTATCTCTAATGCAGAGTCTAACCACCAAACATTATTTAGTTCAAATACATCAGTTGTTTGTGTTTGTGAGAACAGAACAAAATTTAGATCAACTTCATATTTCGTTTAAATATATTATAAATACGTTGTAAATTTTAGATTACAGTTTGAAACCCACAATGCCCTCTGCTGGCCAGGAATGGATCTGCACCACTCCAGAACATCATAATAAAAAGCATTTGAACGCATCAGATAGGCCCGAGGGGAGTCCAGTGAAAACAAGTCATGATATCAGCCTTGTAATCGAATAGAAACTGTATTTGTTAAGACAATTGCTTGCTGATGTGTCTCAACTTCCCTAGGCTATAGGTATTGAAGGTGATTTAATTATATTGTCTCTATGGGTGTGGAAAAAGCCCAGATACAGATACAATCAACTCTTTGGTCGTGCAAGTATCTAATCAGCCAATCACAGGGATGTTTTGTAAATGCATAAACCTGTAATCTTACTTGTTTTTGTAATGAATGTTTGCAAACTTTTAATGTTGCAATATTTCAGAAACTATTAATCTTGTGATTTTTACTCAGAACCATTTACGGGACATTAGAAATAAAATAAAAAGTCAATGCATCTCAGCGTGCTTGCTGATCTGTGCCCTCTGTGACTGTAGGTGGGTGGTCATACCATGCTGCCGATTCGCTGGATGCCCCCAGAGAGCATCATGTATCGGCGGTTCACCACAGAGAGTGACGTGTGGAGCCTGGGGGTGGTGCTCTGGGAGATCTTCACCTATGGCAAACAGCCCTGGTACCAGCTCTCCAACAATGAGGTAACACTCATTCAGCCTGTAAAGGTGTTAGATACAAGTTTATTTTCTGCTTTTTATTATTGAGGAACCGGAATCATAAGGGTCAGTATGTGTTGTGCATTACTCAGTGAAAAATTAATTAAGATAACGTAATAAAGATTGCACAAATGTGTGCAATCTTATGGAAATACTTTAAATGAGCGAAGTATGCATATGTTATGAGAGCAGGCCATAATAAAATCAGATATCGTAAGTAGTGAGGAATGTAATGTGTATACACACTCACATAATGGTGTTGGAGACAAAAATCTGGTCCCTGTAACATAAATTCACATGATTCAAAGTACAAATATGGGTTAAAATAGGTTAAGGTTAGAGGTTAAAATTAGGATCACTCTCCATTTATTTTATTTATTTATGTATTTTTAACAAGACAGGGACAACGCACAATTTTTACATTAACCTTAACAGGAGAGATGCTTGTACCAGGTTGTAGTACCCATGCTATTTTCCACCTGTAGTCCCTGGGCAGGTTCATTGATTGATTGTATTTAACTGACCTTGGCTATCAACTGTTCTTCCTGGAGACCTATGTAGCATGTTTTGGGTTACAATATGATACAATATGGCCCCAGGAGCCATGGAAACCAAACACTGCTGTATGTATGTAATGTATATAGTACTAGTCACTGTTGATCCCAAACTAATTGTGGTTCTTGGCTGCAGGTAATTGAGTGCATCACCCAGGGCCGGGTTCTGCAGCGGCCCCGGACTTGTCCCAAGGAGGTGTATGATTTGATGCTGGGCTGCTGGCAAAGAGAGCCCTACATGAGACTAAACATTAGGGAGATCCATGCCCTCTTGCAAAGTCTGGCCAAGGCCTCCCCTGTCTACCTGGATATACTGGGCTGAAGCATCACAGGACACTGTATGTACCTGTTGTGTGTGTGTATGTGTGTGTGCGTGCGTGCGTGTGTGTGTGTGTGTGTGTGCATGCGTGTGTGTAAGGGCATATCTGTCTGCGAGCTCTGTTTGAATGTTGGCTTGAGCGAGTCAGACAAGAGCTATTGTAGCCTATGTATGGTGCTTGTGGAAGAATACATGTACAGTCTCAAGCTGTAAATGTAATTGTAAATGTCTATGTCCTCTTTACATAGAGAAAGGCCTTAAATTAAAAGTTATTTTTATTTATTTATTTATTTCAATCACAATATTTTCAGACATATTTTAAATATGATATCAAACTACAGACAGATTTTGGCACTGTTGTTGGCACTTGTGTGTTTCTGTAAAAGTTCTGTAGAATCTAAGTATTTTCACTCATTATTCAATTATTAATATTACACAACAACTAGAGGTTAAGGCATTTCATTGAGTATGGAAAATGTGTAGACACAGCATTGAGGATAGACTTTTTGCTTTACCAATATTGTCAGCAAGCACTTTTTACCGGACTGAAAAGGGTTCCAGTGTAGTTGTTTTTCATTCATTTCTTATTTTAACCATTATGATCTGTTGTCTCTTCTCCATGGTGATTTCATGTATCTAAAGCACACAAATGAGGACTTGTTGAGCTGTGCCTATCTTTGAAGATGAGCACAGTTAGTTTTAATTTTCACCAGCAATGTCATATAGCAAATCTTGGTTGTTCAGTGGTATATTTATTATACATCTATCTACCGACCTCTGAGGAACTGCTTGAGTAACAACATATAGCATTAGCATAAAAGGTTAGAAATGGAGGTGTTGGAAGTGTAGATAATAATTGATGAAATTTTTTGTTGCAAGTAATAAACAATATAGTAGATTTATTTGAGATTTGAAGCACCTTTGCACTGATGGGCCCTCCAAAGTAGAGCATTGTATCTGTAAAAAAAGGTTACAAAATGTATTTATGTAGTTAACCATTTCTTCCGTGGATCCAAGTTAATATGTCCTCCACATTCAAAAACACCATAATATGTTAAAATGCACTTTGTAGAAGACCAAACTTCCCAATGCTCAAGACACTTCCCATCTTCAAAAAAAAAAAAAAAAAAAAACTGGTTTTGTCTTTAATTTTTTCCCAGTTTATGTTGTCAGTTGTACAATAGTCTGATGTCTACTGTATATAAAATGGTGTCCACTTTGTACAGTTCTGATACTTGTCTATATGCACAGTAGGCAATGTTTAATATAGTATAATCTGTCTGAAGCAGATGTTTAAACTGTGTGACATATATGGAAGATTACATGCTATGGGCCACTGGTAATACATACTACTTGTAAATAAGATTTTATTACAGCATTGTATACTATAATTTGTGCTTGTTCGTAATAATACCAGTGGAAAACAATCTTTTTTGACAAAATTTCATCTGCTAAAGAACTTTCTGAAAATGTTTTGTTCGAACATAAAAAGAAAATAAACAAAAACAATGTCAGCTTGTGATGAAGTGGCTTCTAGTTTAAGAAAGAGGTGGTTGTTTTTAGGGAAACCAGAGACTTCTAAAAACTCATCTCTGACATACTCCCTTCACTGAAACCTAACTGACTGTAGCCTATTTTGATTTTTCAAATTAACAACTGTGACTTTGCATCATGAATCGTATATAATTTTGAATGTAATGGAGTGGGGTCACAAAAAAGCTTTGGAATGTTTTCTTGGACAGAGGTTTTTTGTTTGTGTGTTGTTTGTTTTTGTAAATATCTGGTGGAAAAAGGATACATTTCAGTCCTGTGCAGTCAATGGAGCTGACCTACTCTATGAATACAGTGTGTGTGAAATGTTGTCAGTGTGCGTTTCCACTGAACGCCTGAGTGAGTGTGTTTGTGTGTGTGTGTGCGTGTGTGTAAGAGTATGTGTGAGCTCTCCTGGCAGATTTAATCCTGCTTTAATCAGCCAGATCTATCAATCAATTCAATGCTTTGTGCATCCTGTGAGTAGCTTATCCACAAGTAATGGAATTGTTCCTTGTGATACCGTGCATTTAATAAAGGTGGTTTGTCTAACTATCTCTTGCCTAAGAATATTATTGATAAATGTTTGGTCTTTCAACATTGCTATGCAACACATCAAACTAGTTTCTTTTTTGTTGAAAAGGTTGGCTACTCGCTGGACACATTAAAGAAAAATCTCTTTTCCTCGAGTACACTTTGGAGTATTCAGTTAGAGTTACCTTTGCTTTAGGGCAGTAAATGGATTGGGTACAATTTCAGCACAACTGCAGCACTGGGGTCTTCTTACAAAGGAAAGATCAAGATTGCTTTTCATGTTATGAAAGAGGACCATTTGTTTCTAACAATAACCTCTGAGAAGTGACAAGGACAGCTGCCCAAAATACCTCACACAGTCTACTACAGACGTGTAGTATCAAGTATGGTTATGCAGTCTGCTTTTTCACCATCAGAGGCCGCCAAAACAACTCCTTATCTCATTTCCTCATGAATGCAACTTACCTTTTTTGAGTATACAGTGCAGTGTATTATGCGGTCCTGACATAGCACTAGAATGTGCATTTTTTTATGGATGTTGTTACTTCAGATTATATTGTATACATTGTGAGGAATTCATCATCCTAATACAGTAAAAGAAAAGCCCACATGGAACAGCGTCTTGGTTGCAAACGCACTGTGCAGTTTATATTTATTTTGATCTAAAATTACAGTTAAAAAACGTGTGCCCATGTCTTGAATCATTAAGTTAATGCACAAATTGAATTTACATCTCCATATTTTTACAGAGAGGATAGATGTAGGCATGGAGGTGGTATTCATTTCAAGGCTCTAAAGAATCAGAGAATAAAGAGAAATTGCTCATAATAAGCATAAACAGTCTCCTCTTGACAAACGTCTGCAGTATCTTAACAGAAATATCATGCCAGTGAACGCATGTGTGAGGACTCTGGGCATGAAGCAGCCCAAAGGAGCAGTCAACTCAAGCATACTCATATGATGAACTGTTGTACAGCTTTACAGCTACTTAAAAAAAGCAGGAACAGAAAAATATATGGTTTATCTATCTGATATGTTGTTAAAGAGTAGGTAGAAGTCTATGATTACACCTGTTACAATACTACAGAAAATGGCCAAGTGGATGCTGCCACATTGCTGTATTTCACAAGACGCGGAATACACAAAATGCCTTAATTCTGAAAAAAAAATATAATTAAGTGTCAATTATGTAATGTTAATTTTCTTATGAAAATTATTGAATTAACATTGTAATAATCATTTTAAGACCACTTTTGTATTTTTTTCTTTTATGACAAGGTCATTAGATGTCATGCACCCTGTAAATAACTGCATGCAGTACTTATTGTAACCCAACCAAGCACTTTTTATTTAGTAATAGTCATGAACACACACAGCAGCTTCGGTAGAGGAATTTCTGTCCTCTTCAGTTTTTTAATGTGGAGTATTTAGGAGAGCTATATGCATGTCACAGGAAGCAAAGGTCCGCAACAGCTGCCTGCAACAAAAACCTGATAAAGAAAAATGTTTGAAAATTGATTATCAACTTCATATATATATATTTAATATATATTTATATATATATATTTATAGATTTCTCTTCTTTCATTCGCTCAATTGCTATAGCGCAGTCGCACATTTATCCCACTTGCTCTCATTTATTTTGCTTACAATGTAACAAAATTGGTGACAGGCCCAAAATTACAATCACCAAAACAAACTCAGAAAATCAGGGGTTGAACAGGGATAAGGACAGAGCGGCCTGCTGCTGTGGCTGCCCATCACTGGCAGTTGCAGCAGAGTGGACACAGTCTACTTGATGCTTGGACATCAAAGAGGAGGCGGCGGAGGCTCCTTCCCCATAGAGTTGCTCTCTCTGAGCTGGAGGTTTTCCAGCGCAACATCTAAAGGCATGATATCCACACAGCCCATGGCTCCGAAGTCAGCGAAGTCTCGCCGCTCGTCTTCATCGGAGGAGGAACTTTCTTCGTGCATCAGAGTGGACAAAAGTAACTCCTGGACAAACAGACTGCGGTCAGCACGCTCCCCTTCAAAAGACTGCCGCTCAGTTTCTGACATTTTCGGTTCGTTCAACCTGCAAAATAGCATGAAAGATGTATAGAATTATATTGCAGATTTCCCTTTAAGTTCCTATTACAACATAGTGGCTGTTTATTATGAAACTCATAGCCTGCAGTGGATAGTACTCACCGAGCTAATAAAAACTGGGAGCTGTGCGATGAGGATGAGGGGTTGCTGTCACCTGCAGTGGCTGTGCTGGTGGCTGTTGTGCTGGGGGGAGCGATGGTGGTACCAGTATTTCCTGGGTTGTTGCCACGACGTGTGGCATGGCGACCGGATTCCACCTGCTGTCTGGCTGCTTGAGCCTGTTGCCGCTCCAACTGCAGCTGCATCTGTAGCTGCTGGAGCTGGGACGCTGAAGGTCCCGAGGAGTTTATTTGGCCCCCCGCTGCACGGCGGACACCAGACAGCTGAGACAACAACTCTGCACAAAGCACAAACAATTAATAACACACAGTTAAGTCTCAAAGTGTTAAAGTAAAAGGTACAATCTGCAGAGTGATAATTCCCACCTGCTATTGGGTCCATTACCTCCCTGTTACTAGGTGTGTAAGTTGAGCTCTGTGACGACGAAGAGGAGAGGCCTCCCGTGGAACCACTAGTAAAGTGCATATTTGTCCGTCGTGCTCTTGGACCACCTAACCCTCGTCCTGGGTGAAACATCCTACGTACATGCCGCACACTACTTGACTCATCATAAATGAACATTAAGGAGAAAGCAACAAAACTAAAACACTTGCATATACAGTTAAATTTTCATTGATTTATTACTATCTTAATAGTAAAGGATATTAAATCTCTTGGCGCTCTGTGTTCGAGTGTGAGGTGAGCTGTAAAGTCATCTGTAACATGATTAGGGTCACCACCAGGTAATGCTGCACATATTGGACATATCTACAAGAAAGAAAAGTAGATTTAAGAAATTAAGGATTACTTTAGATAACATACTGAATCAAAGATGCATGAATCATATTTTCCTACAAAGGCAGCACCTACTGCAAAGTCTTCCAATGCTTATGACATAGCAGTTTCATCAAAAAAATACTATTTATATCAATTCCTTCTATGGTTATAGTGTGATTATAGATTACCGTGTGATTATAGTGCAATTATAGATTATATGTTATAATCCAATAATGAACATGCTGAAAGATAAGTCGAGATAAACCAGAGGTTTATACTGATACTTGCCACTTCGGTGGATGTTTCTGCATGTTCTGCAGTGACATGCTCCTGTAAAGACGTCTCTGTGAAGCCCATCTTCCCACAGTAAGGACAGGTGAATGACTGAGGTTGTTCTACTGAAAATGTATCGCCTCCATAGTACAGATCTGTTGGAAAAAAAAGAATGCCCCATCACTATAACATTGCTCTAACTCTTTAAAGAAACAATATCAATAGAAGCAAAAATAATTGTATTTTGCAGCACTAATAATACTAAAATAGCTAGTATATATCTGTAAGCAGTCCTTACCATAGTCTACCCTTGTTAATATACACTGCATGGGATGCTCCGTAGTGTGTCTTGTTGTTGTGGCTCCACTTTCGTAGCAAGATGCACACAAATCATAGTCGTAGCAAATTAAACACTTGAACCGTCTTCCCCTAAAGTTTCCTTTTAAACACGCATCACAGCTAACACCTGCAGAGAAGAGGAAAATTCACTATGAAAAAAATAACAATGCCAAACTTACTAACACAACCGATTATACATTAAAAAGCTGGACATCTATTAATCAGTAACTTGAGTACACTGTACAACTTACAGCAGATTTTAGTTGTACTGAAGTCACAGCATGTAACTTTTTAGCCAAAAGCAATTAAAATAAAAGCATGAAGTTGTTTTCATTTAGAAAAACATGAACCTGTACTCTGAGCAGGTTTGCATCTCCACAAACCTGACTCCATTTGGCCTGGAGGAGGAACTCTTTCTGCTTGTGTTTTCATGGAAATGTTGTTCTTTTGGTTATAATCTTTCACAGTTTGATGTATCTATGTCCATGGAGAATGTTCATGCAAGTGATGTGCCACCTCCAGAAAGTGACAAAGTGTACCTTAAACTCACTTACTCACACAATAAATCAGAAAATTATAGATATAGAAAATAGTTGCGGTCTGCATTATATTATTCACTAAAGCCACTATAAATACTAACTTTATATGAATAAATTATAGAGCTAGAGATTGTGTCACAGTGTAATTACACAAACAGCATGGATAGTAATAAACCAACAGACAGCTCAAACTTACGTATTCATAATTTTAGATCTTTTTTAGTAAAAAAAAAAAAAAAAAAAAAAAGCATCATATCAAGATAGTCTCATGTTGTCAGTCATTGCCATCTTCAAAAATATTCATACAAGACACGCAAATTCTAATATTTCTGCCTTCTACTGTCTCCTTTGACAGCCAGCTGGTTTACTGACTGACATGATTGGTGGTGGTATACTTTATGGTCACATACAGAGGCCGCACACTTTTGGGTCGTTTTCTTGATGACAGTGCATTCACCAATAACAGAAACAGCACTTCAAAGCTAACGCGCCCTATACATCCATTTATACAGAAAATAAACAAATCTGTGAGAAGTGTGTTTCGCACAAGTGAAAGTCACTAGAAACATTTTAAGGTTGCACAACTACACCTCCCTATGTTAGCATCATTAGCCTATTAGCATACTGTACGGCGAATGCAAGGTAATACAGCACACAGCGAAAGCTAAATGCTAAGCTTTGTGCTGCCGAATATCTGGCACGAGTAACTTCATATTTTACAATTTAGGGAAATCACCATGTCAAGTAACTGGAACAGACACAAGTAGTAGACGGACTGAAGCCGTATTTATAGAAAAGATGTCTGTAAATAATCTGGCGCAACAACCAACTCACTTGAATGTGCACGTAGCAAAGCAAGCTAAGTGCTAGCTTCCGAGGAAATGTAGCTACCAAAAGAGAAGTTATGGGCCTATTTATGGACTTACCTTCATGTCGGGACATCCTATAAACTGCGGCACAGCCCCTCCTTGGGCTCCCCAGCGCGAAGATCGGAGGACGATACAGTTTTTCAAGCACCAAACTCAAACACCTTCACCTTCGTTTCTTTTTCATGCAAGATGGAGCCCCAGTAGCTCAATATTACAGTAGCTTCAGCTCAGCTCCCCTCCCAGACTCAGTGGACACTAGGCGGCGCACTTCCACATAAAATCTATTGTAAAGCGCAGTTGTACACTACGATGCTGCCCTCAGTTTTGCCTCACAGGCGTATAGAACGGAATAAACATAAACAAGCATTTTCACTTCATTAGTTAATTATTTATCGGTTACACGAATACCATCACAAATTTTATCTTCATACATTTGGACAATATCCCATTATCACAAGAGATTAAATATAAACATAACAAAGTGAGTGATAAATTGTTTTATTATTTTAAAACATTATATTGACATAACAGAATTTACGTTGTGCTGATGAGGAAACAAACCAGTGCATTACAGTGAAGACTTCACAGCAGTGTAGATGGCGTGGAGCATCCAACTCTCACAGCATGCCTTGTCTTTTAAAACAATTATTTGTGAAAACAATCCCTGATTAGCTCTATCTGTGTCAGTGAACAGAAACTTTTACTTCATTTACCCATTAGCAGTGGTGCCTACATTTTTATTTTCCTTTTGGTTTAATGGTTAATAATGGGATGTAGGGCGCTGATCTAGAACTGGAGTAACTTAACCACTAATCACCAAATTAATATCTAGAAAATAAAAATGAACATGATTTGACATTAAATAGTAATGTTTCTCATTTCAGAGATTGAGAGTGGTTTGAGCATTGAACACATTCAAGAATATGTGAATGTTACCTTAATATCATATTAATTGTAGTCTACTGCATGTAAATTATTAACTAAAATGTTATTAACAGAAGAAGACCAGAGAGCACAGGCGCACCTGAACAATAGCCAGGTGAAGAGAGAGAGGGGTGGGGTGTAAGATTTCAATTTTTATAAAAGTAATAAAGGCATTTAGTTAATTAGAGATTTTTTCTTATTGCACTTTGCCTGGAGCAATCTTCAGAATAACAGAAAATCTTTCTCTATGGAGAATTTTCTTTGGTTTTAACTTTTCATCTCCATGGAGGCAGGTCACCAGAAATCTTACTCGGTGATGCTTTAATTAGATTACCTGAGTAAAATCAAGTTTTGAGCACTGTTCACTAAAAAGGTAGAAAAAAATATATAAAAAAAAAAAAACCATTAACAAAACAATTCTGTACATAAAGCTTTACAACAACAAGCATCCATCTATTTACAATAAAAATAAGGTTTATGTTTAAAGCATAAGGAAGTTCTTTAAGTTTTTTAAGTGATGACAGTTGCATAAAATTCCATACAAAAATATACATTTTAACTTTGGATTATCTGACTTTTGGCATACATATAGTAGGCCTATGAAAGTATTAATGAAGCACCTTTATCATTGAACTAAATCAGTGTTAGGCAAATGGAGTCAATGTGTCAAGTGACATTGTAGGTAAAAAAACAAAAAACAAAAAATTAAGTTGGCAAAATTAATACAGTGTTTGTCTCATGATCAAATCAAGCAGAGCCAAAGTTCATAGATTGTCAAGCAAATAAACCTTTGTATATCAAATGCATAAGACAGAACAAGAGTCTTTAACCTCTTTGCTTTTCCTCTCAAAGCACCTGAGCTTTTTTTTAAACAAAGTTGATACAACTCCCAGGGAGTGGACAAAATGCTTGTAAAGGCACAAGCAAGGTGGAAATGATAGTCTTTTTCATAGAAACACAATTGGTTTCTATTGCATGAAGTGTGTCACAGAACCTCAACCACTGAAACAAGGATTTCTCAAAAGACCCACCCAAGTCAAAGATCAGTCCCTGTTGTGATGAATTGCAATTGCAATTGCATTTTGCTGAAGCCTGTAACAGGAATTGATTGTTGTGCATTGAGTTGGTTATGGTTCATATGGCATCCCCTTCGTCTTTTGAGTTGACTGTTAAAAGACTGTTGTTAAGTCTTTGATGTATGGCTTCTAAAGCAGGTGTCACATGTCAAGTGTTTATTTCTGGCAGAATTTCAACATTAGTCCATCATGTCCTCCTTGGAAAACTCTCTTTGTTTTCTTTTAAAAAAGCCCATCTGAAATAGCAAGGGTACATTGTTGAATATGGTATACTGAAAAAATATAAACTCAGTGTTAGACTTTTCTTTACCTTCCATAGAATAAAAATTACAAGTGCCAATATCAATAGTCCTATCAGAATGCTAATGATGATAATCCAAAAAGGGATGCCTCCTAAAGTCTCTTTGGAAATTTGGATTTTCACCTGTTACACAAAAACACAATATATTAGATAGATAGATAGATAGATAGATACCTATTCTATTAAAACATAATAATTATTTACTTACACTTCTTGTTCTGCTACTAGTACTAAGCACAAACAGATCTGTATTTTTAATTCCCAGTGTAGCATTCACGAGCATGTGCAGATTGGAAAATTCAGCCTGTAAAATATAAACATCAGCATTTTTGCAATCATAACAAGTCATTATGAAATGTTATATCAGAACAACACACTGTGTTTTAACACACCGTGATAAATGTAGGCTTCCAAACTCTGAAAGTTAGATTGACTTGACTTGTTTTTGCCTCTGGAATGGCACAAATAAAAGATGCACACGGAAGGTTCTCACAGCTCTGTGATGAAAAAATAGGCATAAGTAAGAAACATACATATCAACCAAAGGTTTATTTCTAAAAGCATACTTACCACCACAAAGTTTCCCAGAGTTTCTTTTTTAAGGTTTGGTTTTACTTTCTTTGAGTTAAGCTTTTCAACATTGATCAGGTGTGCTGCATTACACGTAACCTTTAAAGAAAATAAAGTGGCCAATATGAAGTATCATTTTGCCAAAATATTCTCTCAACAGCAACAATACTTTATACCTGTGAGCTGGTTCTGATATGAGTCAAGTATAGTAAGTGGTTATTCATTGGAGACCGATGAGGGTAGGTCACTTTCAGATCAAGGTCTGGAGTTTCAATATCACCCGTTTTTTCCACCTAAACATTATAATGTGTTACATTAATTTCCTCGTGTGATCCAGATATTATTAGATAACTTACTGTATATGTGATGTTGATCTCCTCCCCAATCATTTTGGTGTCATTGAACATGGCTGCAAATTGTTCACCCTCTTTAACAATGATATGTTCATCAGCTGGCCACCTACACATTGGACAGCAATGTGTCACCATTCAAACTTTTACTAGGCAGTTGATTGTTTGAAGAGATAAAGCACAAACAACTTTATTTGTCCCTGAGGGTTCGATTCAAGCACATGGAGCTTGTAAATTGTCCCTTACTGAATGTAGTTATTGTTGGAGTCTACTCACACAGTAAAAATAAGTCCAGCTTCGTACTTCACAGGGATTGAAATCTGTGCTGTGTTGTCATATAAGGTAGATTCTAACTCTTCACTGTCACTGAGAAAAAAACAAAACATATTTTATTAGTTTATAACAACTTAAAGTAATTCTTACAAAGGAACATCTCTATTACCTTGTTGCTGTCACATTGATTTGGATTTCATTTTGAATATGAGCTGGGTTCACCTCAAACTTCACTTCCAGATTTTCCTAGTAGAAATTTAAACATGTATATAAAAATATAGCACTGGGCTTGCATACACTTGCTATTCTGGTGGTGTAGAGGAAAATGGATTTCAAACCTCCACATTGCTTCCCAAAAAGGGGTATCCAACAGCACACTCTACTTTTGTGTTGTTCAAAGAGCAGTCTTTTTCAGGCTACAAAAATGCAATATACAATCAACCTTAAATGAACCAGATGTACAATAAAGAGCACTACAATTCTCTTACCTCAACTTTAACATAGTTAATGTTTGGTGAAGCTGACTATAAGTTTTGTGTTGTATGCATTGTCTTTGGTGTTTTTAATGCTGATTTTCACATCTATCTTCTCCTTGTTTGCTTTGATAACCATTCTGGAAAGGACAGCAAAAAAGTAACACATTATGTAATGAACACTCTCCACCTGAGGGGGGCAGTAAGGCACCAAATTTAATAGGACATAAAGTCGAAAAACAAAACTGCAACATTGGCAGTAATACTGAATCACTTACGCGTTTACACTTGGCTCTGCTTTGAGTGACAGATCAGTGATGCATCTCTCGTCACTCCCACAGTCCACTAATGGGATCTGAAAGATAATTACAGACAGTAAACATACAATGATAGTTGTGTCATGTATATCTGAGAGAAATGACTCATAATGTCTCAGTTGCTTTTTTTCCCTGTTATCTCCCATTGGACTAAACAACTTGCCTAACATTTGAAAGAGTCTTGAATATCACACAAGCACAATGTCTCAATAAGAAAAAAAAGGCAAGCTTCCGTTCCATGACTTCCTTTAGCTCTGTGTCCCCTTCTCTTCCTTTCAATAACAAAAACAGACTTTGCTATAGCTCCGTGTTCTGCATTGCCTACTTCAAGTTCACATCTACTAAATGTTGACTGCTTGTAATGCTTAAATTGTATTATTTGTCATTGCTTTGTTCTCATGTAAACAATAAACTTCTCAGGACACATCACCCTCACAGCTATAATTTAAACATCTTGTTAGTTAATGATGCCTGCTGGAGTGTGGGAAGACTTAAATGCCACATGGGGCTAAACATTAACGCTGCCCAAAAGAACTGTTAGCTGATGAACTTCAGCTGTTGCACGTTCCAATAGTGGGAATTTTTCTATTTATGTATCCACAAATAACATCGATATTTGAGGGGTTTTATAGTAGCAAGCTTACTGTTTTGTTGATAGCACGAGGAAGGCTTTCATCCAATACTGGTCCCTTGTCCTCAATAACCAGTCCAAAATCCAGAGACACCATCAGGGGATCCCTGAAATCCAGTCTGGCCTGATTAAGACAAAATCATAATCATAATCATAATCATAATCATAATGAGGAGTTACCAAAAACCTCTGGAAAGTGCAGCATTAAAACCAGTCAGATAATTTATACATAGGTTTGAGTGCAGGGGTAAGCCTTTTAGCTGAATAACAATAAGATACATTGTGATTCATTGTCAAGTCTCCCTCTGGTTTAGTTCAGTTTTGACAGCACAACTAGCAAGTACTAAATCTTTGTTAGATAAAACTACTCTAATATATGTATTTGAACAGAGCAGGTATTCATGGAAGCCTCACTGTACAGCAGCTGTTCCCACTGATTAGTTACTCCTGCTGGAGTCCCAGGACTGCTAATCAGAAAAATGCATTACCATTTTGAGTGGCTGGAATAGGACCTTTTACTACTTTACACATTCCAAATGCTGACAAACACATCACAACTGTAACAGGATCACATTTAATAAGCTTTGATCTTGATATTACTTTTATTGTGGAAGTTACTACCCCTTCAAATTCCATATGATTTTAACATTGCTTTCTGGCAACTGGCCAATAAAAATAGTATAAATTTTGTATTTCTGATAATTAATTTCTTTTGAATGAACAGTGAGCCAATTCAAGGACTGCTGTTGCCAAACTGCTAGTGTCAGACTAAACAAGCCAATACCTCATTAAATGGTACTTGCCGACATCATAAAGGTCTCCTGTAAACATTTTCTTTTTCCGTCACTAATGGTGAAATTGCGTCTAATCCTCCGGTCACTTTTACCCTCTTTGTCAAGAAACGAGGCCCTAGCTTTGGCCCGAAGAGCATCAACCGTCAGATTAAAGAAAATCTCTGTTGCATACAATATAAAAGTGTACATTAAAAAACATGTGTGAAACACAAACATAAAATCACAGTAATTATGTTTTATCACTCACCATTGTCGACTTTGTTATATTTGTTATCAGATTTAATTGTGTAGACAAAACACACTTCTGTTCTTACACACACTGATTTGCGACCGTTATGTTCACATTGATTTTGAGCTTGCTGAAGTCGAATTTTAGGTGGATCAAAGGTCATGTTGGCATGGAGCTCTGCCACGTCTCTGGACCTGTCAATTTTCAGTAAACTTGTCAGCATGATTCACTTAAGTTAATCCAGATGCACAAAACTATACTATATCTCTATTTTCTCACAGCATGTCTTAAGAAGTGGGTGTGTCTAATGTATATCTTTCTCTCCAAATAGTGAGATTCACAAATTACAGCCAACAATCTGGGAAGAGCATTTCAACTCTAGGCCTCATGGGAGATGGAGTTTTCACACAGCTTTGGCCAGGAGAATCTGTGGGAGAGGGTAGGCCTGGGACTCTAAATCACAACATGTGGGCTCATGTTTGAAAACTTTGTGGGCTGATGTCTTGAGGTCTGTCTCCAACAATCTAGCAAGGGCTTTAAGAGAGTGATCATTAGGAAACTGTTGCTCTCCAGCCTACAAGCCCAAAGGGACAAGAACAGCTGTCTAAACCCGATTTGGACACTGAAAAACCGGATTAATATTCAGTTTTTCACTAAAGGAATGTGCTATTTTGGGAGTAAACGTATTTTACTGTGATGTTACTTACCAGAACAAAGATACTCCTCCGAGACCTCCAATGGTAACATCTGTGATTCCATCTCCATTGAGATCCATAACTCCGTGTATAGACTGACCAAAAAACTTAATTTTGTCACCATCTCCACCTGCAGGAATTCTCTGAAAGACCACAAATACTTGAAGCATATTAACCTTGTTATCTTTGACTCTCTTATTCTGACCCTTACCTGAACATATTTCTCCTTGAGAGTGGCCCTCTCACCATGATAAATATACACAGCCCCTTTGTGGTCATTTTCCAGGGGTGCCCCAATAGCTACATCATTAAAGCCATCCAAGTTGAGATCTGATACTGCGGCAATGGCCGTACCAAATCGAGCCCCACAAGGTTCATTTTTGTTGGTGCAAACATCGGAGTGGGCAGTACAACATGACTGATTTATGGGTTTTAAAGTGAACTCGTATTCAAAATGGCCATCCTGTTGTTGAACAAATAGAAAAATACATGAAAGAACCTCATTTATAAAATCACAAACAATTCTTGCAAAATGTGTTATTAAATTATTCAGAATTACCTTATTGACCTTGTAAACATACACTTGACCCTGCTCATCTTTTTCACTGCCCATGTACATTGGAGCTCCAACTAACAGAAGATCAGTGTAGGTATCATTGTCTAAATCCACTGTTTGTAGGACACTGCCAAAATAGGACCCAATCTGTTGACATAAACCAATAATTTGAGCTAAATTTATTCAGTCATCACTTAAGGGTTACAAGACAAAAGGAGGTAGTTGTGTCAGGCTTAGGAAGGACCCCAAGGGTAAAACAATAAAACAACAAAATATGTGTCAAATTGCATGAATTTAATGATTACAGCATTTCTTGCATTGACCTTAGAAAGATAGAAGCCAATCTAATGTTTGAAGGTTTATTGACTGTGCTACGAAATATTCAGTTATGCTACTAAAGATATTTGGACAATGTTAATAAGACAATTGCATGGAACCCTGGCAATGTTGGTTTATTATCAATAAAATGAATAAATTATTGCAGGAAATTAAGCACTATACAGCATTTTTAATGCTACCACTTCAGTAACACAAAAGGCATAACTTTTGCAATCAGTTACGTAGTTTTGCATCTTGCTGACCTGTTCTCCCCTGAGTATCTGTGAGATGACAATATTATTGTCCTTATCCAAACGGTATATGACAACACGCCCAGTGTGGTTGTAGCGAGGGGCTCCAGTGATGTAGAGGACACCATCAAAGGTGGACGCCGACTGGACATCATACCCTAAAGACAAAGAACAGACAGTCCACAACATCAACAGATATCAACAATTGCAAGTTTGTGTTCAGTTTCTGAGGATGAAAAGTGTAGAGTGTTTTCCATCTTTGGATGAAAATTGTGATAGGACTGACTTTAAATACACAGTAGTGACATGTTGATAAAATGAGGCAATATTAAGATGTTATAAATGCACTATAAATCACCTAAGGTTTCAGTCTCTTATATTTCTAATCTAATGGAAGATTTAGCTTGTCATCTTACTTTTTTAGCTTTAAACATGTCTGAAAATTTTGGACTGGAGTTCAGAGTTGAGCCTACCAATGTATCCAGCCAGCTGTTCATATCCTGCCTCAGTCTCTGCATTGTAGAAACTATTCCTCCTGGGAACTACGGATCCCATAGGAGTTTGTATCACAACTGTCCCATTCCAGTCATAGGCTCCCACTGCACCAAGTAGCACTCCTTCCTGTGGGAATTACACATATACAACATACTGCACAATCACAAATTTGGCAATGAATCTACAATAACCACTGAAACAATAAGATCTGTAACACAATTTAACAAAAATATTTGTCATGATTATCTAAACGGAAAAGGAGGGTCACAGAGGATATGACATTGTTCGTTAGTCAAAGTAAATTGCGTGGAGTTACTTCCTCAGTTGTAATAGATTTGATGTGTTGTGTCTAGTGCTGAATGAGTGTAGCATTAGCTGTAATTCAACAATAGCATCCAAATATGAATCAGGAGCAGGAAGTGTGCATGTTGTGTAAACAAGCATGTGATTCAACCTCTGCTCCCGTGTGGCCGTTTCTATCACTGAACTTCTCATGCCACCAAACCAGTGCACAGCAGCAGTACAGAAAGCCTCTCTGTCTACAAATGTTAACTTCACTAACCAAAATGAATCACCAAGGGCTGAAGATGCACCAGAGATAACAATGCAGTGTTTTGTCTGCACCAGAGAATTATCCAAAGCAACATTCTTGCCAATGGATCTGTACCATGAAAGCATTTTATATCCATAAATTACATCAAAATATTTCCTTCAGACAAATGCATAGAGACATTTGCAGCTAGGCTTTGATGAAGTGAAGCAGTATAGATAACGTTAACAAGAACAAATATTTGATACATGTGAATTGATTTTTTATTCCATATTAAAACAAAAACAAACAAAAACATTGTATGGCAGCTCTAAAATACAACCACATTGAAATTGTAATCAAGCTGATAAGTAATTAATTTCATATCACTTACTTTAGACGTGTGAGCACTGAAGCCAGTTTGAGACATCTCCATCTCAAAGGATGAGGTGAAATTGCCAGTTGTAGCTGAAGAAGTAGGTGAACATACATACATTATGTAATATTAGACATAGTTAAGGTTATAAATGTATATTTGTATATACCCTCCAATGCAAAGATCCTGCTTCCCAGAGCATCCACAATGCTCAGAAGAGCAAACTCATCTGATACATTGAAGAAATGGTCATGTAATGGTGGACTAGAGATTGATTCAATTTCCTTAATAAATTTCTGCACTTCTTCTGCACTCTTGTTCTGTCGATTGTAGTCTCCCAACACCTACATAAACAATGAAAGTTCTATCAAAAGTTGTACTACTGAGCAATAAGTCTTAATTTTGGCTATTTAGCTTTATAGATGGATAAACTAACACAATTTAGAATGCACTTACAGCAATGCCAAACCTCTCAATATTATCTTCTTCACAGTCTGTGATGACCTGTTTCATGTTGTGGAAGTCATGTGACTCTCCGTCCGTCACAGTTACCATGACTTTCTTAACTCCAGGTCGAGCCCCACGCTCAGGCATGAATGCCTCCTTCCTAATGTTATATAAAGGCATATAAAACTATGACATTATGCAAATTGCATACTATATAAATCAGTTTTTGTTTCATGAGTGCCTTTATTTTGTATTTCTGCTTTTTTCTGCTGTTGAATAAAACTAGTTTGCAATTGTTGGATTAATAAAAGTTTTTTAAGAATATATATTAATATGTTTATACATATAATTTTTTTACACATTATTTGAATTTGCTCATTGTTAATGGGAGGTAAATACTAAAACACTTACAATACTTACTACCACAACCCTTACAAAAGCCAACCCAAAGTCTGACCACAAAGAGGTGTGATAAAAATTATTGGTCAGGGTTTTAAACATGCCAAGTGGAGTAGCGCGGTCTGTGCTTAATTACCTGGCTGTGTCAATACCCAGAAAAGTCATGGTCTTAAAGCCTGTTTGCTGAGGAAGCTCTTTGACAAAGTCCACCAGGTCTAGAGTGTTGTCAAACTGACTCAGGTTAACGTTGTGAGTCACTGTCTCACCGTAAGACACAATGCCCACCTGTAAAAACACACAATTTTATTCTTGTTATTAAACAGAACAAAATTAAAAATGGAATGACATTTCTGTTCCATTCCATTTCAATGCCTTTTCTTTATGGTCCACACCTGTTCTGACATTGTGGAGAGGATGTGAGTGTGTCTGACATATGTATAAATGTACTTGGGCAGAGGACTAAGCACCCATGGAAGATGTGACCAGAATCAGCAGTGAAACAGTTTTCCAGTCTTGCCCTCTGGAAAACTGTAAACACTTCAAGGCGATCAATGTAACCATAATAAAATCTAACCAATCCATACACTGCTCTAACACAAGCAAAAAGAAATGCAGCTTGAAACTGTGAATTAATTTTAGGTTTTCAATCATTCTCTCAACTTCATTCATAATAATGTGGACTATTTAAATATGACTATAAAAATTCAACAAAAACTTACTTGTGAAAGTTTTGGTCCAATAACTATGTTTGAAAGAAAGCGCACCAGAAATTCAGTTATACTCGACCATGGGTAGATACTATTTGATCCGTCCAAGACAATTACAATATCCAACTCCTTAGCACACTCTGAAATCAAACAGTACAATAGTAAGTATTTAATTTTTTTTCACTTGTGATTTACTCTATTTCTATTTTGAGATTTGGTCCAAACATTTACAAACATGTGAGGGTGATCCATGGATGATAACAAGAATGTGAGAAAGAAAGACAGTAGAGGCATAGACTGTTTACACTGGGCTCCTCTGTGTTTCCTTTCAGGGAAACAGAGCAGCCCCAGTAAACCGTCTCCAAACTTGGGCATATAGCAGAGCACCAGGGATGGGCCATGACGAGCTGGGGTCATACATAAGTTTACATTAAGAAGAATGCTCTAATCTTTTGCATTGCTCAGACAGAGTCACGTCGGGGGTCTTTGGATGGAGCTACTGCCAAGATCCTAATCTCCTATTCCTGAGACAGTTCATTTGCACTTCAGACGTCACATCCTGCTACCATGTGATTAATGGGCTGTCACTGTGTTTTACCTTGCACTGCGGGGGCAATGGAGTTCAGAATCTGGAAGGAAGAGCTGACATTGGCACAAACACCTGAGATGTACTGTTGCTGTCCACACATGTACCCGTACTGAGGTCCACATGCCTAAAGAGACAGGAAATAACACTATATATAGGAACAAATGTATATTTAAGAAACAGACTTTTAATAGTAATGTGCTTGATCAAAAATAGAACTGTCTTTACAGTAATATAAAAATAACTGTATAGGAGTATATTTTTAGAGCTATAACCCTTAAGTACATGTCTTGAGTGAAACAAAATGTAAGGTTTAATTTCCTCTGTTTGGCTTCTATTGCAGCAAGAGCTTGAGGGGAAAGTAAAAAATCACGGAAATTGTTTTCTTTATTACAGTTTGGCACTGTTGTGAGTTCAGTAATTGTCGAAGATGTTTTGTAATTGTGAAGTGTTAAGTAATGGTATAAAACAGTGCCACAACGCTGAAAGATCATTACCACTGTTATGGACCACTAATAGACTGACTCTACACAGCTGCACATAATTTAAATACAATATAAATATCAATATATATATATATATATATATATATATATATATATATATATATATATATATATATATATATATATATATATATGTGTGTGTGTGTGTGTGTGTATATATATATATATATTTATTTATTTATTTTTGGATTTTTTTTTACATGTTGAAATGGAGTGATCAGTCACATCACAGGAAAATAAAAAGTGTCCCAGCTCCCCTGTCAGTTTTAATAAATGACTGTTTCATGAGATTGTAATAATAACACTGTCTTGGCCCATACATGCTACACACTTATGCAATAGAGAGTTCACATGAACAGTACTTTCTCATAACCACAGTGGGAAATGCTCACTAAGTCCAAAGGTCCAGCAAACACTAAAAATACTCATGCTCTGCTTCTTCTTTTGTTATTGGCATGGAAAATATGAGCTTAAGTGCATTTATTTTTTCAAAGTGCAAATTCCAACCTACCAGAAATCCTCCATTGGGATTGGTCACCAGGGTGGTTCCCATGGTCATGTTCTCTTTGACCTGTAAAATCGCTACCAGACACGTCACAGCAACATCACGTGACTCTGAGGAAGACGCCAGTGAGCAGTCGAAACTGTCAGGTACGAAATAACAGTCTAGGTCTGAAAAAAAGAACCTAATAACATACAAACCACACCAAGTTACAGGTCAGATCTGTGGAGAGGCAACCCTGCGCGCAGTCAGAATTCCTGTTTTTCTAGGTATTTATGAGCTATAAAACCATTTGTAATTGAATAAATGTGTGAGATCTGTTTAATGTTATACTGTGGAACATTCCAGGCAGAGCAATGACATGTCCATAGAAACAAGAAAGCAACAGACCCTCAACCGAAAAGTTACAACGTGCACCTTTCAGTGGAACATTCAAAACAAATCAATAACATCTTCATAGAAACAAACCAAAAAAGCTGAATAGTGCACATATTATATTCTATAATCAAAAAGAATCAGGTACCCCGACATAAGGCCGTGCAATTACTTGAATTTTGATCGTGATTTTGATTTGTGTGTGTCAAACGATCTCCAAACTCATATAACTGAGTTGAAACAATTTAGAATGCGCTCACACTAGGACTTTAAAACCGTTCCCAAGCACGGATCGCCCCTAAAGCGCAGTACGTCTGTCCTGTGTGAGCACAATCACACCGGGCCCAGGCACAGCACGACTGAGACGTAGTCCGGTTGGAGGAGATGGCCACGGTTACTCTTGTACACACACACACATGACTTTACTATACAAGCCCTGTGTAAGCGCTGATGTCACTCATACAATAAACACATTGAATAAAGTTGCTCTAAAACACACAGTGAATCTGCGCTGACCTTCAATAAGGACTGTGACAGAGACTAAAGTTTTGCAACATTGTCTCTGGCTGTCCTCATTCCTTCTCCTGTCCTCACTCCTCCTGTCCTCTCTCCTCCTCTTGTCCTCACTCCTTTTCCTGTCCTCGTCTCCTCTTGTCCTCACTCCTTTTCCTGTCCTCATCTCCTCTTGTCCTCACTTCTCCTGTCCTCTCTCTTCTTGTTGTCCTCTCTCCTTCTCTTATCCTCACTCCTTCTCCTGTCCTGATCTCTTCCTGTCCTCGTCTCTTCCTGTCCTTGTCTCTTCCTGTCCTTGTCTCCTCTTCCTATCTTCATCTCCTCCTGTCCTCGCTCCTTTGTGCTCTTATTATATCCATAAACTCAGAGAAGCGTGTATCGCAGCAGGACTCATATCTGCGTCACTATTTAATAGATTTTTCTACCGCTGGACTCATTTTCTCCGCTAAATTGTTAGCTCTGCTGCATGGCATGTAAACAAACAGTTGTGCAGGTGTGATATATAAATAAGTATATTTATTTTATTTTTTAAACATAGAAATTGTAGAACAGCTGGATATATCGTTTATTTTGGATACAGTTATGTTTTTCTATGCCTTATTTCATATTCAAAGCATATTTTATTCATTTTATGTTTTATACATCGCAAAACTGCTCTAAGGTAAATATTTGTAGCCTGTATTTATTTTCATTTGGATTTTAGGATGGAATTGAATGAAGTTTTGTGTAAATTATCAATAACAAAGTGGTTTTTTGAGAGAGAAATGCTGAATAAATACATAGTGTAACAAAAAAAAAACAATCGTTTGAATAATCGTGATTTCAATATTGACCAAAATAATCGTGATAATGATTTTTTCCATAATCGTGCAGCCCTACTTCTACATTATATGCATTGATTTAATCCAGATGTCATGTTACAAAAATATTTTCAAACTTCACCATCTTTTCCTTTACTCTCCCATGAAATCGACTGCTCGACATTTCACATTTCACACTTCTATCTCCCGTCTCTATCTCCCAGCGCGGCAGCCGAGTCTTTCTGGCCATTTTCAATTAACTCCGGGGGACAGGTTTGAGCGAGACACCGGTGTAGCGAATATTTTTTTCTCTCCGAGCGGAATAGAGAGTTGGACAGGCCTGTGGGTGAGAGATATGGAGTTTGGCAGGTCTCTCCATTGTACGCGTGTGAGGATAAGTCTTCACCTGTCAGGCCTGAAATCACCGGGCTCCCAGCGGCGGCCATGTTTGTTGACGTTGGCGCTCCTGTACGATGAAGTGTCAGGCCCCCGCGCAGTCAGTCACCGCCACAACCTGACAAAGTGAGACAGGATTCCCACGCTGGTTATCCAAAGCCCCGTCAGGAATATAGACAGTTTAAAGGCCCTGTACTATTTTATGATCTGTGTTATAATGTTGTTTTCTCATCACAAACAGACCCGGAGTTGTGTTTTGAGTTCTTCTCTCAACCTAAAAACTGTTCCACTTTTGAACTACACTAATTAGTTGACTTATGCATTGAGTTTTGTTTGTTTTAATTTATATTTTGCTCTTATAAATACAGTAAGTCAGAAGTGAAATGGCAAATTGTTCATACGCTGCCTTTCTTTCTTCAAATTCTGTCATTGTTTAACAGGTTTTGGCATTCTAAGTACTTTTTACTTCAGTTTAAACCCTTTCGGTCATGATCCATGGTCTTGTAGTCTATGTTTTGTTTTGTTTTGTTTTCTTAATGCTGTAAAAACCGAATAAACTACTACTACAAGGCAAGGCAAATTTATTTGTATAGCACAATTTGTACACAAAGTAATTCAAAGTGCTTTACAGAATAAGAAATACATTAAATCACAATAAAAACAAATCAAAACATAAAATAATCATTAAAAAAAAAAGAGAGAGAGACATTAAATTAGAGAGAAGAGTGCAGAATGAAAAATAAAAACCTTTCAGTCATATGCACAGATAAACAGAACGACTACTACAACTACAGTCCCTGACAAAAGTCTTGTCGCTTATCCATTTTGTAGAAACAAAAGCTTATAACTTGACTTAAAATTAATCGATTGGTTTTAGAAATGTCTCATATGAAAGCTAAAACCCTCCCAAATTATGCTCAATATACTAAAATAAATTTGCTTCACTGAAGAAAGATTGATCATTTAATGAACACAGAAAGGTCAGATTTTGGCAAGACAAAAGTTTTGTGGCCTTGTCATATGATGCACCCAATCCTAGATTACAGCCTCACCTGTGATCAGTTACTGATCAATCAATTAGTGGGTGTGTATAAAAAGAACCCCAGCACACCAGACCTTCACATCAACTGCAACTTGACCTCTGACAACATGCCTAAGATCCACCCTGAGACCAAAGCGTTAATTATCAAGAGGCTGAAGACCAGATCCACTGCTGAGGTGGTGACACCTTCAATGTGTCTCAGCGTCAAGTACAAAGAATAAGAAAAAGATCTGAAATGACTGGAGATGTTTTTGACAAACCTAGGTCCGGCAGACCCCGCAAGACAACTGCTCGGGAGGACCGTTTGTTGATTCGAAAATCCAAGGCCAGCCCCTTTTCCACTGCAGCAGACTCCACCAGGCCTGGTCACCTCAAGTCCCTGTGTCAACCACAACAGTTTGTAGAATTCTGTCTCGAAATGGCCTCCATGGTCGAATCAGTGCACAGAAACCAGCACTAAACAAAAGGCAATTAAAAAAACCGTGTGGCATTTGCCAAGGCCCACAGCCTGCTAAAAGGATGGACACTGGAAAAGTGGCAGAAGGTGGATTTCTCAGATGAATCCTCGCTTGAATTACATCACAGCTGCCACAAATATTGCAGGAGACCTACTGGAGCCTGCATGGTCTGGGTTACATCCAGTATGGGGGTGTGCGAAGACATTTGCAGGGTGGAAGGCAATATCAATAGCCTAAAATATCAAGACATATTAGCTACCTCTTACATTCCCAACCATAAAAGGGGTCAAATTTTGCAGCAGGATGGTGCTCCATCGCATAATTCTATCTCTACATCAAAGTTTCTCAAGGCGAAGAAGGTCAAGGTGCTCCAGGACTGGCCAGCCCAGTCACCAGACATGAACATCATTGAGCAAGTCTGGGTAGAATGAAAGAGGAAGCATGAAGGCAAAACCAAAGAATCTTGATGAACTCTGGGAGGCATGTAAGACGCTTTCTTTGCTATTCCTGATGACTTCATCAACAAATTGTATGAATCATTGTGGAACCGCATGGATGCAGTCCTTCAAGCTCATGGAGTCATACAAGATATTAAATATGGATCTCACAGCACCACTACTTCATTCACTGACGTTATGCAACATATTTTTGTATTTGAAGTAAATTATTTGTTCAATTTTCTGTAGGCGACAAAACTTTTGTCTTGCCAAAATCTGACCTTTCTGTGTTCATTAAATGATCAATCTTTTTTCAGTGAAGCAAATTTATTTTAGTTTATTGAGCATAATTTGGGAGGGTTTTAGCTTTCATATGAGACATTTCTAAAACCAATCGATTAATTTAAAGTCAAGTTATAAGCTTTTGTTTCTACAAAATGGATTAGCGACAAGACTTTTGTCAGGGACTGTAGAATCATTTAGATGATTTCAGTACTTGAATTGTCAATTTTTACTGAACTAAAGCTAAAAAGTAGCTGTTAACTTGAAAACTACTGCTTTATGACAGGTGGAACAGAGCATTTTGAGCTTTGGAGATGTAGATAGAATTTTCAGTCCTGCTCCCGCCTGCATCTGCAATATTTTGTACCGCTCTCGCCCGCAAATCCCGCAGGATGGGGATGTTTGCTTTCCTTCTCTAGAAAGGTCTTTTTATTGGCTCTTCAAAGCTCTGTCAAACATGGAGAAGTGAAAATGAATTGTCTAAAATGTGCGCGAGATTAAACCACGTCTGCAAGTTTAGGCTGCTTAAAATGTTTTTATTAATGCCAAATAAAATATACAGCACAAATTATTTATGATAGGCAAACATTAATCATCTATATATTTTACTTTACACTCATATTTAGTTTGCGAGACTGCAGTTTATCATCTCCCGTAATGTGTCGAAATGTGTCCTGCACCGCACTGTTTTGCATCAGGTCTCGCGGGCAACATGGCTAATATAAAACCTTTTGTAGAAGAAGTTGTGTGTTGGTAAGTTAGTTGCCATATACCAAACAATATTGTGTCTTTTATTTATTTGATTTTATTCATGCTACTGTTTTGATTTGGGATTGGACAGATGTCATAATTTGAGATGGAGGGCAGGGACCTTTTGCCTGGGATTCAAAATATTCACTTCTCGAATACTTAACGAAGATGTGAGTCTGGTCATCGGTGATTCTCCCCAAATTCAAATAGCCTTGATTGACAGGTGGATTATCCAATTAGGGACATGCATAATCTATTTGCTTAAAAAAAAAAAAGTATGGTGGGGAAAAAAAAGTCACAGGAGGCTGGAAAACATAAGGAATTTCTGCAGAATCAATGAGCGAAGCACAGCTCTGTTAATCTGAAGAGAATTGTCATTTTGTTTGTAAAATGATGGTTACCAATGAGCTCCTTCATTTCACATGTGTTACTGAAATAAACAACAAAGACTGCAGCCTGAAGTGACCCAAATCAGATTTTTCGCTCCTATGTGACCTGTATCTGATCTTTTTAATGAATGACACAGATCCGATTTTTCAAATGCGACCCAGGACACTTAGATATAAGCTCCTAAAACCGATGCATATCCGATCTTTTGACATGAGTCTTCAGTCTGAACGGCCAGGTCACATTCATCCCACCTACACGTCATAACAGCACGTTAACGAGCACGTGTTGTGAGCCAATACAGCCCAACGCCGACGCATTTGCTCACTGAAATAGTTTCCTCCTGTGAGAGAGAAATAAGTAGACGCTCACAAATGCACACAAACGTTCTTATCGTCATATGAAAATTGTGTCTGAACTCCGTGTCAGTGAAGCAGCGAAGCACAGAGCAATCCCACCACTCTTGGCTGTGACTCCGCACCTTCACGTTCCTTTCTACGGACGTTACAAAACAGCACGGCCAAAAACCTCGTCCTTCTCCTTCTCAATCTCCTCCTTAAATCAAATAAGCTGTACATGTTCTGGCTCTGGTACGACAGCAAACTTTGAAATCTCCAGGTGCTCATTTCTCGCGTCCATGTTTAGGCGACTTCCGTAACACATGTGGGACACTTTCGGGGCGTTTAAAGTTCACACTGGAGATCACATATAAGTCACAATCAATTGGAAATGTGACCAACCTCGCAAAAAAAAATCAGAATTCACAAAAAATCCAAATTGAGCTCAGAGTGGACAAAATAGATAAACTCAAAACAGAAATATTCTCCACTGGGGGCAGAACAAAGACATTTAAAAATGAAGTAAAAATTGCATTTCTACAACTCTTATATAAATATACCATGATTTTTTAAGTACAATTTATCTTAAAAGTCATATAAACTGCTAAAATCTAAGCTGTATTTGGAACTTTGGTTTAAAGACTTGAAATGACTTGAAGCTCAAAGCAGACGACTTGGACTTGACTTGGACTTATAGGCCAGTGACTCGAGACTCAGCTTGGTAACGAGCTGAGCCGTCTTTGGGATATTAGCATTTCAAAGAGGAAACTGAAACCAAAAAAATCAATTNTGTGAAACACAAACATAAAATCACAGTAATTATGTTTTATCACTCACCATTGTCGACTTTGTTATATTTGTTATCAGATTTAATTGTGTAGACAAAACACACTTCTGTTCTTACACACACTGATTTGCGACCGTTATGTTCACATTGATTTTGAGCTTGCTGAAGTCGAATTTTAGGTGGATCAAAGGTCATGTTGGCATGGAGCTCTGCCACGTCTCTGGACCTGTCAATTTTCAGTAAACTTGTCAGCATGATTCACTTAAGTTAATCCAGATGCACAAAACTATACTATATCTCTATTTTCTCACAGCATGTCTTAAGAAGTGGGTGTGTCTAATGTATATCTTTCTCTCCAAATAGTGAGATTCACAAATTACAGCCAACAATCTGGGAAGAGCATTTCAACTCTAGGCCTCATGGGAGATGGAGTTTTCACACAGCTTTGGCCAGGAGAATCTGTGGGAGAGGGTAGGCCTGGGACTCTAAATCACAACATGTGGGCTCATGTTTGAAAACTTTGTGGGCTGATGTCTTGAGGTCTGTCTCCAACAATCTAGCAAGGGCTTTAAGAGAGTGATCATTAGGAAACTGTTGCTCTCCAGCCTACAAGCCCAAAGGGACAAGAACAGCTGTCTAAACCCGATTTGGACACTGAAAAACCGGATTAATATTCAGTTTTTCACTAAAGGAATGTGCTATTTTGGGAGTAAACGTATTTTACTGTGATGTTACTTACCAGAACAAAGATACTCCTCCGAGACCTCCAATGGTAACATCTGTGATTCCATCTCCATTGAGATCCATAACTCCGTGTATAGACTGACCAAAAAACTTAATTTTGTCACCATCTCCACCTGCAGGAATTCTCTGAAAGACCACAAATACTTGAAGCATATTAACCTTGTTATCTTTGACTCTCTTATTCTGACCCTTACCTGAACATATTTCTCCTTGAGAGTGGCCCTCTCACCATGATAAATATACACAGCCCCTTTGTGGTCATTTTCCAGGGGTGCCCCAATAGCTACATCATTAAAGCCATCCAAGTTGAGATCTGATACTGCGGCAATGGCCGTACCAAATCGAGCCCCACAAGGTTCATTTTTGTTGGTGCAAACATCGGAGTGGGCAGTACAACATGACTGATTTATGGGTTTTAAAGTGAACTCGTATTCAAAATGGCCATCCTGTTGTTGAACAAATAGAAAAATACATGAAAGAACCTCATTTATAAAATCACAAACAATTCTTGCAAAATGTGTTATTAAATTATTCAGAATTACCTTATTGACCTTGTAAACATACACTTGACCCTGCTCATCTTTTTCACTGCCCATGTACATTGGAGCTCCAACTAACAGAAGATCAGTGTAGGTATCATTGTCTAAATCCACTGTTTGTAGGACACTGCCAAAATAGGACCCAATCTGTTGACATAAACCAATAATTTGAGCTAAATTTATTCAGTCATCACTTAAGGGTTACAAGACAAAAGGAGGTAGTTGTGTCAGGCTTAGGAAGGACCCCAAGGGTAAAACAATAAAACAACAAAATATGTGTCAAATTGCATGAATTTAATGATTACAGCATTTCTTGCATTGACCTTAGAAAGATAGAAGCCAATCTAATGTTTGAAGGTTTATTGACTGTGCTACGAAATATTCAGTTATGCTACTAAAGATATTTGGACAATGTTAATAAGACAATTGCATGGAACCCTGGCAATGTTGGTTTATTATCAATAAAATGAATAAATTATTGCAGGAAATTAAGCACTATACAGCATTTTTAATGCTACCACTTCAGTAACACAAAAGGCATAACTTTTGCAATCAGTTACGTAGTTTTGCATCTTGCTGACCTGTTCTCCCCTGAGTATCTGTGAGATGACAATATTATTGTCCTTATCCAAACGGTATATGACAACACGCCCAGTGTGGTTGTAGCGAGGGGCTCCAGTGATGTAGAGGACACCATCAAAGGTGGACGCCGACTGGACATCATACCCTAAAGACAAAGAACAGACAGTCCACAACATCAACAGATATCAACAATTGCAAGTTTGTGTTCAGTTTCTGAGGATGAAAAGTGTAGAGTGTTTTCCATCTTTGGATGAAAATTGTGATAGGACTGACTTTAAATACACAGTAGTGACATGTTGATAAAATGAGGCAATATTAAGATGTTATAAATGCACTATAAATCACCTAAGGTTTCAGTCTCTTATATTTCTAATCTAATGGAAGATTTAGCTTGTCATCTTACTTTTTTAGCTTTAAACATGTCTGAAAATTTTGGACTGGAGTTCAGAGTTGAGCCTACCAATGTATCCAGCCAGCTGTTCATATCCTGCCTCAGTCTCTGCATTGTAGAAACTATTCCTCCTGGGAACTACGGATCCCATAGGAGTTTGTATCACAACTGTCCCATTCCAGTCATAGGCTCCCACTGCACCAAGTAGCACTCCTTCCTGTGGGAATTACACATATACAACATACTGCACAATCACAAATTTGGCAATGAATCTACAATAACCACTGAAACAATAAGATCTGTAACACAATTTAACAAAAATATTTGTCATGATTATCTAAACGGAAAAGGAGGGTCACAGAGGATATGACATTGTTCGTTAGTCAAAGTAAATTGCGTGGAGTTACTTCCTCAGTTGTAATAGATTTGATGTGTTGTGTCTAGTGCTGAATGAGTGTAGCATTAGCTGTAATTCAACAATAGCATCCAAATATGAATCAGGAGCAGGAAGTGTGCATGTTGTGTAAACAAGCATGTGATTCAACCTCTGCTCCCGTGTGGCCGTTTCTATCACTGAACTTCTCATGCCACCAAACCAGTGCACAGCAGCAGTACAGAAAGCCTCTCTGTCTACAAATGTTAACTTCACTAACCAAAATGAATCACCAAGGGCTGAAGATGCACCAGAGATAACAATGCAGTGTTTTGTCTGCACCAGAGAATTATCCAAAGCAACATTCTTGCCAATGGATCTGTACCATGAAAGCATTTTATATCCATAAATTACATCAAAATATTTCCTTCAGACAAATGCATAGAGACATTTGCAGCTAGGCTTTGATGAAGTGAAGCAGTATAGATAACGTTAACAAGAACAAATATTTGATACATGTGAATTGATTTTTTTATTCCATATTAAAACAAAAACAAACAAAAACATTGTATGGCAGCTCTAAAATACAACCACATTGAAATTGTAATCAAGCTGATAAGTAATTAATTTCATATCACTTACTTTAGACGTGTGAGCACTGAAGCCAGTTTGAGACATCTCCATCTCAAAGGATGAGGTGAAATTGCCAGTTGTAGCTGAAGAAGTAGGTGAACATACATACATTATGTAATATTAGACATAGTTAAGGTTATAAATGTATATTTGTATATACCCTCCAATGCAAAGATCCTGCTTCCCAGAGCATCCACAATGCTCAGAAGAGCAAACTCATCTGATACATTGAAGAAATGGTCATGTAATGGTGGACTAGAGATTGATTCAATTTCCTTAATAAATTTCTGCACTTCTTCTGCACTCTTGTTCTGTCGATTGTAGTCTCCCAACACCTACATAAACAATGAAAGTTCTATCAAAAGTTGTACTACTGAGCAATAAGTCTTAATTTTGGCTATTTAGCTTTATAGATGGATAAACTAACACAATTTAGAATGCACTTACAGCAATGCCAAACCTCTCAATATTATCTTCTTCACAGTCTGTGATGACCTGTTTCATGTTGTGGAAGTCATGTGACTCTCCGTCCGTCACAGTTACCATGACTTTCTTAACTCCAGGTCGAGCCCCACGCTCAGGCATGAATGCCTCCTTCCTAATGTTATATAAAGGCATATAAAACTATGACATTATGCAAATTGCATACTATATAAATCAGTTTTTGTTTCATGAGTGCCTTTATTTTGTATTTCTGCTTTTTTCTGCTGTTGAATAAAACTAGTTTGCAATTGTTGGATTAATAAAAGTTTTTTAAGAATATATATTAATATGTTTATACATATAATTTTTTTACACATTATTTGAATTTGCTCATTGTTAATGGGAGGTAAATACTAAAACACTTACAATACTTACTACCACAACCCTTACAAAAGCCAACCCAAAGTCTGACCACAAAGAGGTGTGATAAAAATTATTGGTCAGGGTTTTAAACATGCCAAGTGGAGTAGCGCGGTCTGTGCTTAATTACCTGGCTGTGTCAATACCCAGAAAAGTCATGGTCTTAAAGCCTGTTTGCTGAGGAAGCTCTTTGACAAAGTCCACCAGGTCTAGAGTGTTGTCAAACTGACTCAGGTTAACGTTGTGAGTCACTGTCTCACCGTAAGACACAATGCCCACCTGTAAAAACACACAATTTTATTCTTGTTATTAAACAGAACAAAATTAAAAATGGAATGACATTTCTGTTCCATTCCATTTCAATGCCTTTTCTTTATGGTCCACACCTGTTCTGACATTGTGGAGAGGATGTGAGTGTGTCTGACATATGTATAAATGTACTTGGGCAGAGGACTAAGCACCCATGGAAGATGTGACCAGAATCAGCAGTGAAACAGTTTTCCAGTCTTGCCCTCTGGAAAACTGTAAACACTTCAAGGCGATCAATGTAACCATAATAAAATCTAACCAATCCATACACTGCTCTAACACAAGCAAAAAGAAATGCAGCTTGAAACTGTGAATTAATTTTAGGTTTTCAATCATTCTCTCAACTTCATTCATAATAATGTGGACTATTTAAATATGACTATAAAAATTCAACAAAAACTTACTTGTGAAAGTTTTGGTCCAATAACTATGTTTGAAAGAAAGCGCACCAGAAATTCAGTTATACTCGACCATGGGTAGATACTATTTGATCCGTCCAAGACAATTACAATATCCAACTCCTTAGCACACTCTGAAATCAAACAGTACAATAGTAAGTATTTAATTTTTTTTCACTTGTGATTTACTCTATTTCTATTTTGAGATTTGGTCCAAACATTTACAAACATGTGAGGGTGATCCATGGATGATAACAAGAATGTGAGAAAGAAAGACAGTAGAGGCATAGACTGTTTACACTGGGCTCCTCTGTGTTTCCTTTCAGGGAAACAGAGCAGCCCCAGTAAACCGTCTCCAAACTTGGGCATATAGCAGAGCACCAGGGATGGGCCATGACGAGCTGGGGTCATACATAAGTTTACATTAAGAAGAATGCTCTAATCTTTTGCATTGCTCAGACAGAGTCACGTCGGGGGTCTTTGGATGGAGCTACTGCCAAGATCCTAATCTCCTATTCCTGAGACAGTTCATTTGCACTTCAGACGTCACATCCTGCTACCATGTGATTAATGGGCTGTCACTGTGTTTTACCTTGCACTGCGGGGGCAATGGAGTTCAGAATCTGGAAGGAAGAGCTGACATTGGCACAAACACCTGAGATGTACTGTTGCTGTCCACACATGTACCCGTACTGAGGTCCACATGCCTAAAGAGACAGGAAATAACACTATATATAGGAACAAATGTATATTTAAGAAACAGACTTTTAATAGTAATGTGCTTGATCAAAAATAGAACTGTCTTTACAGTAATATAAAAATAACTGTATATAGGAGTATATTTTTAGAGCTATAACCCTTAAGTACATGTCTTGAGTGAAACAAAATGTAAGGTTTAATTTCCTCTGTTTGGCTTCTATTGCAGCAAGAGCTTGAGGGGAAAGTAAAAAATCACGGAAATTGTTTTCTTTATTACAGTTTGGCACTGTTGTGAGTTCAGTAATTGTCGAAGATGTTTTGTAATTGTGAAGTGTTAAGTAATGGTATAAACAGTGCCACAACGCTGAAAGATCATTACCACTGTTATGGACCACTAATAGACTGACTCTACACAGCTGCACATAATTATAAATACATATATATATATATATATATATATATATATATATATATATATATATATATATATATATATATATATATATATATATATATATATATGTGTGTGTGTGTGTGTGTGTATATATATATATATTATTTATTTATTTTTTGTATTTTTTTTTACATGTTGAAATGGAGTGATCAGTCACATCACAGGAAAATAAAAAGTGTCCCAGCTCCCCTGTCAGTTTTAATAAATGACTGTTTCATGAGATTGTAATAATAACACTGTCTTGGCCCATACATGCTACACACTTATGCAATAGAGAGTTCACATGAACAGTACTTTCTCATAACCACAGTGGGAAATGCTCACTAAGTCCAAAGGTCCAGCAAACACTAAAAATACTCATGCTCTGCTTCTTCTTTTGTTATTGGCATGGAAAATATGAGCTTAAGTGCATTTATTTTTTCAAAGTGCAAATTCCAACCTACCAGAAATCCTCCATTGGGATTGGTCACCAGGGTGGTTCCCATGGTCATGTTCTCTTTGACTTCATTTAAGTTGGGAACTGTTGTGTTTTCTACAATAAAAAAATGGATGAATAAACACAGTATAAACCTGGGACGGCGCAGAGGAACCACAGCTGGCTGAGTTTGTGTAAGCTTTCCCAAAGGAGAAGATGTAGCTAAATCACTTTTATTCAAGTATGAGCTGCTGCAATACTGTGATTTCTTACTTTCCGAAGAGCAGTATGAAATGGTAAGATTGCAACATCACATGACATTTTTATTTTAACCATGCTCTTTACAAACCCCCAATTGGATCCCCAGATGTTTAACTGTCACTGATTTCAATTAGATACAAGTTATGACTTTAGTCTTTGCTAAAAAAAAAAAAAAAAAGAGAGGGAAAAAAAAGTAAAAATACTTGGATTATTGTTAGGATATATATGTACTAGTTATCTTATCATCTGCCTCATAACCTTATCAATTTCCTCACAGCCGCACTTCACACACTTTGAATTGTTTAAAGGAAAATCCTTTTCTCTCTTGAATACCCCTAATTTAACCTGCTGTAAACATGTCAGATATGCAACATGGAGACACAGTGGCAAATTGGCAGTTTATGCTGCTATGAACCCACACTGGACAAAATGCTGCTTTGACAGAGCTGCAGATAATAGATGCCTTGTCTTCAGTAAACTGTAGACCCCCCCTAAGAAGCTGAACAAATCTAACATATCTGACTATTCTATTTGCCTTAAAGAGACCTCTTCGAATACATCACAAAATGGCTCCTGTCTGAGCAGTGTTTTAGTTAGATGGACAATCCGGACTTCTATGTGTGAACTTCAGTAGAGCCCAAGAAAGTACTTGTTTATTATAACTTTATAACTACACAATTGTGTGTGTGTGTGTATGTATGTATATATATACATACACATATACACACACATTATCTGTGTATAATCATGGATTTAAAAAACATAAGATGGCAGTCATTGAGCATAACTGGGTGAAACCTACAACTACAATTGCAAAATAATGACCACAGATTTCAAACTCTACCCAGTGTGGCTTGGCAAGTGTTTTAGTTGAATAAGGGTGCAAATAAAACACACATAATTACATCAGTGGCGTGTTTATATAGTGCTGATATTGTGTGTACATGTAGGGTGACACAGGTGCTGACTCATGCCTTTGGTTAATGTCCATGTTCTGCTTTACATTGATTGTAATGTAGTAGCCATCATGGCTGCCCCTCCCTGTTGTTCCCTGTTGTTGAGCGCTCTGGCTCCAGCTGCCAGGCTTATGCTACTCCCAGTGGAGCTTGTACAGACTAAACTTGATGTTATAAGATTTGAGCTCTTCAATCTAACTCATCCCAGATAACAACAAAGAGCTGCTAACTACTGTTTTAAGGCCTTACTGTAAGTGCTCATTAGGCACAGTGACTCCTATTCGTTGATAGAGCAGCGATGTAAACGCTTTTGTTGACAAGTATTCATTTGAAAATCACAGTGAGCATGTGAAACACAAACTGGCAGATTTGTTGAGACAAACATAGACAGTAGCAATGGAGACTGAGACCGGCTGTGGACATGTGTTTATCTTCTTAATTAAAATATAATTATGGAAGCCTTGTTTATTTGACTGCCTTCCTGTTGAGATGAGCCCGACTTCCTCTGAGTAAATGACAGCCAAATTTAGAGATGCCAAACATAAACACGTATACATCAAGTGAAAAGTTTGACTTACTTGGTAATTCTAGCTTGATACATTTATTTTCTCCTTCATGAACAGGGCATTTGTAGACATCTCCTGTGCGTCTGACTGGCTGTCCCGACAATGGCGACCCAATTAAAATCCTGAATGAGGAAATGTGCACATTAATATTTTAACAAGCAAAAACACTGTTTGTGGAGTTGTTGACTAGAACTATGCTTCACTCTCACTTGAGAAACCTTAATTACACTTAATTAAAGCAGGTTTAATTACACAGTTATACAGAATAAATGGTCACCACAGTTGCCTGCATTAAATAGATTTAATTATTCTATATATATATGTGCCCACTGCAAAATGGACAAATGGTACAAATGGTGCATGTACACTGCAGTGATTTATAAACTATAATAACATAAAAATAAGGCCATGCGTTAAACAAAAAGAAAATAAATATAAAACTTTTAATTGATTTATTAATTTGCAGTGTGACATATGAGAACTTTGTTATTAATTCAAGTCAATCTGAACTGCAAGCTCAAACTAATGTTATGGCAGACATTAGTGCTCTGCAAGTGCTGATAATCTTTGCATAGTGAATATCTTTCTTTCTTTTTTTCTTTTAACTTCCCAACTCCCAAGACTTGCAGTACTGAGGACATTATATTTGCAAAATAGACTACATATGCTAGCATTCAAAACTGTCCATGACTATGTACACATGTTCTTCTCTAATGTGTCACTCAAATGTGTGCTAAAAACAGACGGTCATCTGCCTCTTCCAAACACTCACGCTTATTAACATTCCTCAGATCTAATGGGCCCTGGTCAACAAGAGAGACCCAGGGGAACGACACCGAACATCACAGCACAATAATTAATATCTACCACTAAAACTCGAAATGACTATTAAAGATTTGTACATAAAAACTCTATTTACAACAACTTCTAATCTATTTCGGAGAGCTATTGCTATATTTATACAACAACAACTCAATCAGTGTTATTCCCTTGACAGACCTTACAAGGGTAGGAACTTTTCCCTTCCATTGATAACAAACAATTGTGAATTTTCCATGAGAAATTACAAAGCACTCGCTCACATTTTGCAGCACAACCCTCAGAACTATATTTGTGAGGTGAACAGGACAAGTCATTTGTAGTCATTTAGTCAATTAATGGGATTTGTATGGACCACAGCAGAAAGGAAAATGGAGTGAATTAACTGGAGTTAAACTAATTTTCAATTTTGAAGATGTTGTTGTTTTTGCAAGACATTCTAATAAATCTGACATCTTTTGCTTTGATGCACAAGGCATGGCACATAGGAATTTCTTATAGCCCTACCCAGGAATTATTGGAAATTAGATTTAGTGAACTTTTACATGCATTAAAAAGAAAAGAAAAACATCTGTTATAGTGTTTTATTATTTTAGTAAACTCATTCATTCATCTATGGTGCGCAGACGAAGAAGATTAACCTACTACATATGTACTGCATTTTCACATCATATATCTATTTTTTAGTACTACACTGAGACTGAGAGGCTTTGTGGGGGTGGAGGGCAGGGCTGTGGGGGCGGACATCTGTGATCCATCAGCCACTTTCTAGTTATAGCGACTCAAGTTTTACATCACCTCTATCTGTTCATTATTTTCTCAGGGCAACATCACATCTCCGGTTATATAGCTACCCCTTTTCCTGTCTTTTAGGTATCTTCTTTCATCTCTTGCCAAATCCCTCATGCAAAAACAACAACAAAACTAATTTCTAAACTTTATCAACTTTAAGCGCATGGCTCATACTTTTCTTCCCTGGAACAAAATGCAGAGCTGCATTTGGTATTCCACCTGATTTTACAGACAGACAGTGAGTGGGTTACTGTAACTGATCTCATATGAGCTTGATAAGGTTATTAGTGCAGGTAGAGCCATGTGGGTAGGACATCTGGACGTAGTAAAGAACAAAATAAGTAAAAGTGTCAAACTGTGGTCATCGTGAAGCTAAGAGACAGTGGCCCTTCTCAAACGAATACTATTTAACAACAGGCTTTTAAAGTGCGAGTGTTTTAAAGTGTAAAGTTCCTAGCCCTGTATAGTAAGAGTCCCCATGTGCCCGGTGTCAGCACGTTTACAAGTCTGGGATGTGGATACTCTAGTGTCTAGTTTTAAGGTGAACAGGGCAACTCATAAAAGTACAAGCTCTCAGTGGACAGCTGGCATTTCTCGTCATAGTAAAAAAGTAAATCAGTCCTAGTGCAAAAGGCAGCATGGTGGCTGAGTGGCTAGCACTCATGCTTCACTGCAAGAAGATTCCAGGTTCGATCCCTGTGTCACCCGGGCCTTTCTGTGTGGAGTTTGCATGTTTCTCCACGTGTCTGGATGGGTTTTCTCCGGGCACTCAGGTTTCTCCCATCAACCCAAAAACATGCTACATAGGTCTCCAAGAACAGTTGATCGCCAAGGTCAGTTAAATACAAGCAATCAATGAATCTGCATAGGGACTACAGGTGGAAATTAGCACTGATGCTACAACCTGATGTACAATGCATCTCTCCTGTAAAAAAAAAGTTAATGTAAATGAACTTTACTCAAAAAAAAAAATGTACTCAATTTCACCCACCTTTAGTTCACATTATCAATTTATTTTTTTCTTGGCATAAGTCAAACATAACCTTGCAAAATATCTGTTTTCAACTCTTGGTATTTTTATATTTTGCATTTCAGTGCTCATAATGTCTTGTCAATGTGTTTGGTAGCAGTATTTTTTACAAGACTGGCAAGTTAATGTTTACTGATATATCATTAAGACTTGATTAGATTTGCAGTAATAGTGTGTAATGTTCTCCATACATGTGCATATACAATATAAACAAGCACAGGGCTTTCTACTCACCATTTGCCCTCACTGTTCTCAAACTGCTGGACGGTATATCCGAACATGTCCTCCAGTGAACCTCCAGTGAATGACATACCATTCTTCTCATCCACATTGAAGCACAGGGCACAGGCAAGCAAAGCTGGGGATAAACAGGAAAAGGACTTTACAAAGAATATGAACCTTCCAGTAAACAAAGTAAATAAGTTATTCCAGACAGAATTCTTTACCTTAATACCTCAAAGTATGACAATAATATAGTAGTAGTATTATGAAAATAGTAGTATAATGGTATTGTAACTATACTATACAATAACTACAACTATAAAAACTGAACAATATACACAATAAAAGGTGCACTGTGTAACTTTTCTGGTGGAGGGTCCATCAATAGCTTTTCTCCATGAAGATGCTATTGCTTTGTCTGGAATGTTTCACAGTATGGCATTAAACCTTTCTATTTTCATGGAGCACAAACCACACCAAGTTACAGGTCAGATCTGTGGAGAGACAACAGCGCTCACAGTCAGGATGCATGTTTCTCTAGGTATTTTTGAGCTATAACACCACCTGTAATTGAGAAAACGTAAGGTGGAGCTGTTCATTGTCATACCTTGGAACTTTCCATGCACAGCAATGACATAGCCATAGAAAAGTGCCAGAGCCTCAACCAAAAAATTGCATATTGTATCTTAAAATTTTGTCTCCTTCATTGCAAGCTTTCAAATGTCAGAGATATGGTGAACACACAAAGTCATTTTGCAGGGCACCAGTGGAATTTGGGACATTACTGTGAAGCTGTTGGCCGTGGGTTTCATCTGAACTCCAGGACAAAGAGCTTTTCTCTCTACATCCTCCCCTATCTGTCTCTGTCGGTCATTGCACCGAGCATATCACACAGACTCTGTATAAATCCAGACATGTCTTATTGTGCTACCACGACAATGACATCCTTTATCTCCACAGTGTAAGAAAATTCCTCAAGTATAAATTATTCACTTGATGCTCTTATGAAGGAGTACAGAGAAGGGGAGAGATCAGTGAAGTTAAAAATGGCGTGCAGACATGGGCTACATATTCAGAGACATAAATAATGTCTCTGAATATGTGTGCTGGATATTAATGCTGTGAACACACCAAGTCAGGAGCCCACCATACAAGCTTTGTAAATGGACATATGGATCTTTTCAGATAAGTCCCTAATGTTGGTCCCTGTTAAAAACTTTAATTTGATAGAAATTTGATTGCAGGAGAATCTTTGCCAACAAAGAACCAGTATGCATAAATGCCAGCTACTCAAATCTGCAGATGGAAAATTGACTTAAAGATGCACTGTGTAACTTCTCTGTGGTCCTCCACTTGCTTGTCTCCAGAGATGTTTTGCCTATAATGTTAGACATTATGGCATTGAACATTTCTATCACTATGGACACAAGCAGGTGACATAATACTAAGGGAACAGTAAAAACATCTGCAGCTGAATAAATTAAGTATGGTTTAATGTCATACAATGTCACATTTACAGCAAAGCAATAACAGGTAGCAGACTACCTCACCAGAAAAATGATGCACATTTACAGTTCCATACCATACTAGGAAGTCAAGCTACAATAAGTTTTCTGTATGGCATCATGTGAAGAGTATTTTAGAGAGTGCTTTCTAAACAAAAGTCAAATACAGTCTTAAACAGTCTTTAGTTTTCCTTGATTATTCATCTTTCAAAAAACATACTGTCATCACATACTGTTTAAAAATTTCATTTATATTTTGTGAGAGAATGCACTCGAGAGATTTCCCAGCAGTGACGTAGATGAAGTGTGAGAATGAGGAGCAGGACTGCAGAGTCACAGTGAATCTCCAGCCAAGAGACATTACCCCTGAGTTTTAGTCTCTGTTTTGTCCACTTCCTCTGCTGCCCCGCTCCATGAGAAGAATCTCCATATCCTGTTACCATTAACCTCATTATAGCCCCCTCAAATCAGGCACGCACAACTACCTGTATCAATACAAATAATGTAGCTTAAAAACAAACAGCTGTTCTTTTCCAGTTATTGCAAGTCAAATTCATTACACTATATTTTGAAAGGAAATACCCACTGTCCAACTGCAACCATCTCCATAGGTATGCTTATTCAGCATTGTGTAATTTGCCAGTTGAGCAAGCTGCCATTATTGTTTCCTAGTTACACACAGAACAAAACAAGATTTTTTGCTTCATCAAAATCAAACCTGGTAGAGTTAGAATTTTTATGATACTTAAAAATGGCCCATGTTATTGAAAACATACTGTGAAATGCTAAAATGCTAAAAGTATTAAGACAACTGTGCATGTCGGCAAAATCAGATATGCCTGTTCTTATGTAAGGAGAAAATGTAATAAAACCAAAAAAATCATATTTAAACAGTAACAATATCATATCTCAAGTGTTTCAAGTGCTCAAACCCACTGATGTCAATATTGATTATCGGTATACGTCAGCCACACAGCCCTGCAATCACACCCATAGTCCACAGCTAAACTCAACTCAAAACTCAATTTAAACATTTGAGAATCATCAGGGAACATCTAGTCAAGCAGTGATTCTTTGATGTTTCTGATACAAGGAACAAAGCCTCACCTGTAGAACATCAAATATACCATAAACACAGACTCCATTCAACACCTGAGCAATGGGACTGCATCTGCTTCTCAAACCTGCTACAAAGTTCATTGAGTATCATTCGAACATGCATTAATATAAAGATTTTTTTTTTTTTTTATTCTAATGTAAATCAGGCAGTGGAGAATATCTTTAATCTGCAAAGTGTCAAACAAGGTCAGAATGAGAAGGTGTTTTGGAAAAAATGATGTATCTCTTGATGTTAAATAATCCATGTGTGAAACCCGATGACATTTTGGAGTACAGACAAAGGTTTATTCTTGTTACAGCAGATATTGGCCTGCCCGGGACAGAGACCAAAAGCCTCTCCAGTCTCCTCTCTCCATCTCACCTCAGAGCATCTGAGCTCTGAGTATTTATAGAGAAATATATGTTACATACATAACAAAGCAGAGTTTTGTTTCACAGACTCGTGCTATTCAACATTTGAGGGCAGGTAAGACAACACAGAGTGTTGTGGGGTGGGGACAGTTGTGTCTGCTGAGCCTTTACACATGTTAATGACTGGTCTGGTCTCAGGGAGAAATCATATTCATTTACAGACAGACAGACTGAGAGAAATCTTTCCACAATATAAATTTCCATCACAGGTGCATTGGGTATGAGCTGACCTCTTCACTATGTTCAGCATATAAACAAAAAAAATATCAAGAAATTATTAATCCATATTCCAATTTCTTTTTAATCACCCTTTTTCTGTTGCATTCAAGTGAAATTACACAGTTTGAGTTCCGTGGACTCTCAGACTCTTTGTGAGTAACTTCATTATTACTGGCTGTTTGTTGGATATTTTCATGACAAATCCCTAGTATAACCAGAAACAGAAGGGCAGCAAAAATTACATAATCCTATTGAGCAAGTCATCTGTGAGGCCAAGTCATCTGTGAGGCCATTATATAATGGCATGAAATGAAAATAACATTTTCTAAAACTAAATGTAATTTAACAGCACTATTGTGAACTTCTGGCACACAGTTAGAATTGTTTGGTGCATAAATGAATTGACTCTTCTATATTTCAGTCTAGCAAAAACCCCATAAGACTCTCATTTATCTTCATCCCTCCACCCTTTTCCTGTTCATTTGATTCACTTCCAGAACATGCAAGCCCTACTACACAGTGGTTTCAGATTGCACTATTTGGTACTTACCAATGTATTCTCAAGAGAAGCATTTTCCTTCACAAAACCTGCTGGCCTACTAGGAGAAACCACAGATGACATCATCACCCCAGGCAATTGTCAAATATTCATCCCCCTTCATTTCACTCACTCTATAGAGCAAGCCCGATTGGCAATCCTCTGACCATATCACCCAAACACATCGAGCTTGAGTCTCCTATGTCTCCTGAAATTGCTGATCACTGTTCAGGGAACAGATGGGATGAAGGAGCATCTGGGACAGCTAAAACACCTCGAAAGGAACTAAAAATACACACACACACCCTGGGTCAAAGACTGACCTCCCTCAGAATCAATAAGTGACATGAGAAAATAATCATCCATGTTATGGATGTAACAGGAAGAAAGGGAGCACAAGTGAACATGGATAAACTCTTTATTTCTAAGAATCACAACTCATTAAAACACCATTACAGTTATGGGTTATCTTAATGATAATATTGTGAGTATGATAGTAGTAACAGGCCAATTTAGTATACCGCTTTCTAAAATACTTCTTATCAAACTGAGCAGCTACATACCATTCCTTTATTTCTGTATTCAAGTCCACCTCCACTCAGCAGTGATAGTTAAGGCATAGAGCTCTACTCTCCTTGACTGCCCTCCCTTGACCCTTCTGAAAAGAAAACAACTGGACTGCCCGCATATCTCTAAACCAAGATTTTCACAAAATCTTTAACTCTAGTCAAGTCCCACAAGAGATACAACAAAAAATGTTGCTCCTTACCATTAGTTGGTTATAGAAATCTGCAAAAAGTGCAGAGACATATATCTTGCTTTGTTTAACTACTTCTGATTTGCATTTCCTATATTTTATCTGCTCGCTCAGATACATCCATAGGTGCATGTTTAGTAAATGTTAGAGTATATGCGCCCTGAGGAATCCTTCTCTCATCAACACATACACTCCCTAGATGCAGGGTAGCTGAACTTTCCCTGCTGTTTTGCTTTACAGCTGTTATTCCAAGCCTTCTCAAGACAGGAAAGGCAGAAAACTATGGGGTTTGTCTCATTTAACAAAACTAGGCAAGGTCATAAGCGACAATCAGCTAACAGTGTGCACAGAGCAGTTCCTGTTTTTCTTGCTGACTAAATTACACAAACCCTTTTTAAAGAAAATGATTGTCAAAAGATACATGCCAGGAAGAACAACTGTGGCTTCCCCTTTGTTTTGTAGAAAATATGCTCTGTTAAAAGCTTAAGTTAGTTTTGCTGATTTAACTGTGAGTAAAGCCTACAGACAGGTGGGTATTGATTTATGATTTATTATTATTTCAAGGTCTGAGTTGTCTGTCTTCATTA